GATTAAATTTTCCATTTTTTTTCACAAATTGTTACTGATTCGTGACTTTTAACGTGCCTCGTATCTCGTAAGAAAATTTCAGAACCTATAAAATACAAAAAGCTTAATAAGCTTTATTTATATTTAAAGACAATATTCTGACAATATACATCACTATAGAAATAAATCTGGCTAACTGCTGTATTTAAATTTTTTATCTTACCGTGATGGCTAATGGTTGTACGAATGTTTCGAAGAACAAAAAACCATATATAATTTAGTAATTTCATACTGTATTGCACTCTTTGCGCACTCTCCACCATCTTCACCGATTCACACCGCGCAAAAGAGAGTGGAGAAAAGTCACACGAGTGGTCCACGGAGTACGGTTTTCGAACGGCCATGGTCGCATGGTCAGTGTGCCCACTAGAGGTTTTCGAACGATCTGAGTGTGACAAAATACACACGGGTGATGCTTTGTAGTAAATTGTGCTATCTAAGATTTGCTTAAGAATTATTTAATATTCTCTATTATCTCAATGATTTATATGAGTTGAATCTATACATATTGAGGTTCAAAGAAATAAGTGTTTAAAAATGAATTAAAAATGTAACATTAACAAAGTACAATTGCCTATAGAGTTTTAGCATTGTATCTCAAAACATCACCCGTGATGTTTTCGAACGCACCCCAGTAGGCACAAGTGTTGAACGGAAGCGCATCCAACCGAAGGAATGAGAGGGTGGGAGGGAGAGAGAGGGAGAGAGAGAAAGAGAGAGATCATCAGCAGGTGGAACCATCTTCTCATCCTGGCGTCGTGCCACAGTCGTAGTTCGCACGCTCGCGCGAGGGTGGTGTCGCGATTTCCCCCCGCCGTCACTATCACCACACTATCACTACCACCATCACTACCACCACCATTGTAAAAACTCGCAGTCGCGAGACCCTTGCTATCGGCAGTGAGGACGCTATAAGATCCATTCGGGCCCTTCCGCAGACGAGCGGAATGCAGAGCAGCAATCGCGGGGCGTACAGCATGCGTTTCGCCGGCGGCCGCAGCCAGACGATGCAGAGCATGACCTCGGGCTCGCGCAGCAGCCCCCCGATGTCCCGCGGGGCGGGACGTGACGAGCGGAAGCATGCGAACGGTGAGACTCAGGCGCTGGCGAGTCCGTCGGTCGAGGAGACCTCCGTTAGCTAGGTCGCTCTCATACACCTCCCTCCCTGTCCAGAGCATCGGGCGAAGATGCGCGAGACCGAGGTGGAGGTGTATATCAACAACAACGGCGACGGCGACGACGACGACGACGGTGGCGGCGACGGCGGCGGTGGCGGCGGCGGCGGCAGAGGCGGCGGAGGCGGCAGTGGTGACGGTGGCAGCGGCGGCCACAACGGCAACGGCGGCCGCGGCGGCGGCAACGATGACGACGAAGAGGAGCGCAAGCTGTCGATTGTTCAGGAGCTGCCGGAGCTCACGGACACCGCCAGTCCGCCGCTGAGCTTGGCGTGCCTGTATGAGAGGAGTCAGGGTGAGCCGCGTCGTCGCGACTCCAGGCGTCATCAGGTGACGGATTTTCCTCGCTTTTGACGCCGCGATCCCGATCGTCCTCTCTAGGAGGACATCCGCGTGTAATCGGGCGTTTTATCTCAAGAGAGATAGAGAGATAGAGAGAGAGAGAGAGAGAGAGAGAGAGAGAGAGAAAGAGAAAGAGAGCAAGCTATTGCGTGATGTAGATGATCTATGGTCGATCGCCGATCCTAATCCGCATACTCTTCTGCTTTCTTCTCGAGCCGGGCGAGTCGACGCGCGACGATCGCAACGGACCGATCAGCAGCATCTCCGAGAAGATGGAGGCGCGCGCGAGGGAAACGGAAGCGTCGTGCCCGAACGACGAGCAGATTCTCAGTTACTGCGACTCACCGACCTTCTCCGAGTTCTCCTCGTAGTGTTCGGATGACGGTCACCTCGGGGAGTCGCGACGGGCTCCCGTGGGCGTTCACCTTGGAGCTCGCGGCCCAACGAGATAAAGAGAGAGAAAGCCGTTCTCGCCGCACTCTTAGCGTCAGCGTTTTATAAGAGCCGGACGTTTTGTATCTTCCCGCGAGGTGTGAGTGAGTGTGAGTGTGATTTGAGCCTTGCTCAGCCCTCTGCACTCGCGTGGCTCTACGTAATGCCGTGCGTGCGACGATGTCACATCGAGAGATACCCGGGAGGTCCCGAGTCAACAGTTTCACCCTACGTCGACCCTGCAAATTCCGTCGAATTCGAGGGATCAGTTTGAAGATCTCGAGACATAATACTGTGTGGGCTTTCTCTATGGATTCTTTTAACTAAAACGATTCTTTACTGTCGCTTGGTTGAGAAAGAAGGACTTTTCAAACAACACAAATTACTAGAAGAAATCTCAAAGACGTCCAAAAGACATCTAAAAGAAATAGGATGTCTTTAAGACCTTTATAGTAAATTGTGCTATCTAAGATTTGCTTAAGATTTATTTAATATTCTCTATTATCTCAATGATTTATATGAGTTGAGTCTATACATATTGAGGTTCAAAGAAATAATTGTTTAAAAATGAATTAAATATGTAACATTAACAAAGTACAATTGCCTATAGAGTTTTAGCATTGTATCTCAAGATCCTTATTGATCTTTCATATCCGACACTATTTGCAAGGATCAAATGATATTTCAACGTCGCGATTTCTAATCGAATCATGTGATTTCAAATTAAACAAGATGAATCTAAGTTAAAAGTCTCGAGAAAAATTCGATCAACTGTACAGTACGCAATATCTTTGAATCGTCTTGTTTTCTTCAGGTAAATGTGTTAGATCTTTGAACAATTCGTGAATATTTTCATTTCATGAAAAACTATATTATTTGTCACAATCTCTCACACTTTCCGACTATCAGATCTAGAGAAAGAAAGAGAATATTAAAATTATAAATTCTAGTCTAAAATAAAAATTTTCACTTCACTTTCGTGAAGCTCTTTACTTGTCGAAACTCTTCTAATTGACTCGCTAAATTTCATCAATAATTTTGGAATTTTATATTAAGATATTATAAATTATATTTTCTTGTTAATTTTCCTCTCCAGAAACCGGCTGATTAAAAATACATTTGGGGAGGGTAAAGTATTAAAACTATATTACAGGATTTCCAAATTACATCTCGTAACAACAACAAAGCGACTCTGATTAACATCTCATTAAAGTAATATATTAATACATTTAGTATAAATTTTTAATAACACGAGTAACCCTGATGAAGTCTCGTTAATACTAACGAAATAATTTTCTCGAGTGCACGGGTTGTGGCGACACGCGGAAATACTATCGGACGACCGCGAAGCGCCAGATCGCCCGCAAAAAAATGGTGGTTGCACAGACTACGATTTTATATAGTTGTTCATAACTGAAACCATCGGCTTTGTTGGTTGACGCAAGAACGCTCCCATCGGTATTCAGAAAGTTCCAGCGTCACGGGTGAGTTTTTGATTCATTCATATCCCTCATGCGAGCCGCAAAGGCCTTTTTTCAGCACATACATATATACATATACTAATAACGCTATGAATGTTGGTTTAATTCCAGATCAATCGGATTGGATTGATATTTCAGACATCACAGCGTGCCAACAATGGACGCAAAATACAATAATTACACTCGCTTGATTATACATAAAACTTTATAGTTTACAGTTTTATACATAAAATTGTATCTTTTACGAGTATTTATTTTTTCTTCTATTTTTTTATAAAATCAGTCGATTTTTCGTGATTATTTAACAATCAATTTCTCATCGTTCATTCAGCAACATTCGTTCATTTAGAATGAAAGACTGCTCTGGGGTCGATTTCACTCCCACATGTTATCTGCATATAAATTTTATCGTATTATTACGATATTAAAAATTTAACATCTAGTTTATCTTTGTTTTTCAAATAAATAATAAGTTCTTTTATTTTTTTATTTTTTTCAAACAAATAATAAGTTCTTTTATTTTTAGTATAATTTCCATAATTAAATGACATACATTTAAAGAGTATATTGTTGATGAATTATTACTACCATCAGAATGTTTTAAAAATTTTCACCGTGTGATACTGGAATGCTGTGTACATACGTTTAATTAATATATGAACGGACATAAATGTGCTAGAGAATAGACACGGAGATCATTAAAATTCGATAATCAAATTAACCGAGTAATTTCGCATTCTATCGCTCGGTTGCGGATGCGGTTGTTAGTAATAGTGAGTAATCTCAGTCGTAGTTGGCGTAATAGAGACGAAAATACTAATAATTAATAGTAAAGCAGCGATTACATATTAGGAATGCCAGTTGCCAAATATTTAACAAAAACAGGAATTTGGTTGCGGTGCTCCTGTCGTCCTTAAAGATCTTCCATCTCTACGTCGTCGTGTGGTGTGGTTTTTGTCTTTAATTTAAATTCAAAGCGACAATTCGGCTGACCGCGTAAACGTGGAAGCCGCGCAGAGTTGAAGTTACAATTATGAGAAAAGTACAAACCAACGACAAACTTATGCCACGCTCTGTCCCGTTTCGTTCTCAACGCAGACACTTCATTACGTAACTTTAAGTATAAACAATAATGTCGAACTACATAGAACACGATAGATCCCCGCAAAAACGAGCACACCTTTGAGGATGTATTGCCCATATCATAACCCAGAACAGCGCACAATATTTACAAAATATTTTAGAAATATAGATATTAAATATTTTATAAATACATTCAAATGTCCAAGATTTTCAAGTATAAAAAGGATTATAATAAATATTTAAAAATATTTATGAAAAACATTTTTCATAAATACTTTTATGAAAAAGTTTATAATTTATGGAAGATTTAGGATAAATATTTTTCATAAATATTTTTAAATATTTATCGTAATCTTTTTCATATCTGAAAATCTCGGACATTAGAATATATATATTTATAAATTATTTAATATCTATATTTCTAAAATATTTTGTAAATATCGTGTGCTGTCTGGGAAAGATAATATAAGAAACATCTGAAGGAATTAGGGATTGCTCTATATTGCATCTTAAAATAATCACATTTGACGTTGATTCAGAGTTTGGGTCAAAAGTTTGTTATAACTTTTGTCAAAAATTTGAACGCTAATTACAAGTCCAGCATAAACATCGTTTATACATTATATTATACATTATACATTATATTAGTTATAACATGATTTAAACGTCAAATAACGTTTTAATCACGCGTCAATGATGTCTCTAACACCAATAATACGTCATTTGACATCATTCTGGAAATATTTCAAACTGTGCTATTTTGAAATAGCAAATATAGTGTCGGTATCTTCAATGAAGGAAAAGATAATTAAAGAAAAATGATAACAAATACTTCTCTGTACATATACATGTAAGTATTCAAAATTATATTTCAAAATTATGTTTTCAAAGTTTCACTATGATGTAGAGATAAAAGTTCAAGAGTCAAAAATAATATAAAACAAAATAAATTAACTATAAAAATGTGATGTTAGAGCAGAAATATATTGTTGTTCAACTGCATTTTACGTATATATATATCATACGTTTTTATATGGAAAATAGAAATTTTAGCGTATTTCTAATTTTTAGTTATTTTTGCAGCGATTATACGGGCAATACATCCTGAACGCTGCTCAAATTCAACCCGGGATATGTATAGATTAAGACAACGACGAATCGATTTCTAATATGCACGAGCAATCGCTACATCGAGTACGCCTAATAATTATTAATTATACCGAGTCGTTCAGAAAGTCTGGTTCAATTTTTCTGGTCAAATTTGACCACGGTAACAGATTATTTATTAACCGAGTTAATCCACCGTTGCTGAAGGATCGCAGACAACGACGGCGATTGCTTGATTGATGTGAACAGCTGTTGACCTTTGTTGAACGTGATAAAATCAAGCTCGAAGCTCAGAAATTTCACCGCACTTCTTGAGCGACTCAAATACTTTTACTGTGTTTCGCGAAAGAGGAGAGGGGAAAGATCGCACCGACCCCACGACATTCCTGTACAAACACAAGCCAAAATCAAAACGATTTTACTTGCAGCACGATAAGAATTGCTAGGTAAGAAAGACTCGACGAAGCGTTTCGGCGGTAGTTATTGTATTAATGTTGTTATAGCTATCGCGTTTGCAGCGCGAGCGTCGACGGAATCCACAGACTCGTGTCGTAGAGCTGTTATTATCGTTTTCCGGAGGATATACCGAAGGAGACGAATGTCTTATTAACGCGATTTACGTGTGGTTACGTCGCGCGCTGTACATAAGATACGCCTAAGACACAGTTATTATTTATTTACCGTGTTGTTTCTTCGTTATTTTGTTCGTATTATTTGGAACGGACGTTGTGATAAGAAAAAAAAAAAGAAACGTAAACGTAAGAAGCTTATATCGCCGAGGAAAAGTTTGGATACAGCCGTCTTATAGAGAAGAAGAGAACTTTTTTTTAACTTCTTTTCTTCTCTTGACAAGGACGAGACTGAAATTTCCTGTTTTGCTCCTTGGAAAAGTATGCAAAATTGTGAAGGTGTATACACGGTGGATGATGTCGTTCTTGGGGAAATGCAATATATTGATTTTCGTTAAAACTTCAGCAAGAGCTCGTCGTTTATAAAGTGACGTTGTCTCTTTTAACCATTAATATCATCATACAATAAATCGAAAAAAGACAAGAGCGACGAGTTCGGCTTTTTATGAGATATATTCAAACTTCTATTCGGTTTATAGTATACATTCAGGAAGAAATCGTATTTCAGTTTCTGCTCTGTTAAGATTAAAAGTAGAGGAGAAAGAGAGAGAGTGAAAGAGAGAGAGAGAAAGAGATATTTCTTATTGATTAAAATAATTTAATTAACGAGGCATCCAATGTGTATGATCAAGAGTTTGTAAATATACAGTTATAATATAATTACGTTTAAGTGATCGCGGAATATCTTGCTTCGTCAGAGTGAGATACCCCTTAATTAATAATTGTACAAAGTTTATGGAGTGTTGAAATATAAAGCGACGAGGCGTGCATGTATTAATAGCTGTTATACGTGTGTACTTATGTGCCTAGCATCTTGTGAGCTAACTTTTCGTAATGGTGTATCGATGTTCTCGTGATTAAGTCGAGTAACGATAAAAAGCCTCGAGCTTAGAGAAAAAAAACTGAGACTTCGATTTTCTCAATGTATATAAGCCAAATCTGTCATACGAATTATAAGACTCTGATTGTCTGATCAATTCGAATTTATCAGACAACAAAAGTCTCACAATTCATGCAATTTTCTATTTTGCTGAAGAAATTAATTTACGATCATAGTTATATATTTATTATACGTATATTAATTTGCAACTTATAAATTCGTTTTTATAAATGTAAACTCGTGTTATTACGATTTATTCTAACACACACACACACACACACACACATATTTATTTATTTATTTATTTATTTATTTATTTATTTATTTCTTATCTCTCATTTAATATAATACTTTAAATACGAGTACACTTTCACGTTTGCAGATAAAGGGATATTATCAGCGAGTAATATCGTTATTCGACTCAATATAACACCGAGTAGTAGGATGCACAGACGATTGTTAATACTGTTCGCCGGATATGCGACGAAATTGCATATACAGGATGTTCTATTTTAACTGTTAATCCCAAATATCTCAGAAACAAGACATTACAGAAACAAACAGAAGTGCGTCAAAGAAAAGTTCTAAGGTTTCAAGGGGGAAAGAAGATGGTAATATTTACTTAGTTTTGGAATGACGTTGACAGATCCTTTCAAGATCATTTCAGATTTAAGTTCAAGAATATTGCCACCCGTTTTCCCCTTTGAAGACACACAATTTCTATCTGACACATTTTTTTCCATAATATCTTGTTCTTTGAGGTGTGAAATCAAAATGGGACATCCTGTACACTGAACTCGGCGCAAGGGAGGCTTGAATAATTTCATAAATATACAACTGCCTGCGATAATAAACCGACTAACGAACGAAACACCGATGACTCTGTACATATAAGCAGCGCTAGTCTAAGTCCGCCCGCGCAGGGGAGATCCTCCCGCGTGGGTTTAACAATAATTAACGTCTCGTTAATTTAAGCGCGCGTCCTTGCGATTTCTCATTCTAAATCTCCGGATGGATAGACGTAATTCTAATAATTCTTCGCCCTAGTTGAAGCTCCTGTCCGATTGTGTCGGGTCGAATCATATCTTCTCGTCGTCTTCTCGTGTCACGGGCAATCCGCCTCCTCGAGAAGTGTAGGACGTCGTGAAAAAAAAAAAAAGAAAAAAAGAAAAACAAGAAGATGCAAGAACGATACCTAATGAGAACGACATCGTGCGAATTCGTTGATCTGCGTCTCGCGGACGAGACTCTCCTAGAGCCGCTGGTATTCATTGAGACGCGGAGGTGCGTTAATTCCATTATGTAATATCGGTCCGCACTTGCGTTTGCGGTGGGGATGTGCTCTAGATACATTAAACGCGTATCTTAGGACGATTAAATCAATTGAAGCGATATACCGCTGTGCGGTGCAATCGATAGCAGAGTTTCACTCGTACTCGTTTAGTGACGAATGTGATTATTAGTTTGATACATATATATATACACACACATATATATATATCTATCTACATGTTTAAAATCGATATTAGCTAGAAGATCGAAAAAGAGGAAGAAGAGAATAAATATATATACATATATATGATAAATATATATGAAATGTCAGCGGTGTGTGACGAGAGTACTCGGTTTATCGCGTAAACAACGTTCTTGACGCAAAGCAGTCTCAATTTTAAACAAAGTTTTATATTACAGTGCCAAATCGATGTTAGCACAAGTGTGTGAAACTCTAACGGATATAAATACAATTATGGATCGTATTCCGTAGGATTAAGGGCAAGCGGGAGAGAATCGTCGTCTCTCGAAGCGCGTTAAGTCGATATACGATAAGTGCGAATACGTTTTGTAAATAAGAGAAGATTATAGATACGTAATATATAATACGATATATATAGAATGTTTCGGTATTATAGACGAGAATTTAACTGGCTAATAGAAATCGCAATGACAGACTAAGAAGGTTTGAATAATCAACTACAAACTATATAATATCATTCTCGAGATATCTATTTCTTTCATTTCACGAGTGTATTTGTATTTTTAATATTTCCTGCTTTTCGCACAATATCGCTAAATTCTTAAAAACATCAAAATCAAGCAAAAGCATCACACACACATTAATTCTCATTATTCTCAGAAACATCTTATAATTTCTTTTTTTAAATTGCATTTCATAAAAACAAAAGATTCACGATTTATATTACTAATTCAAGTTATACTTTTCAATTTTTATCGCAAATTAATTTTCATTTAAATCTGAAGATTCTCCATACCTTTTATCATAATAATCTAATGCTAACAATTCTTATTTTGAAAAAGAGCCTTTCTTTACCTATTGGAAGCGCCAAAGTCTTCGTTTTCAAGTGAGTTTCCGTTTCAAGTCGCTACACACCCGAAAAGCGAAGACATCGATCACCATATCGAGCCGCGCTTTCGATCCGTTCAGCCGAAGTGAAGCTTTAAATGGCGCCTGCTGAGCGCCGCGCGACAGCGGCATGAATGAGGACGCGCAGTGGGCGAACAGCTGATGTACTACGGGAGTAGGGCAGGTCCGCGTTCCAACACGCCATGTAAGGCACGCGCCATATAAGGTGACTGGAACGCGGCCTTGTCCCCACTCCAACGCTGTGTCAGCTGACGAGCACGTGGTCGCCCGACCACGCGGTCGTCAATCTCATTCGCGCGCGAACTGTACAGAGTGCGCCAGTGTGCAGCGTGCGGGTTCAGCGTTTGCCAGCATTCAACCTGACTCTGACCTAACATGTCTGACCTAACGTTAAAATGCCGCTTTATTCATATAATTTAAACATCTAAAATATTTAACATCTGAATATATCTAAATATATTTAAATATACTGCAAAAATCGCAAAAATGGTTTCCGTCACATCTACTGTCAAGTTATGCCAGCAGGTTCAGTCGAAAGAACACGGCTACCCTTTTAAAAAAAGACCAACAAAAATGATAAAATGTTTCCAAGTTTTATTAAAATTAAATTATGTGACTTTGAACATTTCTACCGGAAATTTCAATTCATATAAAAGAATTATCAATTTCTTTCGTTTCATATCGTAATTCATATTAATATGTAATTTTAATGATATATTTTTATGATATATTAAATTATAAGATAAGATATTAAGCGATTAAATATTTATTTGAATGCATATATCTTTCTATGTAATTTTATTACATTTGATCAAATACATGATTCAGTTTCATAGAGTTTTTTTAATGTAATTTTACCTAATTTTTTAAGCAAGATATGAATCTGCTGTGGTATTCTAATCGAATCTGCTGTCAACCTGTCTGTTAACATTTTGCTTATTAAGTTCGTAATCCTAATGACAGCAAAATCGATTATCACTAGGTCGAAACGAAAATATAAATACAATATATGTGAAAAATATCTTACCTATACAGCACTAAAGTCAATATTATTATTACTGAAATATTGCTATAATATCTCAGTAAATTAAATTTTTGCATGGAAATGTTGCTATGATATCTCAGTAAGTTAATTTTTTTTGTGCAATGTTGTAATAATATTGTCTATCGTGCAGAGAGCAGCAGTACATTAATACCACTATGTCAACTTTAGATAGTAAGGTAGTTATATAGTGAAATAATATGAATTTAACCAAAACCCGAGCAGCACATATTGGCTAACGTTTAGCTGTTATGGATTCAATACTGACTCAATGCATTGTGCTGCTAGGGAAAGCAACCTCGAATCAATCAGGAAAACCTTGTATTAATGTTCATCAACACAATCAAAAGCTTCTTAAATTTAATTGATATCGCTCTAATATTTTTGTGCTATACGGACATATATCTACCCTAACAGCACAGATGTCCATGGGACATCCAAAGTACATCCTGAAGAAGTCTTGAGGACATTTCTTCGTCTTCAGAACGTCCTTAGAATGTCCTTAGGAGATCTTATGCCGCGTACATACATAAAAAGATATAAGCAGATAGAATATCTCGAAAATAGTGATTAGTTCGCGGACTTACCGTGTGTTTCGAGCTTTATTAGCCAGTTAAGTGTTCAGTTACAATCGCGAAATATCCTTTATATACATATATACGTAGTGCGCGGTATTAAGTGTGTGCGGAGGCAACGGCTATCATAGCCGTCTGTATCCTCATGAATGAGATTTGAATTACATAAGTCTAAGCAGTCAAAGCTGGTTCCTTTCGAATTCCACGAATGTAATCTCACTTAAGCTTCGTAGGATTACTTTTTTATATCTATAATTATATTTAATGCTAAATGTTACGCGCTCTAAGCTACTTCTCTGTTAATGGACCTCGCGACTTGCACAAAGGACTAGGATTCTCAAAAGGAAACGTTAATGCCGCGGCAATTAAATAGGATAATTCATCGGAATTGTACAATATATTTCTCGTTTTTCGGCGCGACGTATTATTTTCCATGTAAATAACATTGTCGTGATAGGAAACGTGAGACCTGTGAGCATGTCCACGAGCTTTACCACGGCGACCCCGTGAACTTTAAGAAAGATCACGCCTCGTTGTGTTGCCCTTCTTTTAATATTTGCGTGCCGCTAATTCGATATCAGATCGTTTCGACCGTGAAAGAGGTATCGCCTGCCTGTTGCACCGCTCATGCAAAGAATAACACGTCGCGAGCTCGGCACACACACACACATAGAGAAATATCATTCTATCGCTAAGAAAAGCGATTACTCGGTTTACTTTCCTTCCTTTATATAATAGTTACTTTCAACAAAAAATATTTTCTTGATAATAGTCTTACAATGTTCCCATCGCAAATTTTAGAAAAGCTCATCGTCATATGCAAGAAGAATTTATTAGAAGAATTTATTTATTTATTTAAAAAGAATTTATTTATTTATTTAAAAGAAGAATTTATTATTCTCTTTACAAGAGTATTATGAAATTTCATGAAAGAAAAAATTAGTTCGTTTTTATATGTAGTAAAAGCTATTCGCGTCACGCACGGGTTTTTCTTTTAATTTAATATTCTTGATTGAAATGCTACATTCAGGATTCAGAATGTGTTTTGAATCAATTTGATGCTTGCGATGAATTTATTCCAGACAAAACAAACTTCTAAAGGATATCTCAAGATGTATAAAAGATGTCTAAGTAAAATAGGATATCTTTAAGACTTCTGAATCCTTACTGCAAAATTCTTGATTGACGACGTCAGAAACGAGAATACACACACTGAAAATTCTTGCAAAATATGTTGAAATAAAAAAATATATCCATAAAATAACACTTGCAATCAGACACTTATAAAATAACATTTTCCTTCGAACATTTTCCTTTTGCTCGAACGACCAATAAATAACCGTAAAATTGATGTGACGTGCAATTATTCTTTTGAATCTATCTTTTCTCAAGATTTTGTCCCGTTAATTTTACGGCTATTTATTGATTATAAATAAAAGGAAAGTATTTGGACACACACGGTCTGCTCGATTGATTACAAATATCATTTTGTTGACATATTTTATTCTGTTCGCGGATATATCGACTTACAAAATACTTGAAACAGTGCAAAATACTTGAAATATTTATTTGAATGTAGAATGTATTTTTCTGTGTACACGCGTTCCTCGTAAGAGAAATTACAGTACCGAGAGCGTAAATCAATACCGTAAAATATCCTACAGAGAGAATATTATAGTCTTTTTTTGTATAAACTCTTCAATTTTATTATGTTTTTAGTAGTCCAGGAATAAACTGTCAGTAAGGTTTATCTCGCTAAGGAACATGGTAAATTTCGCTAAAAACATAGCAAGTATTTTAATGGTACATTTCAGTTCCTGAAATATATAAATAGAACATTATTATTTCAGTTTATATTTCAGTTCCTAAAATATATAAATAGAAAATAAAGGAATAATGTGAATAGCTGCAGAAGATCGATTTATTTCTAGAGAGATTGAAAAATCTCATAATAATTTTTACTATAAAATTCTCTCCGTGTAGGGGCGAACCGATGCAATCTTGGCTTCCCTCGCGGCCAAAACGCATGTGTATCCTCTATTCCGCGATACTTGCTCGAGGAAAAACTCAATTTAGTTGTGAAAAATCCATACACTTGCCTCGTTACTTACCTCTCGTTCGCTAAAGTCCCCGAGTTCATTCATCGAATCCGCCGTTAGTTTTTTTGATGGCCTAATTGTGTTTATTTACCTGTACTATTTCCCACCGGTATTTCACGTCACACACATATACATACACAGGCGCGTCCCAAGTTCGCCGCCTATCCACTTCCGGGCTAAAGAGTGGAAGAAGTCACATCACCGATCGTAAAGAGTAACCAACGATATCAAGCTCGTCAATACGATCTCACTACGTATCGTTAAGTGTCGCGTCGAATAGATTAAATGAACTTTAGACTGATAACGAGGACGATCAACGTGACCGTGCGTCGCAGACGAACGCGACAGTTCTTCGTGCAGTTCTTTTATAAAGCGTCTCGCGCGTCTCGTTGACGCGGCGCGAATAACATGCGTCAATTAATGAAGGAACTTAAATTAAAGAAAAAGCGCGTCACCGCGATATGTAACACGCCGTTTTGTCGCCCGTCTGTCGAATGTGTACAGGAATCCTTCACATGACCGTTTTCGCTTATTTTCCCGCAAAGTCGCCATACGGTCTGAGCTGTCAAGTGACAGATTCCTCTAAGAAAGTCCGCTATCATCATTCAATCCTCGCTTACTGGCATTATGAATGCAAACGTGCCAGACAAATACTTGTTCCTTTCATTCATGAAATATCTTTGGGTTAGAGTCGAAGAACAGTTTTCACCTCAAAATATAACAAGCAGAGTTGTGAAAATATTTTATTGATTTTTTCTCAATTTCACTGATCTAAACAAATATATTTTTTCAACTAATTAACGATTGATTTAAGCAAAATCAACCGAAGAATGTTTCATTGAATTTGTTGAAATCAATCGTCAATCGAACGGTTTTCAACTAAATTTGTTGAAATCAATTAAACAGTCTTTAGTTGAATAGGCTCATATTAATTACAAATTATATAAACACGATAATTAATTAAAAAGGTAATTAATTACTCACAATCCTGGCAACAAGTATCCTTTAATTTGTTACATTTAACAAGAGAACAATTAAATAAATTTTGCTCAATTGAATAATTGATCTCATTAGATATGTTTTAATTCAACTGATTGACGATTGATTCGAGCAAAATCAATCGAAGAATGTCTAATCAACAATTGATTCCAACGATTTCAATTAAAGACGGCTCAATTGACGATTGAATTTATTAAAATCATCAATTATCAATTAAATGGTCTCCATTTGAATTTGTTCATATTAATTGCTAATTAAACACGATAATTGCGTTGGCTCATATTAATAATTAATTGAACACGATAATATGCCGACGAGATCAGCGGCGAGGCCGAACACGGGCCTAGACCCGCGATATTGACTTTATTTGGCTGCTGGAGTGTCCTGCGTTTTCCTCAATTCTTCTGCATTTTGTATCAAACATCTGAAAATAAGGAAAATTGTGTTACTTGTTACACACACCATTTGGGTAGGTCCTTTATTGGCCATCTCCCAATTGGATGAACAACAAGAAAAACAAAACAATTTAATGTCATCATTTTGCATATTAACAGGACTTCAAGAACTGTCAACGCAAAACAGGGGCCTCTTCTGTTTATTATATTATTTTTAGTTATTTCTGTACATTATTTTTCTTTACATTATTTTTCATTATTCTGTACGTTATTTTTCTGTACATACTTTGTTTAACTACATGTCGCAATCTATTATACACGAGAATAGTTATTTAGTTTTTCTATCAACTTAATTCAACAGGTGCTTATTTTTTAATAAACAGACTTTATATATGAGTATTAATGGTTACACAAAAGCTTGTCAGCAATGTAAGAATTTTAAAATATCAAAAAGTATAGCAGTCCACAAACAAAATCTATTTATTACCCTACACGGCGAACTTGATTCAATTAATGATACGTGTAACCAAGTTCCTCGTCTAATTTAATCAAATAAGACAATACTTACCGAAACAAACAAAATTTCACACAATACACGCCTTCTTAGACTTCGATCAGCTGGCTGTTGGGAACAGTGAGGTGCTCGGCGGAACAAAATCTCGCAGGCTCGAGTTTATGCGTCAGCTACGTCATGCAGGCGCAAAAGATCTGTCCTCCGAGTAACATTTACTATACTACTTAAGTTATTCAAAAGCTCTCAGAAAAATAACAGTTGCCAATATGTTTTACGCGCGCACTTGTAGAAAAGTAATCAATTCTTCAATTTTCTGTCATAAACCCACGATTGTAATCATAAAATTCCGGTCAAGTGAGGATTGATTGTACCCATCACCGTTATTCGTCTTCGATGATCATCATGGCGACCATTCGCGAACGTTCCAGAATATTCAGTCGCATTTATTATCTCGCAATTAACTGAATATCACTTGGCGTGCGTAGATCTCTAGTGGATATCCATTCTGCGTTGTTATCGATTATGTACGCGTTCAATTACGTTGTAGTATAATTTATTATACGTTTAACATATTCTATAATAAATGTTGTCGACAAATTATCATAATGGATTCTCTTCCTCTGGCTCGATAATCCTGTCGCGCGTTCAGCATTAAATACAGCTGATCAGCATTAACAACACTTCTCTTTCTTTTTATGAAAGTTATTGAACGGTTTATCTCGCGAATAACGTTATATTGGTAAAAATAAACGGTTTCAGTCGTGGTCACGATCACACGGCGTTAAATGTGAACGTCATCTTAAGCTTTATGTACACGAACCTTATATAGAAAGTAGAGTGTATCAACAAACTGGTAGATAGATGACCACTTTCAGCGGCGGGAATGAAACCTCGACTCCCCGACTCCCCGAAAACCCCGATCTTCAGCCATGTAGTCGCATAGAAAAATAACTTACAATCGCGAAATAGTATATATCAGTTACTCGGTTAACGCTATATAAAAATATGATTTGCGCGATAAGACCGGTATATGCGCATACACACCATATCGCGAATCGTTTAAGAACAATTAGCCTTGATAAACACACGGTGAGTTCGAAAAATATATATGTACACATCGCAACAATATACATATGTACATATCGCAGCAATAGGAAAATTACGTACAGTCTATCACGGTTTATTATATCGGACTCGCTGCCGATCCTGATGACCATAATACTCGGTGAGAATTAGCTTAAATAGAAACAGGTGGAACACAATTATCAGAAAACATATGCTAACCCAAAACAACGTGGGCAAACCGCCCAGCTGATGTCCGTGTTTGTGCAGAGCCATCACCTGATGGTCGTGCGCTGGCGCTGAAAAGAACAGAAAATATGTGTAATATACCTCAATATATTGAACGTACAAATCTCCGTGTTAAAGAAAATTGATTATATTTAATAATAAATCAATAATATACATACATATGTATGATTATATAAAGAGGATGAGGCAATAATTATTACTATCTTGAGATATTTCTGTTATTTCAAATAATATAGGAAAATAGCGTCTACCAAAGTTTTATGGTTTCCAAAAAGAAGTAACATAGTGACGATAATTCTTTCGTGTACGGAGATATATAGAAGATTTCAAGGCTATTTTAAAATTTATTAATAGAATCATATGATTTTTCTAATGCAAATCAATTTCTTTGATTCTGCGTATAAAAATAAAATTACCGAGAAATAAACACTTTCTGAGATATGTTCCATTTTATTCTGATACTTTTCAGTACACACAAGATATGAAATATCTCGTAAACTATTTTCTTTCCGACAACCTCACCTAAATATTTTTCTACGCAGAATGATGAGAAAAATCAATTGGTAATATTAATTTTTGCACACTGGTGTATCAATGAATCTGCAAAATGCAGAATTTTAAGATTTTTATTTCTTTTTTCTTTCAATAGCAAAGATTTTTATTTCTTTTTTCTTTCAATATCGATTTTACCTATTATTCTAGAATATAGAAATATTAAATTTTATTTTATTTTCTTAGAAAACACGAAAGTGTTTGAATATGTTGTATTTTCATACGTACCATCGTCCACCTCGTGCACATGCAGAGCGTTGCGAAGTTCTTGCATATGCTGATGATCGGACGTTATGTAGAGTATCGCTGTTAACGGTTTCGTCAACTTCACGGGGAAATTCGTATAGGTTTGGCCAAGAGGGACTGGAGCGTCCAGACAGCCGGCGTCGCATCCGAAATATACACTATCGCTCTTATCTAACGCTACCCCTAATATTGCGCGATTATCCTCGCCGACTGTTACAGATATATTCAGATGCGTCAAATTGCCGTAACTTATACGTCTGAAATACATTTCAAATGATAAATTAATCTGTCGACAATAAAAATAAAGGTGTGCTTAACGCAACAGAAGGTAATACAACAATAACATCAATAATACTCTTGTGAAATACTAGTAATGTAATATAATAATAGCGAATTGTACCTGAACAAGTAATCGCGATGAAGATACTGAGGATCAATATTAAACTCGAGATGTTGATTACTGAATCTGAAACCACCGAGACTCAACACGATGGCTTGCTGTACAGCTGCGGGGCCACCAGTCACCAGATGATGACAACCTTGCTTTTCCAACGTTATCAACCATGCTTCAACTATCTCGTTCACAGCGTCGATGGATGTGGTATCCTTCCACAAGCGAGTAGCATCCCTGAGCGAAGAAGCCACGATGCTTGTAGCGAGCGAATTACTCAAAGACAACGACTTAATCTTTATCACATACTACTTACAAGGTATGATGACCTCGATAACATCCCTCGTTCATGACAACGTTCTTCTCCACATCCTGAGTACTCCGCGACACTTGGGACAGTACATAATACATAGTAGAGTTGATTTTGTGGCCGTTGATGGCGCCCTCGGCTTTGGAATCGCTTATTCGCAGACTCGTGTACCAATAATTCTGCCAAAGATTCACATGCTCCTCTCTCAAGCCTCGTTGCTGTTGCACGATTGCCTTCTTCAACAACTGTAAATAATGAATGCATTCTAAAGGGCATGTATTTTTACCACGCAAAGAACATTTGATCGCGCGTTTCCTTACGTCGATTGCTCTTTTCTTGGTCGCATCGCGTTCCACGTGATATTGCTCGGATGAAATTGGCTCGCTGTACTGTATACTCGTCAAGAACTCGAGCTTGATGGAACTGCGCGCTTTCACCTGTACCCTTTCAGGCGGCACTTTGTAAATAATCGATACCACTACTATCTTATTCGAACTGGGTAACGGTACGAATCCAGACACGAAAGTGTACTCGTGATTAAATCCATCGATTTGAATCCTGACGTTGAAAAACGTAATGAACGATAATGTTTTACCTAATTTTATAATAATGCTGCTACTTACTTGATCGGTTCTACATGAGAATTACTCCAATGAGTGGATTCCTGCGGCTTCAACGGCACCTCTTGGGAAAGTAGAAATGGATTAGCCAGTTTTATATTCTGTACTAAGATTCCTTCGAGACCTCTGTGAGCATAATATTGAGAGTCTATATGATATCCCTCTCTAAGGCACTGGTACTTGTAAACAATTCCGTTTGTAAAATGAACGACGGTCGCTTCTCGATACGAGGACATATCCTTAGATATAGGATGAGTGATCAATGGTTGCCATTGTACTGGCAGCAAGAGAGCTCTTCCGTGTTTAATGTACAGCCAACCTTCGGGAGAAATGGGAACGCCAAAAACACCGTTTCCAATATATGGCAGGTAAGGATGTTCATTCTCTTTAGGTGGGTTATGAAGAATATTCACATTATATTCGGCCGCATCGAAGTAAAAACTGGCTAGTCTCTCATTTATGCAGTGATCTTCAAATGCTGTAGAAATATATATGTATTAATATCAAATGTAACAGAAACTTTTAATCCTATAAAATATTCGAGAATTTTCCTTAAATGTATCTTACATAGTCCTATAACAGATCTATAAGAAATAGCAAAAATATCTTTCTAGAAAAGAAGATTGTTATATTATATATCTTTTGTGCTATATATGTATATTTTCATGATAATTTTCATCATAGAATATAATAACTACAAAGTATAATTAAATTAAATTTATTAAAAAGCTTTATTTATTCAATAAATTAATTATCAAAAATTTAACTATTAATGAATTGACACTAGAAAGTCTGGAGACAATCCTTTGAATTTTCAACACAATTTTGTCTCTATGCAATGCTAATATTTTAAAACTCTGTTTCTCATTACTCATCAATGAAAGCTTCTGAATATGCTAAGAATGCAATTTGTGAAATAAAGACATTTTATATTGTTTTATTTTATAAACAAGTTACAACATATTTTTATAAACAATATACGAATTATAAACAAATTACAACTATTTTTATAATTCTTCCAAATTTATAATTTCCTACTGTAAGATATATCATAATTATTACTTATTTGCCTTTTATAATTAGTACAAGAAAAACTAGTAAATGAACACAGAATAAAATATAAACTTAATAAATGTTAAACAACTAAAATCTCAAATAATAGTTTATATACTGCTTTTATAGCATTGATTTAGATAACAAGTCAAAAGAACTCTTTTTGGATATCCAAAGTAAATCATAAAATAATTAATCACAATATTATCGATCTCTTCTATTACTTCTTCAGTATGTTCTACTTTAAAAATAATTAGAAAATAATTAAAAGTCAAGAAAGATTTTTATTCCAAACCAAAATGAGATTAAACAGAAATGGTGACAACAAGAAGATTGTGAAGAAGTCAAAATACTCCATCAATTATTCTATATGTAATGTTAACAACTTCAGTGTAATAATAAATGTATAATAAATACCTCAATTTTTATTTTAACATAAAAGCAATAGCTGAATAACATTACGTATCTATCACATTATTCTCTTGGTCTGTTCTTTTCAGCTGCACTGCTGAACTGGTGCAGTAAGTTAAAGTGAGACAAGTATATGTTTTCTCACTCTAATTTATTGCACCAGTTCAGCAGTGCAGCTGAAAAGAATAGACCACATATTATTAAAATTCCTCGGTACTCGCGTCATCTCTTTTTTAATGATGTTAGAAACGAAAAAACGTACACTAAAAATTTTTGCAAAATACATCAAGATAAAAGTGATGTATCCATAAAATGACATTTGCAATCGATTAAGTACACCTCTAAAATATTGCATACACTTTCTTTTCGTCCTAACAATCAATAAATAATCGTAAAATTAATCAGAATAATGAGGAATTTAAGTTAGAAAAGATGGTTGCATGTCACGTTATTTATTGATTCTTGAAGCAAAAGTGTTTGGAATATTTTAAAGGTATGCTTAATCAATTGCAAGTGTCATTTTGTGGATATATCTTTTTATCTCGACGTATTTCGCAAGAATGTTTAGCATGCATTTTCTTGCTTTTAATGTTATTAAAAAAGAGATTTTAATATTTATAAGTCTTAAAACGTTTTAAAAAATATTTTGTTTATATAACTATATTCCCAATCCAGAAGTGTTTAAATGTCTCCGACAAGACAGTAAATTGTAATACTTGCATTCTTTAATATAAGACATAGTCTGTCAGGAAATTACATCACTCAAAAGTTGCAAGCCGGTTAGAAGTTATCACCTTCGATAGGTTCCCTGACGGTGGAGAAAAGCCATTGCGCGACAGGTGGACCGAAGTACAGCAGCAGGCCGCCGCAGATCAAGACGAACAGCAGGATCTTACGGTAGGAATAATTGCCGTCCAGGAGACGGCGCACACGCTTGCCGAACTCACGGCCGTCCAGCATGCCACCGGTTCTCATCGCGGGAGCGTTCGCGCACCGTAGAAATTTTGGAAATTACCGGAGCGTTAACGGTAATGCTGGTCTTGACGTTGAGACGGCGGTGATCATAACCTCACAGACAGTCGAGGAAGAAGTCGCACGAGTCGCCCGTGAAATCCTCTCTCGCCCCTACGACAACATCGTTCTTGACTTGACAACTGCGTGTACAGTCGTACACGAACGCGAAATGGCCGGACACATCACACACATCGCAAACACTATGCAAATGTCAATACCGGCCTGCACGACATCAGCTGTCACCAGAGGCGACTTTCACTGACTTTCACCAGAGAGAAGCCTGAGAGCTGCCACCGGCTTCATTTTAGCAGAGAGAAGCCTGAGAGCGGCCACCAGCGTAATTTTAGTGGCCAGAGCTAGGCGCATTTTCGAGACGCCATCTAACAAAGTGCACCTTTACTACGTTCGTTAGGCGCATTTTATCTATTGTTACCACCGCGAAAATGCGCCTAATGAACGTAGTAAAAGCGCACTATGTTAGATGGCGCCTCGAAAATACGCTTAACTCTGGCCACATTGAAAGCAGGCTGGTGCCGCTCTCATGCTTTTCTCTGCTACCACTCCTACTGCCATTGTAGACGACGCATAAGGCTTTACAATATGCAAAATAAGCCGTAAACAACTTTCTTTTACGTATAAACAGTTAAATTATATGTCTGTCCTCGTTTTTTCTTCAAATTGAATAAAAACAAACATATAATTGAACTATCAGACTGTTACCAAAAGAGGTTAAAATAACGGGCTCTAATGTCCGTTTCCACAAATTTTGGTTATAACAACTTTGATTTTTTATTTTTCGAGTAGTACGATTCAGTGATGGATCAGAGGGATCATCTTCATCAGTATTGTAAGTGAAAGACAGGTTAGACGGCTCTTCGTTTTCAAATAGTTTCAATGAATTGCACAGGTTCTGTTGCGTCCTCTTGAATTTCATCGATTTCATCGAAGCGCGCGCGAGTCAACGAAGCGCGTGGCGACGAGGGGCGACGCGCCGCTCCTGTCGCAGAGCTCGAAAATCGAACACGTTCCGTGCGCTTGGTGAGCGCGCGACTACGCTGTCACTGGTCGTCATATCGGCTCTGGTCCGCGTCACGGCGGCGTCACGGCGGCGGTAACGACGACGACGACGACGTCAGGCAGCAACAAAGACCAGCGACGCGACAGCTGGAAGAAATTGACCGCCGACGACGACGACGTGCGTCTCGTTTTCCCCGCGACGCGGAGCGTTCAGTAGTGAACCAACGATCGTCGCTGAGAGACGTCGATTCTCGCTGATTGACGGGCGATCGCGCGTCGTTGATGTCAGCCGCACTTTCACATGAGACACATGGCCACTCTGAACGCGTGTAATTAGGCGAGTTAGAAAGCAAGCACGAGCATGAACGTCGCCAGGAAGAACGTCTTCCGTACTTTGGAGCACGCACGGTTTCACAGTAATTATTAACTAGCAACATTTCGCAAGTGGTGCTTATTAATCGTGGGAAACGTCAGACACGTCGAATGCCAAGATACAAAATAATGTTGCGGCGTCGATAAGATGAAGAGTGAAGAACAATAGGAATTTTAATAATCGCAATGTACCAGTATTGCTGACCATGAGATGTCAGGCAACTGAAATGTTATAGTTTTTAGGTGTGATAAAGATTGAAACATTTCGGTCTTGATCAATTTAAAATGTCTACTTTAATTGTCTATATTTTACTTATAAGAATTTGTATAGTGAATGTTAAAACTTCATTGTTGAATAATGTTAATATTGTTCTGAAAAGTCATTCTGTTTTTTTTTTAATATGAAATTTTTTATTAATAGCACCTTATCAGTGTGTTTGTTGCAATGGTTTCTTTACTTGTGTTATCAATTTTCCAGCCTAATCAGCTTTTGCTGCCAAATAGCAAGCATTTAAATTTGATGATACACATGAATCATCAATATATAAAGGAATGAGATTCACAATATGCAAGAACCATGATAGTTAGTGATTTGTTGTGAAGTAACTTGCGTGAGAGTGGACCAATACAGCAATATACAGTGACAGCAGACATGTTTGGTTGTCCCAGAGAGGCTGTACGCGTCAAAGTTAAGGTAATAATTACTTAGAAACCTAAAATACAACAGAAAGTTTTTTCTTTATTAAATTTAGGCTATTTACTTAGTTTGTACACATTGTAGCATGAAAATATACAATAGAATATTAAATAACAGCAATTATGTAATATGTGTAACATAGCCAAATGTCACAAATATATTAATTAATTATGATACAAGGACTCACAACTCTTCTATGTATCTCTATGTGATATTTTTCTACACTTTTAAGGTTTCTGTGGTTTATACAGAAAAAATAAAATTAAGAAAGAATAATGATAGGTATGTTCTTTCTTTTTCAGAAATGCGAAACAAGGCATCAACCGGAATACCGCAAATTCAGTGTGGATCCTCAGATAACATCGATAGAAGTGCTGCAAAGTATTCTTATCAAGGCTTTCGATATAAAGGGGTAAGTCACATTGTTGAGAAAATTTAGTGGCACACATCAGGTAATGTTTCTCATTCATTCGATTTCCTTCTGAACAAAATTCTACACTCAAAACATCACGATTGATTATGAGATATATCTCTTTTAATTTAAAAATAAAGATAACACAAGTAATTTTCTAAAATTACTTGAATGTAACGTAGTTCTCTTATATATTATTCACTATAGCAGTTATTAATAATGTACACCGTGTTACTTTTCACCAAATTCGATACTACTTAGCCACACTCAACATCACAGACACCATAGTAGAGCTTCTTGTGAAGCACGTTTTACGCGTGCGAATGTCTATAAATTTATCGAGGCGCACTCGCCACGCCATGAAATATTAAACGGCCACGCCGTAAAAATTGATCGCGTACCGCAGGGAGTTCACCGTGTCGTATCGTGCGATCGACGATTATGGCTCGGAGACGTATCTGTTCTTACTCTCGGACTGGGACTTAGACGCCGCGTTTATCAGGTGACCGAACGCGATATACACTGATAATATGCTTATCAAGACCTCCCCGTTCTAATGTGAATTCTTTCAGCGCGTCCGAGCCGTACCTCTATCTGCAGGTGAACCTGAAACCGTTCGGCGAAACTGGAGACTGCGAGTGCTACTGGGAGCAAAATGCGCAGGAAGTTTCGACGCGTCAGCAGGAAACCGGGTTTCCTTACAAAACACCGAAGCTGCCCGGTCTCATAATGAATAAGGTAACCGCAGTTGCGCGCTTTCGCTATTGGTCTACGGTTGATCGTGAGACACCGGGAGAATCTCGCAGATGTTCGATATACTTGTGATTAATATTTTTTTATTATCTATATCTGCAGAGTATATGACAACTCATGACATACTGTTATATGTATAGGTGAAACTCATCACATTGAACACAAAATTCCTTTACCATTTCGCAAACAGCCACGTAAAATTTTGAAATACCGATCAATGAACATTGATGGATGATCACGCACGATACAGTAAACTGCGATGACGAAATCTATCGTTGTGTATTTGTACATTGTGTCAGGTTGAACAAAAAAGTCCTCTACCATTTTGTAAAAATATACCACGTATATTTTTAGTTACTGATTAGAAGAGATTGGTGTATGTTTGTTCTCGATAACGCACCATTTTCTTTAATAATTAATAACTAAAAATCTATGTGATATAGGATCTTTTTGTCCAGTTTTACCTACAACAACAGATTTCGCCATCACAGGTCATCTATCATGCGTGATCTTTCACCAATCTTCTTTAACTGACTCCAAATTTTGGACGTGGTTATTTACAAAATGGTAGATGAATTTTGTGTCCAGTTTGATGGATTTTACCTGCATACACACTGGGATGTGTTGTAAATTGTCAGATATCCTATATATAATTATATATTAATTTTATATTTATTGCATCACTTATAGTTACTTTTCACGTATGTTATGGGAAGACATCAGACGCTTGATTTTCGTTTTCAGATGGAGAGGACACTGAACATGGTGCAACGTGCGTTAGGTAATCTCGGCGAGGAGTCGTCCCATCAGCAAAGTGCTCAGCCTCCGCAACCGCCATTGACAGACGCCGAGTTCCGGCGATTCCTGGATCCGATCGGTCAAGTAGTACAATCGAAAGAACTGAGGGCGGTCATCTATTTCGGTGGGATTGAACCTAGCCTGCGCAAGGTCGTGTGGAAACATATCTTAAACGTGTATCCAGAAGGGATGTCGGGTCGTGAGCGAATGGATTACATGAAAAGAAAGGCGCAAGAATATCAGAACTTGCGCGAACGATGGCGAGCGTTAGTGCAAAAGGGACAGAACGTTGGCGACCTCGGCTACGTCACCAGCATGGTGAGAAAGGACGTTCTCAGGACGGACAGGCATCATAAGTTTTACGGCGGCTCGGATGACAACCAGAACACGGCGAGTCTGTTCAACATCTTGACGACGTACGCCTTAAATCATCCGAGCGTGAGCTACTGCCAGGGCATGAGTGACTTGGCTTCACCGCTTCTCGTCACGATGCGGGACGAGGCACAGGCTTACATCTGCCTGTGCGCTCTTATGAGAAGATTGAAGGACAACTTCATGCTCGACGGTATCGCTATGACTACCAAGTTCGCTCACCTCGCAGAAGGTACGCCACCGTGAACGATCGTGCATTGGAAATGCATCTTGCGATTCATTCGTTCCGCCAGCTTTCAAACTTACACAGAGTTCCCTAGAAGCTCTCACCTTGCGATCTCAACTCTTGCGCAACCGAGCGTCGCATGAGTGTCACACACACGCTTTCCATTTAACAGACCAGTGTTGCATACGTGTAACAAATCTGTGCACAAAGATTCACCGTGATCGTAGATTTGTTTACCGCTTTAAGCTTTATCATTCCACATTCTTCCGATCACTGTGGAGTCTATCTTTCCTCATCTAAAATGTCAATGCTTTAATCTAAAATTAGATGCGCGTTTCCTGCACAATATCCTCAAAGCGATTACTAGCCGTGAGGATACATTCTCTCGCAGGTCTTCAGCATTACGACCCCGACTTTTATGCGTACTTAAAGTCCCATCAAGCGGACGATCTGCTATTTTGCTATCGCTGGCTTCTGCTGGAGATGAAGCGTGAATTCGCGCTGGACGACGCGCTCAGGATGCTCGAGGTACTATGGGCGGCTCTACCAGCGTCACCACCGACCGGCGAGCTGAGTCTCGCCGAGGTACCCTTTCCGCCACCTTCGCCGCCGCCGAGTCCGAATGTGAAGCATATTCGTGAGAACGCGTACACTAAGGTCTGTGCTATCAGACGGCAAAGCTCCTCGGCCAGCATCGCCGCCAATGTGAAGCGGAAAACCTTTAGCACAGAGGAGCCAGCTTTACAATCAGCTACCGAGGTTAACGGAGAAACGAAAAGGTTTCTTGCTTGCATAGTTGCTCGTACTTGAAGACGTCGATTCACTTTTTGAATAAGATTCAAATCTAAGTAGATTTCTTTTTTCATAAAAAAACTCGGTTTGTATAACAAGTTAGTGAAAATCCTTGAAATCAGTAAAAATTGATAGCATTGAGAGTAAATTAAAGGAGAAAACAAGACCATATAAAATATGTGTATTTTATAATAATAAAATTATAATTTCCAATTTCTTTGAATCTATGACCTATCGTCTTGCTTTCTTCCTTAATTAACTTTTAATGCTTTAATTTTTACTGATTTCAATGATTTTCACTAACTTATACAAACCAAAGTGGCCTCTTGTAGATGAAGTGTCTACATACATAAAATATTAGAAATATTCATAGATTAGCGATAAAAATAATTTTCCTAAAATGAAATTATGTTATTTAATTCCCTTCGCACTTCAATTAGCCGTATATTATCCACTCGAACTATTTGACGGTAACTTAAATGCGCTGTGAATCAAACCGTTATCTTCAGATCCAATTCGCCGTACGAAACGTTCTCTGAGCCGGAGAACGACCTGACGAGCACGAAGAACAGGAGGAATACCGAGTCGACGGAAAAGTGCCTAAGTACAGATTCCCTTCCCGTCAGAACGAAGCGCTCGAATCTCTTGGAGCTAAAGGAGAGGCTGTCTGCCTCCAACAAAGAACAAGCTAAGAACAGCGAACTAAACGATGCCGGTGAAAAGAAGTGTGCGCGAGTGGTGAAGAATTTGAACGAATTCTTAAACTTCACTAGCCTCAATCGCAGCAAAGTCACACCGAGCGACGCCGAGCCCGAGCTCAGGTAACCACTACCGTTTCTCACGTTGAATTCTCTTCCTCATTGAAATGTTCGGGTAGATTGAATATTTCATGAAGTTTATGCGACTCGAACGTGTGAAATTTCACCATCGCAGACGTGTTTCGAGCGAGAGCGGCGTAATCAGGGTATTGAGAGATGAACCAAGCTCGCCGGATGACCCCACGGACTTCTTTCCGATGACTACATCAATGACCAGAGAGTTAAGACTGGAACTGGAATCCTTGGACAGGCAGGTGTTTGGACCGTCGCCGCCCAGCGAGTTGCAGTGCGATTGTGTTCTCTCGAAGAAAGAGAGCGACCTGGTAGAGAGCGAGACCGATACGGAACTTGCGAGGTGCAGCCCTGCAGCGGACGTGTTCGTGTGGGAGAATCCGCTGCATATGTTACAGCAGAAGCATCACCCCACAACTCCGGACGAGCAGGCGGAATTGGAATATGACGGTGAAATTTTGGAGGATCAGAATGGCGTGAAGTCGGTCACACCGATTAGATTGCTTAAACGTACAACCAGGTGAGTGGGCGCTCTTGATCTTAGAGACTCGTAGGAAACGAACTCTGAGAAAACGAACAAAATTCAAGAAGCTGAAGTTACTAGTTACTACTAGTAATACTGGTACTATTAGTATTTAGTAATACTAGATACTATAGTATCTGGTAGTTTCTAGTAGCAGTGAACTGTAATACTGAAATAACTATATACTATACTGAAATAACTATATACTGGAATATGAATTCTACTTTTATCCTTATTTGCTTTCTACTTCTAAATATATTACATTCGTATTCTAGTAAAACAATGTACAGTAATTATCGTAGCGTATAATTGCATATTTTATATCGACGTACATATACGAATATATTTAAACGCAGAATCAACAATCCTAACGTTAAAGTTTCAAGGAAATCTGTGTCTACAGTCGATATGCAAAGAATGAGCATATCTGCGATTCTTATTGAAGCACGTATTCTTCAGGTCCGAATCTGCGTCGGACAGTGAGGGAACCGAGAGTTGGCATCAGAACGCAGCCGTGCCGGAGAGTCCGACGAAGCAACCATCTGTCCAGGAGCAATGCGAGGAAGCGACGGAGCTGACTAATCTCATACCCGCGGGCACGAGCGAGGATCAGCTGGGCGAGAGCTCGTTGCCACCGCCGAGCGAATTCGGTGGCGGCAATCCTTTCTTGATGTTCCTGTGCATCACACTTTTACTGCAGCATCGTGATTTTGTCATGAGAAATCAAATGGATTACAACGAGATGGCGATGCATTTCGACAAGATGGTCCGCCGTCACAACGTGATTCGTGTACTTAATCAGGCGCGACAGTTGTTTGCCGGTTATCTCAGAAGACATTCCACCTCAGCCGGCTCGACCTCCGTCAGCAAGCCGGACGTGAACGCGTAACTCTTTCCTGGTCGACTTCTGAAAGTATCAAACCGCAAAGCGGCGTCTCGTTCAACTTTTACTCGATGAGCTGGGTTAACGACGAATATCATGAAAGGGGGATTAGTTCGATCACGGTGCTCTTCCGACGTCTCACGACGTTCGCGGAAAATCGCAAGGATTCTTCGCAGTCTTGAATTCCTACAAGCATATTGCATAAGGAGTGTCTCTGATTAACTCGACTCTTTCTTCTCGATTTCCTCCTTTTTCTTTTTTTTCTCTCATCTTTCCCTTTATAATGAAATTTTAAAAAATTAATGAGCTTTTGATCATTTATTTAATAAGTTCATCTTATTCATTATCTTTGTTATTTGTTATTTAGTAAATTTACTCCTTTATTTTACTTTTATTTGATATAAAAATTTATTGTTCGTTAAATTTTAAACTTAAAAAAGTATCGCTTTATAACTACACAAATCGCCTCATGTTTTTACTAAGGAATATTCTTGTAGGCATTAAAAATAGTAAACTCGACAACGAATAAGTGACCAACGTGTAAGAAAGCAATAAAGTACGACGTATCTACAACTACGTTAGAGCACTAGGTCGAACTGTTTCGTGAAAATGTTTCATAGTAAGTCGTATTACGTGCGTTTGAAAAGAGGAAAGGTGATTGATCAGAGACAACCCCGTTCAAGCCCGTACTTACCTACCATTTCGCAACACTCGTTACTATCGATGCGAAGCTTCTCTCGTACTTGAATTTAGAACGGATGGATTTGACTGAAGGGAAGGAGCTCGGAATACAACGATCGGAAGCGCTTTACTTAATCCGCGAATGGCACGCGTAGTTCCGTTCGCGCACGCACGTCACCATTCCATCTCACGACATAATACACAATATCGCACGCGTCGACGAACCCTCTTTCCCTATCTCTTTCTCTCAGCCTCAACGTCTGTCATACGGCGTGTACTCCCTTTCTCGACGTAGAATTAAGTCCCTAATTTAATTTAATTCGGGACCGGGGTATATCCTCACGAGCGCGGCCGCGTCATTTCTGAACGCGTTAAACCTGTAAAATATATACACCCACTTACCCTAGCAGCTGAATCTTACTTTGTTCTTAAACGGTATGCTTGGGAAACGACAATAAAGTGCATTTAATTTTATCGCTAACAGCGATCACTTCTATTCATTTAGTTTCGACCCGCCGACGAAGTAACAAAGATCCCAAGAGGGTTTCCAGGTCCTCTCAAAGCTCGCGTTCGCATTTTGTGCTTTCGGCACTAACTGTAGACAATTTGAATTCGCTCGATTTGAAATATACGATCACGATACGATACCAGCAAAGCTCATAATTGGACGAGCATATTTAATAATGAATACGGACTTTAGAATTTAGATCTAAAGTGTCTTTCGAATTTTAGATGCCGTTACTTCTTAACAAAGAGGCCATTCAACAATTACGTCACACTACGAGGGAGAAGGAGAGGTGGATCTATTAGCTTACATGACAGTCTGTGATAAGAGGGAAGGGCGAGTAAGTGCCATGGAACGTCATATGTATTCTGGGTGTATCTAAAAATTCTTAAATCTAAAAATATTCTCTAAAAATAATTTAATTTTGTATTAATAATCAAAATTCGAATTTTGAGTCACTTATTCTTTTCTTAATATACAGTTGTTATTAATAAAAATAATATAGTAATTAATTTGATAAAAAATTTATTGTACTGTAGAAAAAGATAATATAGCGAGATCTAATAATTATATTACTTACCATATGATTATAAACTATTTTTTTCTTATTCTATTTATGGGAGAGAGATAATTCCACATATCACGCGTAATATTGCAAGAGGGCCCAAACTTTGTGATGAGAGAAGAGGAGGATGATGAAATATACTCAAATTTCACGTGACGTAATTGTTGAGTGTCTTCAAACATTTTTTATTCGCTTAACAGTTAAGTGCGTTCGGCCTAACAGTTGCATCGTTTAGGCAACGTTAAATTATTAATTGAAAATATATACATCGCGCAACAAAAGTAAAAAAGAGATACATATGATATGTAACAATTAGTAACTAGTTGCAAGATGCATTATTTCTTTTTTTTAGTTATACTTTTTTTTTTTTTTCTTCTAAGCATGAGCGAATATCTGTTTTCTTCAAGTATAACTGAAAACGTATATTAAGTGTGCAAATCAATTCAATGCTTCAAGTTTTACCCATTTCTATAATAAGCATTTTAGATCTAAATATTTTTTCGCTCGATTGCGGTTTTCAAAAGCTGCCATCTATATTTACGAAACGTAACATTGCAAAATAATCAACATAACCAGGCTTGTCAGGTCTGGCAAAATGACTCTTTGACATGCTGAGTGGCGCACAAAATTTTTATTTTGGCGTAATTTCAGCGTAATGAGACAAATTTGGCGTAAAATAACATTTCAGGGGATTGGTGGGGGATAGGGCTGACGCCCACGATGTTAGAATTCGATTCAAGTTGTTGGGAGAATATAAAAGCTATTATAGAAATTACTGCAAAATTACTTACATTGTAGTATTTTTATCTAGCATCTACCAACCAATTTGGACCGAGTTTCATGAACATTATATTAAAATCAATATTTAATTTTTCTAAAGTGTCGATAAAAACATATTACGAATTTATAGTTATTGATTACGACTAAATTTAGGTTGTATTCTACTATAACAATTACGAAATGGTTATAACATAAAAGGGTATTTTTAGTTTTGATGTTCTAAAGTTATATTATGAAATGTTAAAATGTTTCTATAAATATTGCAAATGGCTTTGCTAATAAAATAGACGCAAACACAATCAAATGTGTTTTTTTTCAATCTTCTAAAATTTGTACATTCCCATTTGTCCAACGTATTCGGTTTGTAGATGTTGCAAAAAGTTGATGATTTTCAAGTTTCACAAATGTTTTTAAGTTTGGCGCTATGTGATGCATTATGTTTCTAAAATTAATATCTTAGCCTCGAATTTGGCGCTTTGATGCTTCTAGAAATCCAATAATCTTGAACATAATCTCAGAAAATAACAGTCAACTCTGTAACCATTGATAAAGCATTGATATTCATTACATTTTGTATTCCAATTACGCGGTAAAAAACGCTGTTGAAACTGCAAAAATGATTTGTTTAACTTTTGACAAAAGCGCAGTAACTCGCAAGACGTGTAAAAAGCGGTACCAAAGGTTTCGTGAAGAAAATTTTGATTTGAATGACGAGTCATGTAATAATCAATCTAAACCATTTCATAATGAAGAATTGCAGAAGCTACTCGAAAAAACTGCAAGAAGAACTTGTTATACAGTTAGAAAAAACCCGTCAAACAATTTCTCTCTTATCCTAATCTGACAATCCTGGATATTAATGCCTTTTCTATTTTATAATAAAAACAATGCAACCTGTAACAATAATGTGTGCTGTAATGTGGTGAGACAAGGATAGAAATTGGTCATCCGTCCTATTCTAACTCATTACCATTGTATAAAAGCAGTACGGACACGAACCGCGCGACCTTACCGTTTGTACATACGGATACAAACCGCGATTACCAACAAAGTATATATAGTTTGGTTGTACTTTCTCAGGGGGCGCGTCTCTCTATGATCAGTCTGATGTGTTATGATTATCGCGAGCGAAGAAACAGTTGCATTGCTATTGCGTCATGTAAGTAAATTACGAAGATTTTTGTCCTCGTACCGTTCTGCAAATCCTTCCCTGCGCACAATTGTTGCCCTCGCGACCCTCCAAAAATTCCTATGAGATATTCCCACGTAAACAACATGGTTTCTAACGTTATTTCGACAACGTAGTCTCGTATGCGCGATGATACTCAACGCTTTTTCTCTCGTCCGCAGAATTGTTAATAAGCCGTGAACGAAGTAAAGATTGAAGGAGCAAGATGTTGTTAGCGAGAGCTTGCCGAGCTGGTGTTACTTCTCCATCTGTGGCATCGTTCCTCAAAACACCGGTTGTTCCGAAGACGCAGTTCTCCAAAGGTCAAATCGCCAGATTATTCGTCAGCGATGGACGCAGTTCTTATACGAGGACCGCGAGGAGGAGGGCCACCGCAGCGGAACAAGCGATGGCTCCAGCTGGTGAGACTGGTAAGTTGAAGATCTTGTTGTCTATATATTCATGTAAAGGTTTCAGAAAATGCAGTTATCATTCTTTATATGAGACTGGTAAGTTGGAGATCTTGTTGTCTATATATTCATGTAAAGGTTTCAGAAAATGCAGTTATCATTCTTTATATGAGACTGGTAAGTTGGAGATCTTGTTGTCTATATATTCATGTAAAGGTTTCAGAAAATGCAGTTATCATTCTTTATATGAGACTGGTAAGTTGGAGATCTTGTTGTCTATATATTCATGTAAAGGTTTCAGAAAATGCAGTTATCATTCTTTATATAACTATTCTGTTGAATAAATTGTCAACAAGTCAATAGAATTTGAACATATTAAACCTTCCTATATATGGTTATCATTGTACAGTTTGTTGCATCATTTAAACAACGTTAAATTAACAATTATTAAATTATTAAGTAACATTAAATTTTGTTGATGATATTGTTTTGCTTACAGCTTTCAATATAGGAAAGGGAGCGGTTGCTGGAGGAGCCGTAGTAGGATTGGGTGCACTGTGTTATTATGGATTAGGTCTTTCTTCAAGTACAGGTGCCATTGACCACGCAAGGTATGTGAGATATATTTATATCAAGATATTCTTAAGATATTTTTTCATCAAGATATTTTTAGCATCCTAATATTTAATTGGTGTAAAATATGTATATTTCTAATATACATATTTAAAGATTTATATTTTTTCACTTTATATATTTATAATCAATTTCAAGAAAAGAAGGTCCTAAGTTTATTCTATATGTATGTTTCCTTATGACTTTAGAACTGAGAGATAGATAACATTTTTTTTAGATTGTTTAGTATTGTTTATATGCTTCTTAGGTTAATGTTATTATTTGTCCGAGTGACCTGGGGATTGAGTAATTCCATCATCTTGAAGAATCTCAAAAGCTCTTAAAAGTATAACAATTTCAACTCAATTTCCTGTATATTTACAATTCTATTCTAATATTCTAATGATGTTAAAAATCGGCGTAAATAAGACAGATTAGTAACTGACTATATAACTGTAGAGAGATAAATAAAAAGGATAAGATTATTGACTCAATTAATCACTTTTAATGTTAGAATATTAAAATATACAGAAGTACATAGAAATATTGAGTCAAAATTATTTCATACTTTTCAAGGCTTTCAGAGGTTGAAAGTGATTTATTACTGTCTAATTAATCTTTAATTATTTATTAATACAATTGTAAAACTGATCGTATTTTCCTATTAGTTTAATTATTAGGACATTTATTTTAATTGAAAATATCTCTGCGCGAGTATTGTATTTGTATTTATTAATACAAATTATTATTATTACAAATACAATTTCCTACTTAAAATATTTAGTGATATAAATACAATACGCGATTTACTCGCACTGGTATTTTCAATTAAGGTAAATATCTTAATGATTGAATTAATAGGAAAGCACAATCAGTTTTACATTTTTATTACTAAATAATTAATGGAATCACTAACAAAAGTAACGTATAAAAACTTCGTATAAAACTCAGGTCTGTTAGCGACTGAAAAATAATAAGAAAATAATAGGAAATAAAATAAATATCAATTATAATTTTAATGATATTATGTAATACTGGTTGTACCAGTAATTAAACTAAAAGATGAATAATGTGCTAATTACCAAATGATACAGACTCAATGATTGAATGCTCAATAGATAACATTAATAAGTAACATTAAAAATTGATATAAAGAAGTATTTTGACAAAACGTTAAAGGCTTCTCCTAAATCTCAAAACTAGAATTATTCCCTCTCATGCAGCTTATGGCCACAATATGTCAAGGACCGAGTGAAGTCTACCTACACTTATTTCGGCGCATCCATCGCGGCCAGCGCGGCGTCTGCAGCTCTATGCCTGCGTTCTCCCGCGGTGATGAACATAGTAATGCGCCAGGGATGGATCGCGCTGGGTGTCACGTTGGCTGCGTTGATCGGCAGCGGCATGGTCGTGCAAGGACTCCCGTATCAGGAGGGTTTCGGCGCAAAGCAGATGGCTTGGTTGGTGCACACCGCAGCAGTGGGTGCTGTACTGGCACCGTTATGCCTCCTGGGTGGGCCTCTGGTTCTCCGAGCGGCTTGGTACACCGCCGGCGTTGTCGGTGGCTTATCAGCGGTCGCCGTTTGCGCGCCCAGCGATAAGTTCTTGATGATGGGCGGCCCGCTCGCCATCGGTTTAGGCGTAGTGTTCGTCAGCTCCCTAGGCTCCATGTTCCTGCCGCCGACCACCATTCTTGGAGCAGGATTACACTCTTTAGCACTTTATGGAGGCCTGTTGCTGTTCTCCGGCTTTCTGCTCTACGACACGCAGAGAATCATCAAGCAGGCGGAGATGCATCCCACGTACAATGTTTACGGCCGACAGTATGATCCAATCAATAAGTGAGTAATTGAAAAATTGCACTGGATATTTGAGAAATGTTAGTTCCTGTTCAAAAATTCATTTCCTGATCTCCTGAATACCTTCCAGACTAAGAGGTCAAGTCTGCTCTTAAATTAATTTTTGTAATTTATTATATAAGATATATATATATATATATATATATATATATATATATATATATATATATATATATATGAGTGTGAATGCTATTACGTCAAATATGACGCTGCTGCACTTAAGAATTATTTTGTTATCATAGGAGTAATCATATTTTTATTCTTGCAGCGCAATTTCAATTTACTTAGATACGATCAACATCTTCGTGCGGATTCTATCTATATTGGCAGGTGGCGGTGGTAATAGACGCAAATAGAGGAATAGTGAAACAAAATTGATGGATGTAGCACTATCAAATAAATACAAATACAATAAATTTTAATTTTTAGTCATAATGTTTGTTTTCCTTAAGGATAAATTGTACAGTTTTGAATTACAATAAATAATTAAATTGTTTAATATAAAAAAAATGTAAAAAATGATTCCAGAAATAAATTACTTATAATATATAATATTTATTCCAGAAATAAATAGACTTATAAGAGCCCACCATAGATGTTGGTGAAACAATATAAAAAAAAAAACAAAGAAACGTATACGTTTCAGTCATGGAACGTCTTCGGTATGAACGCTAAATATATAGAATTAACATATATAACAAGACATAAAAAATGTTGCGTTCTTCGAAAAATGTTTAGGAAAAAAACTTTAGTTTTTGCGATACATAAAAAGAACACGGGTGCAAGATATTTTTTAATAGACTGTGTACGCAAGATTTCGTAACGTCATTCCTCCAAAAAGATATTAAAGAACTGTGTAAATAGAAGCACCTAATTTTACTTAACAATTTTTAAATCGAAAAATACTTAATAATTCAAAACTTACAATAATACAGATTTTCAGATAAAAATAAATTTGTAATGTCTAGAAAAACATATATCGGTTATCGCAACACAAGTGTAAGAGTAAGTGTCGTTATACAAGTATAAAAAATGTAAACAGCAACAGAACACATACAAGAAATTCAAACACGAGATAATCTGCCTAGAACATGATCATAAGTATAACCTAGGAATTATCTAAGTAATTCGCTGTCGTGTACTCGGATCCCTTTAGGAGAGAATTTACTGCACGGTGTACTGCAATATCCCAGTAGACTGATGCAATCTTGTGCTTCGCCAAAACCGTCACACGTTATCTAGAATTACGCAGAAATATACTATATTTGCTTTTCACACACGCGTTTTACTGGCGACATACAAGCGACGTCAGCACGTAATTAGTCCGATGCTTTCCCTGGGAATATCCCGGCAAGAACGTTTGCGTTTTGCGTTAATTGCAGCCGTCTATCTGTGCCAGATTTATGTAAATACCAAGATAGGCCGACATAAATCTACAGCGCGTATTGCAATTACATTTAGCATCAAATTAGCATCTAAAGGCGGAACTGCATCAAATTCGCTCAAGTGCAATTGCTCAATCTTAATGGTAATATTAATAACTCATCTACGGCATGGGGATGAAATCACGGCGAGCGCGACAATGTGTCGACCATCGGCTCGTGTCGTTCCAAATCAAGATCGACCATCATGCCGATAATTGGAGGAGTCGCGAGGAACATGTCGAGGTGGAGAAGAGGACAAAGCGAGTTGGCAACCCCCGTGAGGAGGGGTTTGCGCCTGCGTTCCTCGCTTCGTCGTGAAGGGTGAAACCGACACGCGACGAAGGGAGCGGCGAGAGGGAGTGAGAGACGGAGAAAAAGAGAGAAACGAGGACGGGGACGCTCGTTGAAGCGAGAGAGCGATATCCATCGGGTGGAAAGAGAGAGAGAGGAAACGAGAGGGACATTGAACGCCGACACCGTGGCCTCGCAGTCTCTTCTCGTTCGCGCCGCACGAAAACGCATCGCTGCGCTTCCTTTTGCATTTCTCCCGTGAGTCAGCGCAGTCCGGCTCCTCCGTTTCCGCGCTCTCGTCAACGAGTGCATTCTTGGGTGCCGCGCACCCGGTGCAGCATCCGCGGCGAGGTCCTTGAGGCGGCGGCTCGCGCAAAGGAATAGAGAAAGGAAGATCTCCGTCCAGGAGGAGAGTCGTCTGCGAGACCCGCCGCCGTTCGAGAACGTAAGTGACAATACTCTCTTTCTCTTTCTCTCTCTTTCTCTCTCTCTGTCTCTAGAGAGAGAGAGAGAGAGAGAGAGAGAGAGAGAGAGAGAGAATTTATCGCACGCGAATGGTACATACGCCTATGCAGGTGCACGACTATGTGTGTGCGTGGGTGATTGTATCGGTCATGCGTGGGTGAGGAGTGTGTTGTATTGTATATTTTTCGAAATCTGCGGCGACCCCGTCGACGGGATGACAGACGTGAGTCATACGAAAAGTCCCGGAACGTTCCTTGTTTTGTGATTCTCTCGTGGACGAATCTGTCCCAATCAATGTCTTTGTTTCGATGTCTAATCGATTGGTCGGAATAGTAATTGGTATTGACGCGCGTGAAATACTGCGGATGGAAGGGGAAAATTGATTTCCCTGTGATCCACGAAAGGACTTCTGGCGAATCTTTAATATTCTTTGACAACAGTTTTACTTTGGTAACTTGCGAATACGATCTCTTTGCCTGTATATCGAAAATCAGTCATAAAGAGTATAGAACAAATCTATGCGTCGCGATAATGCTGTGTTAGGTACTTGAGAACGTTTGTCTGCGTTCGCGGGAACTAACTTTAATTAGCAATTAGCATGTTTAATTTAAGTTTAAGTCAAGTAATTCAGATTACGTATATAACAGGAGCAATCTCATACAACGTATTCCAAAATTATTTAGAATATGTCTAGCATGTCCTGAGAAGTGTCTGTTCCGAGCACGTCCAGAACGATCTCGGGACATTGTGTATGCTAATATTGATTCATCAATATTTATTTTAGGATCATTGAAAGGATATAGGTACCCAGCGAGTGCTCCTGTTCGATGAATATTTCGATAGTCTAATCCAATAACGATAATCCAATAGTTATTCTAAATTTTCTGTAAATAACTGTCCTAGACTGCATTATTGGAACTTGTAGTCTTGTTCAAAGACAATTCAATTGCGTCCCTTGATCTTTCATTTGCGGTACAACTTTGTTCCCGGGTCTTCCTTTTGCACGCTCCCAAAGTCCTCTCCTTGACTCATGCAATTCTCAGTGCCGCGTATAATAGTAACGGTCGACGAGACGTCTCGTCGCTCGCGTGTGTATTCCTCGCGAACAGCCTCGGAACGCGCGCGCGGAGCGCAGCGATGCACGCAACAAGGTGCATCTCGTTAACGACGAGGCCGGCGTCGTAATATGCGGTTTCGCGCGGATAAAATTCGCGGCACGCGCCGGCGACGCTCTTTCGAGCGTCGCGACAGAAAGAGAGGCGCCGCGGCGCGTCGCGGCGAGTCGATCGATCGACGTGTAACTGACTGTCTACGCCAGTAACGCATCCTCTTCGGCAAAATCATCAGTTCAGATTTACCGAAGAGACATCGGGATTCAATTATAATTCCATGTATAAAGCGAAGTCTTCGCTCTGTATTTAAGAATTGACAGATTTCTAAAATAACACGGGCTATTTTCTACTTGAGGAATCGGATTTTCAGAGCAAATGAAATATTGCAATTTAGAATTTCGCGACTCGCGAAATGAATTTAAATCCTTGATGCATAAATCGCGGTTTTAGATACTAAATACCTGGGAATGGTGAAATTTTAAATATGAGACTTTAGAGAAGATCTTAAAAATACGTGATGCATTGGATTCATCACGAAATATTCTATAAATCCCTTGATAAACTCATTTTCCAGTTTTGTGGGAAGATTAGTTGCGGTATTATTAGGTGACCTCTATAGGAAGATGCTATATGAAAAAGTTCCGAAGATTTTCTTAGCAAGGCACTAAAATAAACCTCTCAATGATTCCACGTTTTACGTACGTACGTGACACACGCGGAAGGATAGCGCGTATCGCAAAAGAAGACTTCGAGGGGTTGTAAAGCAAGATGAGGGTGGCTGAGAGGGTGCCTGGGGGGTTGCTTGAGGGTTGCCGCGCACGTGCGAGACGGAGATGACGCTACGTAGACGACAGGACCGGCTTCTGGGGGTAACGGAAGACCTGTTACACTATTCAAAGGATATTGTTTACCAAATATCTTCAATCGCAATATCTGTCAAAGTCGAGTTATTCTCCTTTAGTTTTCCTTGTCTGTGTACCCAGAAAAATAATATAGAAATTACGTGAAATTAAGAAGCTGATAGATAAAAATAATAATATATGGAGTCGATAAGACAGTGTTTAGTATTAACGTAAAAAGAAAGAGAAACTAACACCAAAGAAACATTCACTCCTTAGATTAGGGGTGACTTAAAATGACTGCACGACACATTTTTTGTAATATATAAGTACATTTAGATTTCTCTTTCCTCCTTATTGTTATCTTCTTTGAAAAATAGGATACAGAATAGATTTAATTCGCATTTGCTATGAGTTAAAAGAAATACTAGCTCAAGTAAATCAAAAAGAAGACAATTTAATATTTCATCAAGAAATTTTTCCGGTCACGCCACTTAGAGGATCATAAAGTTAAAAATCACGGGGAACGCGACTGATGGGCATGGGAATTTTTCCGGAGGGTGATCTCACCTCCAAGACCGTCCCTGACGGACGACGCAAGCGAGGGTGGCCGGGGTGAGGGAGGGGGACAGGCCGGAGAGGGTGAAACGAGGGTGTCGGTCGCGAGTCGATAAACCGCGGGGAACGCGAGCACCCTTGCGCACGGCTTCAACATGGCGGACGGTGAGTCCCATTCCCTTTTTCCCTCGGTCGCCTTGCAAATGCCGGCCGGACGAGAGAGAGCGTGTCGCACGATCGATTCCCGTGACTCTCGTATCGTCTCGTTCTCGCCGGCTGTTCGCGATCGACAGGCCGACGTGTTCGCGGCGATCCCTCGCGAAGAGCCTCGTTTCCGCGGCCGCGAGGAACGCGCGAGATCGGCATTGAGATCGGCCTCGCAACGATCCACGAGCGACTCCGTTTCCGCTCGTGCCACATCTTCACGGCGAACTAAACTGGCCGTTTCCGCTTCTCTTTCAGACTCGGAGGAACCGACATGCGGCTCAGGGAGCCCGTCGTCTCGGTGCCGTTGCATCCCGGTGGACTGAACAACAAGTAAGTGACACTAGATCGCCTCGAGCGATCGCGGAGGGTTCCCCGTTTAATCGGCGGCGGTTGAATGCGATCACGTGCAGAGATAATGATCACTTTAATCGAAGTGCTGGAAGGCGGCGAATTGCCGGGGGAGAAAATTATCCCTCGCGGCATTTCGTATTACGTAATGTGTTTCGAAACATTGCCCTTCAATCGGTGCTTCGCGCTAGCGAGCGAGCTTATTTCGTACTTTCAATGGGCTGATCAAACTCACCGCGTGACACTGCAATAACTGTACAATGTCGCGTGACTTGTTCTATTTACATTTGGAACGCAGTGTTATTATATTTGTGCTTTTCTATATAGCAATTATTTTTATAATATGTTTTCTTAAGGGATAGCCATATTTTGCTGATCAAACTTGTTGATTTTTTCCTACTCATATCGTATTGATTGTACAGAATTATTAATGTTCTTGCACAGTAGAAGTACGTGCAAAAATGAGTCGCTGCATTGTTCAATGTGTGACGATAAAAAATTTCAAGATTAACATTTTGAAGTTGTCAGCGTAGATATTTGCTTGATATGATAATTCTGAAGCTTGTATATTCTGAACGTGCACTTAGGAAATGAAATTTTTCTGCACTTAGGAAAATTTCAGAAGACATTTCTATGTGTACGCACAGAAATATATCATTCTACTGCTGAGAAAACGGATTATTTAGCTTGCGTTCTTTCTTTTGAGTAACGGCTAGACTGAGAATAAAATACTTGAAAATGCTGCTTGAAAAAAATACTTGTGGAATGTAAGATTTATTTCTGCAAAATAAAATTTATTTCTGTAAAAATAAAGTTTATATCTCACGAATAAATGTTCAAGTATTTCTTTCCCAGTATATTTTCAACAAGAATTTTTTTGATAAGTCTTTAAATATACTCACAAATGTTGAATCATTATTATGTACTCAAAAGAAGAATTTATTCTTTTCACAAAAATATCATGAAATTTTATCAAAGAAAAAGTTGACTCGATTCTATGTAAGCTAAGCAAATTTTTATTTTAATCTAATCTTGATTATGAAATGCTAAGCTTACTAGGATTTAGAATGTACTTTGGATAAATGTAATATTTGTAATAAATCTATGATAAATTTACGCATATATAGATTCGTGAAATACTTGAAACAAGTAATATTTATTTAAATGCGGTATGCATTTTTCTGTGTGTATCTTCTGAATCTAGAAACTCAAAATTTCATGAAATGTTTCTAGAACGATTTTTATATATGTATGGCTAGGTTTTATGTTAAAAACGAAGCAGCACATATATAAAATCTATATGTATAAGAAATACGAAAAGAGTAAGGCAATCGTGTTAGTGCTTATCTGACAAAATGTTTTGATGGTTGCCTCCCTACGTTATCAATAGTTTTCGAGTCCATCACTTTGACATTTCACTAACATGTAATGGTATTATAAAAGAGAATGACTTTCCTTTATCTCGAAAGATGGTAGAATAAAATGTCAATTTCCATAATCTCTCTCCGGGTACAGAAGAACAAGAACTTCATGAAAGTTGCGTACTCAGCACAATTGATCGTAAACGCTAATGCTCTGTAACGTCCTATGTCAAATTTTAGAAACTTTACAAAATTAGAGCGAATTAGCGCAAATATCTTTCTTCTCATTTTACAGTAATAACAGCAATCGCGGTGGATACAGCATAATTTGATTGAGTATTTCAGTATTAGCGATATTTGGTATAATTAGTATCGAATATAGTAATAATTTTACTAATTATCTGGTAATAATTATAAAATGGTAAAACAAGTCTTTATTTAGTTGAATCAATTAAATATTTTGATTAATAATACTAAAAATTTACTAAAATAAATAATTTACTAAATAGTGTGATTACCAAAACGTTTGATCATATATTTCCCACACAGCACAGAAGTTTCAAGAAGCTTTCAGAAAGGTTTCAGAAACATTGGACTCTTTTGAGATCTTCCTGAAATCTTTCTGAAAGCTTTTTGAAACTTCTGTGCGGATTATCACATAATATAGTAAGCATTACTAAACAATATGGTTTTACTTAACAAGCTATTTGATAATACATACCATATAAATTGTTAATACTTATCAAGTCTCAGCAATAGATACTAAGCCTTGGCAACATATATCACAAACTTGCTAAGATTGTTAATATTTATCAAATTATCTGATTATATTGAAAAGTATTTCACCAAAGCATATCTAGTAACTATCACCCAGACTTGATGGTTATTACCAAATCTTTTTTTTGGGTGTACGCGCGACGATGTAACGAGGAAGGGACGCCCACGGAGGGAGAGAGAAGTCCACGTACCGTGCCGCCGCAATCTTCCGGTGGAATTGCGACAAAGTCATCTGATTATTTTCTAGTTAACGCGCTATAAATATAAACGTGCGCGTGATGTCTTCTCTCTTTCTCGATGGCGACGGCGGCGGCGGCGTCGGCGATCGTAGGCGTGCTGCCGCCGCCTATACCTCGGCATCGACGGCCGGGGCCATTGGTGTTACACCCGACGTACATACGTACGTGTAGTATCGATCCACCTGGACTCATTTCTCGGTCTCGCACGCAGCCAGCTCCGCAGGCACGGCCCGAGCCGGAACATCGCCGGCGAGATCGGCGATCGCAACGAGAACGCGGCGAGCCCGGGCTCGCTCCCGCCGGAGCCGGACTCGGCGGACTTCCGGCTGGCTGAGGACACCACCACGTGGTCCTCCTTGGCGATCGCGCGCGACAACGTGCAACAGAACACCCCGCCGCAGCAGCCAGTCAACGTCAACAACAATCTCACTGAGCCGAAGGTGCAGAGGAACAGCTCCGTCGAGAGCCTCGCCGACTACGAGGGTGAGTGTACCGTTTTTTGTGTGTGCAGTGGCTCGCAAAATGCCTCGGGTAAAACAATGACGTGCTGGCAGCTCACCAAACTGTCAAAATTCAGAGTCATTACGGACGGACTTATGTACGTAATAATGATAATATATGTATGTATCTTGTTACTCTACAAAAAATCGCCAGAAAAAAAGGGACTTGGTTTACAAAACTTTCCCTACACTCCACACTCTATATTACCACACTCATTCGTCCATATCTTATATGAAACCTTTAACTACATATATTTTTATCTTAATATCACAACAGTTACTATCTACAAATATCATAAATATTATCATATCACAGTCCTCATTGCCTTACTTCCAATCTGTTTTATCTTATGCTAACTTATCTATTTACCTATTAACTATCACATATTTTAACTATCATAACTTTATGTTATTATTTCCCTACTGTTTCTTTCAAAATTATAACTATACTTTACCCATTTGGCATTCTATATATTCCCATTCTTCATTCCTATTTTTCTTTCTCTCTTTTAATCTTTCTCAGCCTCCTGTCAATAATGATAATATAATTAATAATGTAATTAAGAACGCTGAACGATAAGTAATAATAATAATAATCATTATACTAATAAGTAATAATAATAATTAATAATAAAATTATTGGGCAAACCCCTCAGAGAGTAGTAACTCTCAATTTTGACAGTTTGGTGAACTCTCTACTTTATTGTGTCTTGTTTTGCAACCTACTATATGGCGTTTTGAGATGAAAGAGGAGAAACCAGAAAGAATTGACCAGTTATCTCTCGTGTTGCAATAGAGAGGAAATTGGATGACGCGCAGTCACCTCGAAATGAATATTTCTTAACGAGCTTGTTTTTCAGCGTATAGATTTTTCTTTTTTTTTTCATAAGATTGCGCAAGTGCTTCATAAAACGGGTTGCCTTTTACAAGACACGTAGGGTGACGGGAAATTAACGTCCGTCCTTGTTTTCTCTTCTCTCTCTCTTTTTATACGCGTATAAATAAGTTCTTCAATCAAAATGACAATGGCGCGCTCTCGCACTCAATGAGACGTTACCGTCAATTATCTGACACGTCATTACGCCATTTACGTTTCGCCGCGTTCGTTTATTTCAGTATGAAATGATTCGAATGGCGGGGCAGACATGCGCGCGAAATAGGTATTGTTGTTATGCGCCCTGATAAAGTGTCCGACTCGTTCGCACGTGCTATTACAATCGCGCTATAAATCCCTCGAAATCGATCCGCGTTTCATTCGGCGACAAGTGAGCCAAATTGACAAAGAGCAATAGAGGGCACTTTGAGCGGGGGACGAGAAAGAGAAAGTAGCTTAAAGTAAGTAACGTATATTATTAGGCACGACTGAAGAGCGATCCGCCAACGTAAACAACAATCTGACCGAGCCCAGGATACGAAGGAACAGCTCCGTCGAGAGCCTCGCCGACTACGAAGGTGAGCTCCTTCGTCCTGAATTAATCCCTGTACATACGACTCGACCCCTGTCGAGAGAAGCCCTATACGACGCACAGTGGGACGCATCGTCTAAATTTGTGGCTAAGACCTCATATATTGCGAACTTCAGAATTATGCAAAAGTATTCACATATTCAAATAGTTTAACGTTCGATATATATAGTGATAAGCTTAATTGTGTGTTAACTATCTTCGTTTCTATGCAGCAAGCCCAACATGAATAATATCTTGCGAAATATTCTTGCTCATATTGATGCAATTACATAGACTCATTCGGCGGTCTTAAGAAAATTTGATCGAATCAGCTGTTGCGAAGCATATACTTCATTCATATATATAAATAATAAGATAGACCAATAAGTAATAATAGATCAATAGGTGGTTTTAATATTTTTCCAAACTACAAAGTCTGGAAACGACAACCCCCTTTGGATATCCGAAAGCCATTTCGATTCCTTGCGCGATTCTAATATTTCAGAAAACTCTCTCTGTTCCTTATTACTCGTGCCAATGATGACCTTTGAACATACTAAGAACATAATTTGTATGATTCAACATTAGATAAATTTTGTTGCAATTTTTACTACAATATTTTCTCTATGTAAAAAGAATGGTGAATGAACACAAAATATCTTAAAATACTAACAATTAAATAAAGAGTTAGAATGACTCTCTTGGGTATGCAAAGTAAATCATAAAATTTTATACTTGAAAATCAACCACGTTTAGGATTTTGACCACAAATTTAGATGTTTCATCCCCCATTGTGGGTCATTGTGCCTTCTGAGACGATCGAATCGCGCACATAGTCTTCTAAAAAAGTCGCATATGTAATTGTCACAATTTTATACTATGTAAATTTTATATTTTTATATCGTGCAAAGATGAGAGCACATATATGTAGAAAAAAGAGAAAGATCGATAGAGTGTAGAAAGAGATGAGAAACAGCGAAGCGTGCGCGCAGAGCAACAATCGCGCGAGCGATGACTGGATGGTCGCGCACGTCTGAATCACCTATTAATATCTCGGATCATCGCGCCTATCGGAAATTGAGCAATTGATTGCCCTAGTTTTTAGTCACGCTTCTGCTAAGTGTCGCACGATGTGCCAGCATGTCCGAGATTTTATTGGAAAGCAATGGTGGTCGAAGGTTTCGTCGCGCTTTCGCGACGCCACGGCCGCTCGTGGCGAACTTCGATATTTTCCATCAGCTCTGCCATTAATAACGCGTATATCCTTGACATTAAACCATTACCCGTGAAGTGCGAGATCGTAAGATTAGGTTGGAATCGAGACTACCGTTCGGTATGTGTAGATTAGCTTGCGACGTGTAACGGTCGTCGAGTTGTTTAATGACGATTCCAGAGATCAGTGGAGTTGTCATAAACTCACGAGATTCCACTCATGGCAACATTTACCGTAGATACAATGATCTGTGACGCGTAGTATTCGCAAAATCAATGAACTATTATTATGGAAACAATGTCCCATAATATGATTCATGAAGCCGATGACTTTTACATGACAAAAGCTTTCATAAAGACAGATATTTGTAACGTCAATAGTCCTTCTAAACTACGCAAACGACGATTTTGTAGTTTTATTTTATAAATGAAAGGAACTACAAAATTATAAAATCATCCATGTAATTTGAAACTTGGGATTTGTACGCTGAGAATGAAATACTTGGAAATTTCTTTGTGTGAGATATAAATTATATATGTTATGTGTATTTTATTACTTCAGTTACAATTGTTAAGAAGGGGACTTGATTTACAAAACTTTCTTTAATCATACTCATTCGTTCATACCTTATAAACTTTTAATTACCTATATTCTAATCCTAATATCACAACAGTTACCATTTCATCACAAATATCACAATTTAAATTTATCACAACTTAAATTTACACAAATTAAATTTATCACAAATATTACAATTCTTTATTTATTATCATGTCACAGTCATTATTCAATCTGCCTTACCTTATACTTACCTTTTTAGTACTTACCTATATTAGTTATCACATCTTTTAACTATTACAACTTTATGTTATTATTTCCCTATTCTTTCCTTGAAAGTTATAAGCATAATCTAACCATTTGACATTCTGTATATTCCATCCTCATTTCTGTTTTTCTTTTTTTTCTTTAATTTCTCTCAATCTCCTGTTTCTTTCTCTACAAAGCTTTAGGATATAAAGTATAGGATATAAAGTTCATTTCTGTGAATGAAGTTTATATCCCACGAATAAATTTTCAAGTATTTCCTTTTATCCTAGTGGGATTCGAATCTCTTGTGAAAGAGATTGTGAGTCGTCTATGCACTACGCCACTTCATTAATTGATGGATCCGTTATAATTTTTATGCTCTATCTGTGTTGTAATCAACGTTAAATACTAGAATATGTGATTATAATAACCTGAAATCTTATTTAATTCAACCAATAGTCGTTGACCAAATATTATAATTTGACACTTAAATATTATAATTTTGCACCAGCAGTAACGAAATTCTGACCGTTGTTAAACCTAAATATTCCGGTTGGCTATCAGAATTTTATTATGATAACAAGAAATTCTATTTAGTTTAACCAAATCTTGTTTAACTAAAAATGTCATGTTAATCTGACTTTTTCGTGTTGTCTTTTCCGTGGAATCGGAAAATCTACGCGAGAGTAATAATTTAAAATAAAAAAATCTCTAGAATCTCGTTGTTCATGGTGTGAGAGAGTCAATGAGAAGCGATTTGTCGGCCTGGTTGGTGACAAATCACTCGCAGTACCGGGAATTGTCCGAGATCGGGAATTATTCGAAGCGACAAATTGTCCTCATCAACGTGCACGAGAACAGTTCCTCTGTATGTGTGCATGCGAACACCTAGAGCTTCGCGGGTGGGCCGATGAAAGCCCTCTACGAGTGCACGAGTCGGCCGACTGGCCGGACTGTGATGACGATGAGTCACGTTCCAACGAGACGTCCAATTATTCGGTATTCCGGCCGATGCTGAAGCGGTGCGCGCGAATTGTTGCAGGACGTAACTCGCCGCACGAGAACTCATCACACGAGTTAACGCCGTCCGAGTGGTCCGATTGGTCCGAGGAAGGGAACCTTCCAGCAGGCTGCCGCGGCATCGTCAACCCCAACTACCCCGGCTTCCAGCACCTGGCGCCTTCCTTGCTGTCGGACACCGACTTGACCGAGGACGAGCACGACAGCTGCTCCGATTACCCGCCGCTCTATTCGGGCGTCCACCAGGAGCAGACGCCGTTGGAGAACGACAACGAGTACAACAACAACGTCGACGACAGCATTAATCATCTCTGCGGCCAACGGAACGACCGCAAGGTCTTCTACGAGAAGCCCAAGTTCAACATACAGGTAACCTGCTTGACTTGGAGTGGATTGATCGACGGTTTACTTGACTTAAGCCTCGAGGAAATAGAAAATAACGACTCGAAATCCTCTCACCACTGTGGTGAACTCGTTCTGCGAGCAAATCGAGTTTGTCACTGGTAAAACCGCGCGCGCAGTCGACGGCGTGCAGTCAGTCGATTGGCGGTTATCAACGCGTAAAAATAATCGAGCATACTCCTACGAGCGTACACGCGTGACATCATCATCATGCCGCTCTCGTCTCCCGTTCCAGACTGTGACTTCTCTATACGAGTCGGTGGTGCCGCCTTCGGAAAAGTGCATCAACTACGTAAAGAGCGTGGAGGTCTCTAGGTCCGAAGAGAAGTCGCTGTCGCCGGAGCCGGAGGTCGTCGTGAACGGCGTCGTTGAGGCGGAGACCCACTTGACGGTCTTGGAGCCGGAAGAGGGCCTGGCCGACCAGGTGGACCAGCACGCGCCCGAGTTGTCGCAGGCGACCCTCGAGGACAAACGGGAGCGTGAAGTCCCCGTCGAGGTCGAGCTGGTGGAGTTGACCACCAGCGTGAGCGAGAGTTTGCAGTTTCCGGAAATTGAGGAGATCTTGGACTCCGGGAAGACTAGCGAAATCGGCGAGGTGAGTGTGATGAATTAGAAATATTTTCTTCTCAACAAAGGATTAACATTTTAACTTAGAGTTCTGTTAAATACAACGGCATTGACTAAAAATACTTTTATATCGGTAGTAGAAAACATAGAAGGGAAGAATAACATATTTGAAAATTGCTGGGTTTTATCATTGATTAAAAAGTAATCCTAATTACTCGAGTCGAGGTTTTAGCTCTACTTTCGACCTTTCTAACATCTTTCTAACATCTGCATATTCTGAAGGATCAGTCATTGACTATGTTTATGCAGCAACTTCAGTTCGGTTTAATAACAACCATTAGTGAGCTCTTGCATCCGATTGATATAGTCTTTTAGATCTAAAAGTATACTTCAATTAAATGCAACAGTTCACACTAACTACAGTTGTTACTAAATCGGATTAACATTACAATGTAATAAGACTCTATGTTTAATAAACATGGAAATTGCAATTACCTATTCAGCAACTTTAAATGCCAAAAAATGCACAAAATGTCATTTGTATTATAATAAGTTTCAAAGAGAACCTCTCGGCAAAGTTAATAGGTTAAATGGAATCAAAAGAGATTGATGTGGGCTGCAGGGTATCAAAGTAGGTGTAAAATAGAGTTGAAATAAAAATAAAATAAAAATTTTGACTCTGGTAGTTTTGAATATAATAGCAGAACAAAAGATCCGTATCTTGAATTCATGATTTAGCTTAGTTAAACCGTCGTTGGAAAGGTGAGGTCTGAGAGACCCCACGCATTTCATTTCGTTCTCTTTAAATCTTTGTAATATCTTCAGAATTTCTTTCTGTTAACTGTTACTTCAGATACTCTCAAATTTCAATATTCCACAGAATCACATAGAGAGATATATTATAAAGTTTCTGAAATTATAAAACTACAATAAAAAAAAAAGAAGAAAGAAATCCTCCTTTTCATCCAAGCTTAATCGGAACGAATGCTTAACCTAATTGCATTTAAATGCAATCAATTTCTGTCCCATTGCCATTAAATATTCTTCAGTTGCTAACTACTACTTGCGATCGAGGCTTATTTAAATGTCGCGCATTTCTTTTGTATTTGCAACCGAATGCCTCCCCTACGGGCGTGTGGCGCCTCTTCAACGTCGCGCGATTAATTTGCACAACAATCGCGATGTCCCGATAATCCCACTTCCTGTCACCGGCGACTCGCGCCCGTCTAACTGTCGACGCGCTCGAGCACGGTCGATTAAACGCGCACGATCTCGGTTGGGCGCGCAGACGGAGGACGTCGCGGTGGAGCACATCGACCTGATACGCGAGGCAAAGGAGTTGCCTCACCCAGCCCGGTCCAAAATAGGCAACCGTCAGCCGGTGACGTCGGGCGGCTCAGCCGACGACGACGAGTCGGAGAGTAACAGCGACTACTCCGAAGGCTTCGCCGAGGAGCGGCCGACGTACACGAAGCTGGAGGAGATCGACCTGCTGTCAAGTATCGGTCGGGACATAGGTGTCGACCTCGAGAAGTACGCTCAACCGGTGCCGGACGTAGTCGCGATGGAGTCCATCGAGAACATTCGCAGTCAGTCACGGTCCACCTCGGTCATCAAGGACCACATGGAGGACACCAACAAGCTGCTGGAACGCGAACTATCGGAGGCGTCCAGCGCGGACGCCAGGAAGAAGGAGAAGATGGCCAGGAACCAGGCCAAGCGCCGCCAGCAGCAGCAACAGCAACAGCACCAGCACTCACGCACCTCGAATTCTCATAGACGTCCCGATAAACGCAGAGCTGACATCGAGAACGGATCAGGTAGATACCGCTCTTCTTTCATCAGCCTAGTTCTTTTACGTTTAATTGTATTTTCATCGTCATTGTTATGATGTTGTCATAGTCGTTATTATTTATGGTAGTAAACATGGAATAGTATATATTAACAGTTTATGCCAATATACACACAGAGGAATATTATTATGCTATTAAGAAAAGTAATTACTCAGTTTACTTTCTTTCTTTTAAACAATTATTTTCAACAAAGATTATTTTCTTAATAATATACGGAGGAACAATTTGATTGTATATATTAACGTGAAGTTTGGTTTTTTTAACGAACAAACCAATGCGTTTAGATTGGAGAATTTCTGGAGAATTTCTGGTCCTTATACTGAAAAAACTTGAAAATTTATTTTTAGCATATAAAGGTTATTTTTTTATAGAAATAAACTTTATTTTACGGAAATAAACTTCATATTGCACAAATAAACTTTCAAGTACTTTTTTTTCTCAGTGTATAATTAAAATTTGGTTTCCAACAACCAGAAATTCCATTTCCTTCAAACAAAACGCGTTGATTCATTCATTCATTACAACCAAACTTTTTTTATTATTATTTTAAAATGATAAAAATGATTGAAATGTTAAACTTACTAGGATTCAGAATGTATCTTGAATAAACTGACGCTTATGATGAACTTATGATAGATTTAGGGACATTTAAACTTATGAAATACTTGAAATAAGTAACATTGACTTGAATGTAGTGTGTATTCTTTATGTATATGCTATTTTATAAATTATTATTATACACATATTGCTTTTTATGTGGATATTATAGGATAAATGTCAATAATGTTGAATATATATTAATTGTTATTTGTGTCCTTGCTAAATCAAATGTTAAATGAAAGAAAAATCGATACTGAATTATCGAGAAGTCCGCGGTAAAGAACACAGCGAATGATTCGTTGTGTGAAACGGGTATATATTTAATGCGACCTGTGTAAAACATACAGCTGCACGAGATAAACCGTAGATTTCAACCTCTCGAGATTACGTATGCATGCGATACTCCGGCACTCGTCAGTTTCCGTTTAGCTGTTTCGGTAGTATCTCCGCCTCGTCGCTGTAAAAGGTTCTCACGTTTGACATTTGCGCACTGTTAAAGGCGGCTTCGACGTTTACAACATCGAGACGGCGATGCCAAAGATCGACTTGGACGCCATCGAGTCACACCTCAGAGCTGCTCGCGAGGAGGAGCGTCGGGTGAGTGATTAGCAATTTTTTGCTATTAATAGTTTTCTGTGTGCGAATTATACAGGTCAACAAGATCGTTTTGACTTTGCGTTTTATTTAGTAATATACAGGATAATAATATGCAAGATAATAATAAGTGTTATAATAATAGGATAATAAATGCAGGATAATAATAAGTATTATAATTTACAAATTTTTTAGTTTTACAAATTTACAAATTTTTACAGTTTGAGTATATCGTAACTCATATTAAATAACTTCGTAAAAATTCTAAATTCTCTTTTATCTTGTTATTCATTCTCTACAACGCGCAATGTCATACTATCGATTTCTAATGCTTCTTTTCTCTCTCTTTCTCTTTTGCTCTCTTTTATAAAATTAATACATAAATTAACTAAAGCTGCTAGGTCAATGAAAGCCCCCGATTTACTCGCACGTTCTACTAAAACGCATTCCTAATGTTTCATCTGGATATCTGTTCGAGGCTCTTGAATACGTTCGATAAACAGCATCAATTTCGCGTATCTCTAAAGTTTCACGTTTGCATCGAATGTACTATGCGGAGGCATCTGTAGTGGGCGGATGCATATGTAGGTCTTATTTGATACGAGTACTTGGAGCGAGCGTGCAACAGTGCTTTAGAAAGCAACATCTCGGGAACGTCAAATTTTTCGAAGAGATCTCCGTGTTTTAGTGAAATTTTCATGCCGGAACTGTTTGACAGGCAACATTATTTTCCGCGATTATTTATGCGATTCAATATATTTTGACATACCTAATTATTGGATATATCTAGGCTTGGACAATAACTAGTTAATCAGTTAAAAGTTAAAATGTTAAAAAGTTAATAACTTCTTAACTTAGCTTAGCCAATTTTAAATGAGTCAGCTTTTAATTCTAATGTTATTTATTTTTTTAATGTATTAACCTTAACTTATTAACTTTTTTATATAAATTAAAATAATTTTTCTCAATACTTGAATCGTCGCGAGCTAATAATGTAGAATAAAAATTTAAAATAATAATAGCAGAATTTCCTTTTCTTTCTGAACATCAGCGTTCCTTTGTTGTATGGAATTCTAAGCACTAAAAAGTTAATTATAATTGATTAAAAAGTTAATTATACAAACATTATACATGTATTTTATATATGTATATTGCTTTGTACAATCAACTTTTAACTTGAACAAATTAATTTAATATTATCTTGCCTTTTGAGTTAGTTTTTGTTTATATAACTTTCAACTAAGTTAATTTAAGAGCTATTAACTTTCAACTTGGGTTAAAAGTAAAATTAACTTACTCAAACTTGAATATATATCGAATATAAATTATTAGCCTAAATTTATCAGCCTAAATTGTTTTTAGTAGCAATTGCGCACACATTTTGACCGAGCGAATTGATTTGAAATAAAGAAGGCACTGTTTATTATTATCAACAGACGCACACGATGGTTTGTATCACGCAACCGATAAACCTTGACACAGTCGGTGGTTTCGAGTGACGAAGTACAACGAGCGATATGATATAATAACCAAGCTTATTGAATGCAGATATGTGCAGGCAGATGCCATGGCATGCGAATAATTATTGCGAGAAAAATATGTACGAATCCGCTTTTTAATCTTCTATTTCGTAACACAGTTTCTGACACGATAACGAATTTAGTTTTTTGTCTATTGAGTTTGACAGGATCGTGCATCGCGCTCCGAATGTTGAATTACGCGTAGGTCAGAAGTCACGCATGGCCGGTCAACCGAAACGTTTTACGCACGACCCCGAAGATGATTTAACGATCTTTTGTTACAACGATGCAGCTAACGTTGCAGCTTGCATAGTGTAACAAACTCGAAACATTTCTGCATGTGACGAATTATTCTCTCCAGACATTTCATTGATAATAAGATTGTGAAAGTTGAACATATGATTTTCTATACTTTATAGATTTAATCATCTTTATTTTTTTATAAATAAATATCTATCATTATAATTTCTTAATATTCTCTTTATAAGGGATATTAACTTAAAGAAGAATATTAAATTAAAATTTTAAAATGAATGTCTCGATTTGCAACAGTTGTATCTATTTTTCGTAATAAATCAGTTAATATAGCTCCATATTTATTCTAAGCATGTATATGTTTTTATTCTAAATTTTATATACTTTATATACTCTGTATATATTTTATATATATTTTATACATTATTAGTTATATCGAGTTTCGCACAAATAAAATTAAAAATTATATACTAAATACTGAAGCATCATAATTTTATCAAATACAATCAATTTTTACTACAAATTTTATCAATCAATAATACATCAGTATTTATTATTTCTTATTAATAAATTTATATATTTCTTTATTTTCGCGATGAGTCGATTTGGTCACTAATTGGGACATTCAGCTTATGTCACAAATTGAGACAAAACTAAAGTGTTATGTCATTAAATGGTACATGAGCCACTTTTGAGGAAATATAGATGAAATAAAATATTCTCATATTATATATATTAGAAAAAATATAATACAATTAAAGCCGTAACATACGCGTTAAGCACATGAAATTGACTCACTTCCCAACAAAATCAATTCCGTGTGCTTAACATATACATTATTAACTGACTAATGTATTTTCACTAATTAGAACATTTACTTTATCATGTTTTACTATTTCATTAAATTTATTACTTATTGAGAATGAAAACTACAGAAAAAATCAGAATTATTTTAATTATTTACACACTTTTATATGTACAAGATAGAATAACAGAGGCTCAAACGAGGAGAGGATCTCTTTGTCATATAAGTCTTATGCATATTATCAAATTACAAAAAGCTTGCTAAAGCAAACACAATCATCCAGCAAACTAGCTATTAACTAACTCAATTCAATGATTTAATACTCAAGTGACGTCTTGATTTATCCGATTGCGACATCTGGTAGATACACTCCACCCGTTTTACGCGTGTCGGAGCGAATTGCACGCGCGAACTCGGAAACGCGGCCGACACGCACTAGCCAATACACTCTCGTCCAGCACTTTCACCGAGAATCACGAGAAGCCTTCCTAGGTGCTAGGCCAGGTAGACTCGTAGGCCACCTCCACGGCCACCGTCACCACCACCACTATACCACTACTACTACCTTTGCGATCGAGCACCTCCTTCGGCCGGCAAACCTTAACGAAGGATCTCACTCGACTCACCTCACAGTCTCGTGTCGTCTCCGTCTCGCGCGCGTCTCGTGACTTCCGATTTACGCCTCGGGGTCAAGCCGCATTGGCAGCCTTGCTCGACCGAATCCAACATCGGCGGCTCCCTTTCTAGATCACGACTTTGTCCGGTAACGTAAGGCAGAGAGAAAGCGAGTTCGTCGTGTGAGTTGAAAAGGCAGTTATTATTCGCGAGAGTAATAACCGGGACGCGCAAGGGACTCGTGCAAGTCCAGAGAGGAGGATAGACGAGATTGCAACTGATCGCACGCTGATAGATCAGCGCGGATAAGTCCGTGAGAGAGAGAGGAGAACCTACGTTTCACGATAAGGACGATAAGGAACAGGTGCACGACGAAAGTGCGCGATCATGGGCAGCAGCAACAAGGCGCGCAAGCATTACAAGAAGGACTCGCGATTCGTCGCGGACCTCTATACGTTCACTTACGACGACTTTGATCTTGTAAGGGGCGCTCTCCGCGCAGGGGATGAAGGGCGACAGTGCATCGCAAATCCGATAAGCAGCAATTTAAATACACAGCAACATATATGTATAACTACGCGAGTAATTCGACGCGGCAAAAATGCTGTTGTACCGATAGAAAGTGCCAACATCGTCGCAATTGGAATAAATCTTGTTGATTCAGCAGCAATACCATTGAAACTAATATATCATATGTTGTTTCGATGACTCAAGTATTAGTTTCAATGGCATTGCTGTTGGACCAAAAAGATTTACTCCAATTACGACGATGGTGGCAATTTTTATTGATGCAACAGCATTTTTCTCCGTGAAAAAAATACGATTGAAGAAAAAGACATGGTTTTGCTAAAGTGTCATCTACAATGCAGTTGTATTTACGTTTCAGGCTCATATTAATAGCAATTACTTGAAATTTGTTTTGCGCAAGATTTTAGAGTTAAATCGACGAATTTAGAGTTAAATCTAAATGTTTCAATTGAATCACTTGACATAAGTGACATTAGATTTGCAGTCACAATCCACTGAAAAACTCACATCTAACACTAAACTCAAATGTGAGTATCTCATTTCACGCAAATTTCAAGTAACGATTATTAATACGGAGTTTAAAGTCGTAATACTAGTCTGCGAATCTGTCATATACGTATTTCCTTTGCGCAATTTTATAAAAAATAAAAAGTTTTATTGAACTCGTTAATGAAACTTCTCATTGTTCACATCAAATTTACTTGAAAAAATTAAATTCAAATTTATTTGAAGGAAACATGATCGACTCTCATAGACTAGTGCTACGACTTTAGGATGTAACATTGTAGACGATCCTTGATAGTTTTGTTGACAGAAATGTTATGATAGTGAAGAGCAGTAGGACTTCGTCTAATCTCGACAACGATTTCAGAAACACACGAGCAGTTTATTTACAAGAGCAAATCATCCGCGGATATAGAGGATGTTGGATACCAACGTAATGCAGTTTCGTAGTTTGCACTGTTTTTCTATTTGGTTGTGTAGAATTGCAAATACTTTTAGCAACAAAAACGTCAATGCATAGAAAGACACCAAATATTCTATGAAAAGTAATAAAAATTCTTTTATTTACAAGATTTTTCATTTTTCATTTTAATACAATATCTGGTAACTCTCTATGCATTTATACTTTCACTCTGTAAAAACATTTGCATACAATTGCACTTTCATTCTGTACAAACTCTTTGCAATTTTATGCAATCAAATAAAAGAAACAGTACAAATTAGTGAAGCTACATTATGTTAGTATGGGGCATCTCTTTAATGTTTTGCGTTTACAAAGTTCAAAATTCTTCAACAGAAAACAAAACACAACCGTTATCAATGAATTATCGTATCGGCATTCAGCTATGAGTCATTAACTCACTGACAACTTAATCGCCGCAGTTTCTTGTACTTATCGTTGCGCAGTGGCCAGCTATTGTTGCGACACGCTTAACTTCAACGCACTAAAAAACGGAAACGTCATTGCAAACGTTCTCACACGTTCATCCTTGATGTTCTATTAGCTAATTACAATTTAGTATAAAATTTCAAAGGTAATATTATCAGAATCGAATGATTTAATTTAAGAAAGAGATAAATCCATAATTTACAGCGACTAATTACAAATTATAAAGATTCCTCCATCTTCTAATTAAATCTTTCAATTACTGTCTTCAGAGTTCATTAGTACTAATTCTTAATTTGAAAAAAGAAGAGATAAAGCAAGTCATACTTACACGGTGAATCAACCTCCCGTGTCAAATCGACTCAGAATCCTAATTATTTTTAATATTAATATTAATTAACTTTCTCCTTACTCTTCGTCCTTATTATTTGCATTATGATTACTTCATTCGTTTTGTATTAAAATAAATTGAATTAATAAAAGTAAATCAAATAATTCATAATTCAAGTAATTGAATTGGGGTAATGGAAGAGGATTATTTAATATTTATATTAAATTATATTTATATTAATACAATATAATTATAAAATTATATTTATATTAATTTATTATATTTATATTAATATAATATAATTATATAATATAAATATAATTATATTAATATTTATATTAACATTAAAAATAATCCGGGGTTGATTTCACAGGAAAAATCGATTTAGTGCGTATGTTAGTCCGGAGTAATATTCAGGATATGCGTTAACATTGTCAAAAGAAACATTCTCCCATAATTAATATATTCAAATCAACATCCGCTCTTATTTATCTTGTCGTCTCTGTATACTTCGAGAACCTGTTTACGCAATATATTAATTTTCAAGATAGTAATTTCATTAACTGAATTAGTCGATTAATAAAATTCTGATTATTAATCGAATGAATTAATTATATGCTTGCAGAATATATTAAAGCCTCACACGTATCGCTTACTTAAGCGATCTCGCTTGCACGTGACACGTGCGGGGTACGGTTGCATTTAGCTACGTCTAATATCAGGGTCCGGCGATTTCGATTTAGTTTCTTGCTCCTGCTGTCCTTCCGACAGGAAGGTCGACGACCCAGACGATTCGGTATGGTTCCCGACCGACGCAGGCGTGAAAGTAGGTCGCGGAAGTCGCCGTGCTAATGAACAAGCAGATTTTAACGTACGTGATGAAGCAGGCTCCGCTGGTGCAGCATTGCCGCCAGCACGGAGTCGTCCTGTCTGTAACTCCGAGCTCGGAGCATTTCGGAGACACTCTGTCTATACGCAGAGTGCTCGATGTTGAATCTAGAGATACCCGTAATCGAAGATACTTACGAGATATAGATATAAATCTGAAGCAGTTCGATGTGAGAAGATAAGATAATTATTGCGGGTGTATCTTTACGTGTACGATGTTAAGATGTCGGATTCATTGCCGGCCGGTGTTCTATGAGATTTTTACAAGAGGTGCATTTGGAAAACGCTGCCCTTCGACTATCGTGGTTTACGTTTGATGCGCGCGTCTTGAATTTGCGGGCACCTGTCGCCCTTCGCGAGAGTGTAATGTCGCGGCCGTGTATTGCGCTGAATGAAAGTGGAAAGTGTGGTAATTTGTGTGGCATCAGGATGACGACAAAGAGATCACCACGGAAACGGATAGGCCACCGGAAACGAGTGTGGCAATCGAGTGGCCTAAGGAGACGAAGGATGGCGAAAGGGAAGATCTGATCACGCGATTCGACAGGGTCGTACGAGGCGAACTTGATGACAACTTGCAGGTGTGATTAGATGAAGATGCCAAATAGAAAGAGAGAGACTATGTTTATTATCATTCCAAAACCTTGCCTTCTAAGAGTGTACATAAGAAGCTTTTTGAGATATATTAAGTGAGAGAAAATAAGAGTAAAAATAAAAATAGAATTTGAAGAAAAAAAGGGCGAAAGAGAAATTAAATTAAATCTATATAGTATATTTGAAATAGACTGGTAGGTGTAGACAAATGCTTTCATCGTCATTCCAAGGCCTTGTCCTCGAAAAGCGTTTATAAGAAAACAATTTATAATCATTATTATGATTGTTCATTTTTCAGACAATTGCACTTGGTTTTAGCAATCTAATATTTCTGCTGAATTATTTTAACTTTTGATATTTAAATATAGGTGTATTTTACTCAGAATCTTCTTTTGCTCTTAACTCCTGGAAAAATTAACGAAATTTAATGATTTTTTTTGTAATCAGGGTAAGAATCGCTGAGCAATATAGCCCTATTAATATCTTTGCAATTCGATAAAATTGAAAAAAATTATCATAAGAAATAAGTCTGGGTAAGTTTTATCCATGTTTAGGGTTCCAGGATTAAGATAAGACATTTCTAGTTTTACATTTTTGACATAGATTCGGTAGTTTTTTGCATTTCGCCATGCGCAGTCTTAAATTAGTTTTATCAGGTATTTATCAAATTTGACTTAGCATGCGGAGGAACGCATAAAGACTCTGGCCGAAAGTAATTTGTGATTCCGAATTTGTTGCGGTTTCTACAAAATTCAGCTGTAGAAATCAGCCGCTAATTTGGAAAGTTCTCTGAAGGATTGTTGTTCAATATTGAGGTAGATCGAGAGCACGCTGTGTAACCCGGGAGCTACTTCGAAGGCGAAAAGGAGAGCGGAGATTGCACGTTATGTAATCCGGTGTCCCTGTCGTTATTACTGGCCGTATAAATATGTACATTAAATATATTCTGCGTTCTCATCGACTCTAAATCAAACCAACAAATCATATTGTACAGTTTTTTTTATTATTTTCAAATAAATAACGATTGCGGACTAATAGAACAAAGGAGAGAACATTAGAGGAGCGTTAGGAATAGATAGGGGTATCACTTTAAGAGATGCGCGGTAGAGGAAAGAAAAAGGGGGAGCTAGAGGAAAAGTAGGAGCAGAATTGAAGGCGTCAGATCGTACGAGGAAAGAGGATCGTACGACGAAGAAAGAGGAGAGAATTAGGAATAGAAAGAGGTGGATGAGGATGGACGAATAGAGGAATGCGAAAAAAGGACAGAAGGTTGGAAAAGCAGCGAAAAGTAAAAGATTGAATTTTGGCAAGGAAAAGGATCTGAACGGATTAAAATATATTCTTGTTATTATTAAGAAGGAAAGGTTTTATACTTTCTCTTTTTTTATTTGCCTTTGGCTCTCACCCAGTAGAAAGAAATAAATAATAGTATAACCGTTTGGGGTCATATCGACATACTCAAGCTCTTATAATATCAATGTATTACATGTACATTTCGACGAAAATAAGATACGTGTGTCGTAAACCTATTTAACTTGAAATTTTGAGATATTTATAGGTCCGTAATTGGCACTGCAGTAATTCAAATATAGTAAAATGAAGAGAGAGAAAAGAGGGAATTCGCATGCGTGAAAATTCAACGATATCGCGATTATCTCGAGAAGTTCGTGGTATCATTTACCTAAAATTCTGTTCTGATTGTTTATATCTCACATAGAAATTGTCACCTATCTGTGGGCACGAATTCCTGAGATTCTTCACATTTTTGATGTTTTAAACTCGACAGATTCTACAATCATTGAATCATATCAATTATACTTCAGTTTTTTCGAATATTAAACTTTTCCTTTCAAACATCTTTGTTGACAGCGACGAAATGATCGCGAAGAGATCAGGAGGAGATTAGCGATGGGACCTGATGCCGAGGACCTACGCGCCGAGCGTGGACGAAAGCCGAGTCTTCAGTCACGTCTTCAGAGCGGTTCGTATCGATTGGAATTTTATTTCCCAGTGTTTTTGCCCGTGACACCGAGCAACCGCAACACGAGGAGATATCAGCTGTACAAACCGAGCGGATGAGCGCGTTGCGACTGTAAAATGGCCAACTATTAAAGTGACAGTTCACCGAATCATTAATGAGCAACGTATACGCGGAAGTTTGGCTTTCTCTCGTTTTTGCTCTCACGCTCTCGCTTCACCTACATTCCCGCTGTTTCTTGTCGAGACGCTATTTCCACTACTTCATGTTCGAGTAATCGTCGAGAGACTGCTGATTGCTTGCTTGTTCCGCAATCAGAGTGTCGGATGGCGAATTACAAGAGAGCGTTTGTCTTGTCTTTACAGGAATGAACCTTCAGATTTGCTTCATGAACGAGACGTCATCGGACACCGAGTCCCCGGGCTCGGAGAACGACGCATCCCCCGGCTCCACGCCCACATCTCTCGGCTCGAAGCAGCTAGGGAAGCAGCAGGCGCCGTCAAGACCGCAGATGTTGAGCTTGCCGTCCTTGAGACTTGACATGAGCTCCAACTCCACGCCGGTCGACGAAGCGGACTTCTTTGCGCGGCAGGCTAGGTTGCAGACTGAAGCGCGAATGGCCCTGGCGCAGGCCAAGGAGATGGCGCACATGCAAATGGAAGTGGAAAGGCAGAGGCTGAAGCAGAGTCCCATCACCGAGATGGTGCGATGCAGCTTGGAGAAGGTGAGTGAAGAGTCCCAGGTAGTTCACAAGAATCGAAGTAACCTTGCTCTCAACTCTTTAAGGCCAGACAAAAATGCTGAACATAGCATGTGAACATTTTATGTATGCCTTGCGATGCTATTATAACAGCACTACGTGAATAAAATATATTTGTCTTAAAAAATACCCATCTATTACGTCATAACTTTTATAAAAATATTTACTTTTCATTAGAAATCCCAGATAGCATTATATCAACAGAATCATTACTTTGTGAATATAAAAAATTTGAGGAGGACCTAAGATAAATATATGTAATTAGGTATTTTGGGTCTTAAAAGGTTAATAATTTTAGTAAGAATTGATGTATAGAAATATGTACTGAATTGAAATACTATATGACTCTGTCTGAACTTATTTCTATTGAAAATTTCTTACATTTCTTCATATTTTAGCTTATATAGAGAAGTTATCTATTTCTTTCGCTTTGCGAAAGTTATATCGTGTAACTTAATTTGACGATTAAACAGTTATTCGAATACACATGCTTTCCTATATAATTTTATCATTTTTAGCAAATACACAATTCGGTTATATAGGTTTTTTATTTTTTTAATGTAATTCTATCAAATATATATTCTTTATGCAAAGAATGCGATAATGTTTTACTCACTGAAAGTTTTTTCTCTCTTGATGAAATGGTTCTAATTGTTAGGACTCTTCCTTTATTGCAAAAAGCTTAAATGATGCCTTAATCTTCATAGGTTGGTGTTCAGTTGGGTGAGGATAGACGCAGATTGTCCCGAGTGCTTCTCACGGAGCTGAATGTCGCGCAGCTTCAAGTAGTGGCGAACGACTTGCACGCGAGGATTGCTGCGCTGAATGAGGCGCTTGTTGAAGGTCTTTTGAGGAGGGACGATCTACACATGGAGCAGGATTCGATGCTCGTCGACGTTGAAGATCTCACTCGATACTTGTGAGTTCCTTCAGTCTTTTTATGAGGATAATTGTTTGGCGAACTATATATTTCTTTATAAATTTCTTTATAAATTTCCACAAATTGACTTATTAGAATGATTCAGCCTAATCTTTTATTATTTTGTTTAAATAATAAAAAGATAGTTTAAATAATAAGAAGATGTATTTTATATCTTGCATCGCTGCGTGGAAGGCCTATAAGAGTTGCTGACGGTGAATGTCGCAAATTTAAAATAGAACAGTAATCATGTGGAGAATAACGGATTAGAATGTAAATCCATAGAAATTATTCTAGATCTAAAACTTACATCAAATCTGATGTCAAGATCTCGTAAGAAAACAATATATTCCTACGAACACTACTTAAATAAGTCTAATAACGGAAAGGAAACAGAATCTAGCGATCAATATATCATTGATCTAGCAGATCAATATCCTGCTCAAACCTTTAATCTGGCTCTTAATATCCAAAATCTCGGAGATCATACGTTATAGCACTATTCATTATCTACAATGCTCACATTTTTCCAATCAAAATCATAATTCGTTTGTATCCTATGCTCAATAATTGCAGATAATTAAGTGATATTATACGTTATATGATTTTATATGATGATCGTTCTTCGATTTTGGTTTTTGTGTTTTTGTTTACCCTAAAAGTAATAACTTCATTTATACAGAGGTGCCAAGCAGGAGTCGTTGAAGAAGAAGCAAAGCGTGCAGCAGCCGACAAATCGGAACCATCAGCAGTCTTCTGGAGCTCCAATGAAGCTGTCGATGAAACCGAAGCTGACGCACCTGAATCGTGGTCTGGTCGCTCTTGTGAGAAAATAATCCTTCGCCACGAGACTGCGCAGTCTCGTCGGAAATTGAACTCCGAGCGGAGCAACGCACCATGGACGACTTTGGAGACGTGAAACATGCAAGAGAAGGAGGAGAGAAAAAACATGAAAAGGCGAAGAAACTTTTTCTTCGGAAAAAAAATTGAGAAAAAAGATTCTTCGCCAGGGAAGAAAGAGGATGAAAGATCTTTTTCTTTTAAGGAGGATGGGACGGCCGGGGCTTCCTTCGGGAAGAAAATCGTCGAGGGTAGGAGAACAGTCGCGTGTGAAACCGCGTTGTGCATGCTCGAGAACTCCTAAAAAAAAGACGTTTTGACGATCGGCTTCGTTAAGCAGGTGGGATCATACTCCACCTGTAGCACGGGGAGAAGAGTAAATCTCTCTTTCTCTCTCCCCGAATTTCCAAGAGTTTTTACAGCTTTGTCGTTAACCACGTGGAAGTAGAGATTTGCGAATGTGCGTATAAAACCAAGCAAGCAACTTCGTTTTCGTATCCCACATTGAAATTCTCCGTCTCTTTCTATCTCCTCGTCTGTACTACTCGGCCCCGTAAAGCTCAGATTATGTCCCCGCGACATGCATGCATGTGTCTACGAATGTATCGATTATCGCCTTTAAAAAGTAATAGCGTATCATAGCGAGAGCGGATCCTTTTTCTCTGTTGTACATATAACGAAGATTTATATCAGATTATTATATATATATATATGTATGTATATATATACATATATATTTGTATATACATATAGATACATATATATGTATATACATATACATATATATATTGCCGTATCTCGAGATTCCATGGTGTTTTTGGAAGTGCTTCGTTCCGGTCGTGCCACAGAGTAAGTGATCCGCGCGTGTGCGTTGATGTAACGTTAAAATTCCCGTAAACTTGTGGTCAGTTTAGTCCGCGCGTATACGAGAAGAATGTCTCAATCCAGTCGATCCATCCATAGGGTTCACGATCGTCTCGTGGGTCCGCAGACGTCTGGTTGCGCGGATCGATCCTCGCTTCGGTAGATCTCTAGATCCGCCAAGTAGAAGAGGCAGTCCCGGAGCTCTTGATTTCGCGAATTCATCCCTTAGAAATATCGTCGTTCGATTATGGCACACAAGACTCGGGCGAGATGATGAAACGGCTTTTATCGCGAGCGACGTGGAAAGCCGACGCGCCGTTCCCGGCATAACGCAACGTTCGGCGAGGGAAAGTGCACAGAAAACCAGTGACAAGGAGAAGCGCAACGACCGTGAAGAACGAAGAACGCGTTACATATCCAAATAAGCGGTTTAGTAAATGCAAAAAGCGATTAGTCCATATATAGCAACTATGAAAACGTAATCGAATAGACATACTCGATACCCGAGCGCGCCGTTCACGGAGTTTCCTCGTGTTATAATGTAAAATAAAAAAAAAAAAGAAAACCACTTAAAAAAAGAAAGGGAGAAAAATCGACTCGGAATTCGCAATCAAAATTACTCGTTGATATGGATTATTCGATTCTTGCATCGCGTTGTTTTTCTGCATGTCTGTGTCATATTTTCCTCCTAAATTGTTCTCTCAATTGTCAAATTTTTTATTCCAATGTCTCTGGCCCCGAATCATGCCTATTATATATAATTTTTCTTTTCGATGTTTTTTCTGATATTACTGATGTTTCCTTCTAAATTGTTATCTTAATCTTTTCTGTGAAATTTTGGATTCCAATACCTTTGCCCCCGAATCATGCCTGTTGCATCTAACAGAAAGGATCTCGTTCACACGCAAGACTTCAATTGTAGCTGAAATAAATTTCAAGGTCTAAGAGCTGCTGTGCGAGGTATCATTCGTAACAACTTCTCAGATCCTTGATTCCCGACTAACGTGGAGAAAAGAATTGTTCAACAATCTTACGTTTTTTCTTTGTTAGTACTATACACTTATCGAATACATCAAAATCGTGGTGATCTGAAAAGTAATATCCATCGTTAGATCTTTGAGTTATCTTTACATGAATTTGAAAAAAAAAGAATTATCAACTAAAGGAGAATGGTATCTTACGTGAAGCGATTACTCGTATTCTGATTCGTTCACCGTTAATCTCCAACGAATTCGCAATCCTTGCGTGTGTTATGGGAGAAATTAATTTTTTTTCGTAAATTGAAAGATCGAATGCACGCGTCCGCCCTTTCTTTCTACGTTTTTCTGTTCGGAAACGTCGAGATTATTTAGAAGAAGTGGAACAGCTTCACTACAAGGAAAGACGACGTAACGGAGTTCACCGTATCTCTCTTCAATTTCGTACTTAATTCAGCAATTCAGATTTACTCTCGATTACAAGAGCGTTGCGACGAACGATTGTCGACGCGCAGTCATATAGGAGATCTCTGATTAGTTCTACAAAACGAGCTACAAATAAAAACACGCTCGTCCGTGATCGATCGAGAACGGGAGCAGCTTTTGAGCCATCGTAAGGAGCCTCAAACAATCTAGAAAATGACGTATACAGGATCGCTCTCTTTCGAACGACGGTCGAGGGAAGAGCGATCGACCGTGAAAGATCGAGCTCGAACGCAATCACGCGCAGTCGATGGCTATAGAGGCGCTATAAAGAGAGCCGCGTATTATCTACAAAATACTTTTAATCGTAATATTAATTAATAATATACAGATTGTAAATAACTAAACAATAATAAAATATGCTGTAACAAGTTCTTCCTTTGCTCCTTCCTCTCAATCACTCTCACGTTCTCTCTTTCTTTCTCTCGCTCTCGCTCTCATTGTCAGTTTTCTTCCAGTTTCACCTTTAAAAAGTGCAGAAACTGCGAAGAAGGCACAGGGCAGTATGTCAGATGGTGTTCCTTTCCGTTTCGATGTGTGCACCTTTCTTTCTCTTTCTCTCACTCTCTCTTTCTCTCTCTCACTCTCTTTTTCTCTTCCTCACACTTTCAATTCCAATTACCATCGACGGTGAGAAGCAACGGATGCTTCTCGCTCGCTCTCGTCGCTCTGCCAAACCAAAAGGATGGATGGGACAGGGGGAGCACCATTTTAAGGGACGTCTCGCTGATTTCTTGGGATCAATTATACCGATAACTATAGTCAACTAACTTGGCGGTTAGCGATTCTCCGTCCTTTACTTAGGCTAAAGGGCTATAATATAGATGGAAAGAGAGAATTTAGTTAACTACAGTTTAATTCAACGTGATGCACGTAGATATGACAAACTTTGATTAATTGATCCTAGCTACAGATTTCCTATTTCTTTCTAGACTTAGCTACATTATCTACATAAAGGCCGTTTTCATCGACATTGGTTAAAGTTAAGTTGAGGCTCTATCGGTTCTTTCTTCTTTTGGAAAGAGAGAAACTGGAACTTTTCTACATTCATTAAAACATCTGTCCCTCTAGATGCCACAGAATTAGAGATAAGTTCTCACTAAACTCTGTCCATGCAAAGAAAAAAAAAAAAGACAGGTGATCGGTGATGAAGTCCATTTTACCATCACATTTATAGGCCCGGCCCATAGAGAAGGAGAATTCAGTTAACCGCAGTTAGCCGACAATGCTGTCACTGCGACCGGCTCTTCGTTCCGGCGAGTATCGGCATGATGCGATGCCTCGCGGAGGTACTTTGGAAAGAACACAGACGGCGATGACGCGTTAATAATAGATAACACGGTTTCTAAGATCGTTCCTTGCTTCTTTTTTCCCTCGTTTTGTTTCCTCTTGTCGCCAAGCCGTATGGCACCGTGACGCAACTTCTAAACCTCTCGATTATGCATGTCTCTTTCTTTAGTTCTTTTCTCGTCTTTTAGTTTTTTTTTCCCCTCCTCTCCCTTTCCCTCTCTCTCGCATTTCCTCCTTCTCTGTCGGGATACAGCGGACGTCGTTAGCTCGTGTATCATCATAATAAAAATTCTTAACTTACAACCGTAATTATTATCTCTACTATACAAATCAAGAACCGGCACTCGTCGCTGTGCACTCGCATTTAGTCCTTGCACGCGTCGCACGCTGGTCAATCGTACAATGGGTTTCCTCCTCGCAATGATCCGCGGAGTCGACTCGCTTCTCATGTTCGATAAAACTGTCGCTGTTGGTCCTCGGACGCGTGTGGCTCGGTTATTTATACTTTTCGCAACTCAATTCGCCCAAAAAGGAACGCTTCGACCATCGAGTGTTAATTAAATTAACCCCCACAAAGACGCAAGAGTTACGTTAGAAAAGCAAGACTCCTTAATGGCGCGACACTTAATGACACACACATTCTCAGAGACAATCTGTGTATATAAAATAATTTCAAAATACTATTCTCTCTCTCTCTCTTTCTCTTCGTAAGCTTCTGAAATTTCGGCTTAAAGCATCAAAAAAACGCGACTTTCGCCTTACGCTAAAAAATAGTTCCCATCACGATTTCGTTAATCGCGTTAATCGAAGGCAGTAAGAAATGTGCGTATAAAGTTAAATACAGTCCCAATCCAGAAATCACTGCAGAAATCCTTTTTCCGAAAGAACGCTTACAGTCTGCCGCGCGAATACATGTATATATAATATCACGAACACCGTACGAAAGAAAGTTTTACATCGTGTCATCGCACACGACAAAACAATCCGACAATTCCGAGGAACACGGCGCATCTCCGTGACTCACGTTATTGTCCTGGGAACGACTACGATGGGCAACCAGATCCTGAACTCGGTGTTCTGTGTGTCTCTTTCTTCTTCTTCTTCTCCTCCTCTTCGTACTCATATCTGATTCGTTTCATCCAGCACACGCGTAGTAACCCTGTTTTCTCCAGCAATTCTCAAACATGAATTTATTTTTAGCTGCAAGAGTAACGTCGATCGTGATGATCGCAACCGCTACTTAGATTGTTCTCTCTCCTCGATCTAGAAAATTATCGACAGTCTACTTGGATCGCCGGATAGCGCGAAGAGAAAATCGTGAGGTCGTCGTGGTCGCAGAGATCGATCGACTCAGCGTCCTCACTGACTTCACCGTTATCGGGGGCAAACGAGGCAACTGATCATGATCAGAATTTCGAATGGCCAGCGGTAGGATCTTCCAAGATCACTTGCCCATACTGGCGTTCGCTGGTAACGTCGCGGATCGTTGTTGCACCGTCAAGTATGGCTTGGTCAAGGTCGACCTCGTAGATTCCCTAGAAATGATGGACTACCGTCACACAACCCTCGCCGACGATATTTAGTGAATCTAAAGTATCGAGAAATATTAGCGCATAATTGAAGCCATGAAGCGCCGAGAATGCGGTAGCTCAATCGTATACGAATTAAAAAATGTACAGGCTGTAACCCATCTCTATAATAAGCGCTGATTTCGAAGTGCAACGAAATGCCTACGTATAAACATGCTTCTTTTAATTGATATACATTGTTTCCTAACAGACTTTATCGTTTTAGTTTAATTATTCAATCGATATCACTCACACAAACAATGTCATGCAATATGCCAATATAAAAATATGTAGATCGATGTAAAGTTGTAAGAAAATCTCAAATACACACAACGAAATTTAGATATCATAATATTTGTGTATAATTTGATACTACTATAAAAAAAAAAAAAAAAAAAAAAAAAAAAAAAAAAAAAAAAAAAAAAAAAAAAAAAAAAAAAAAAAAAAAAAAAAAAAAAAAAAAAAAAAAAAAAAAAAAAAAAAAAAAAAAAAAAAAAAAAAAAAAAAAAAAAAAAACAAAAAAGAAGTGATTGCATGGAGTGATTAGTCTTGCAGATCGACTGCAATAGTAATAACGAACGTTGTCACCTGATGTTCATTAATTTAACACTATAGAAAGTTGTAGTTACTTTATATTGCATAGAGCAAAATTCTCGCAACTTTCTGTACTCTCAACGTATCTTGCACAATATGAAAAATTCAAAGTGCGGATACCGGTCGACTTTGGTTTCACGAATAAACGAGTCGCTCGCGGCGGTCATCGAAAGCGGGAAGTGCTGGAAACGAGAGAAGGGGACTGAAAGAAAAATCAAACGGGTCTAACCTCTCTACACCCAATCATGCGACGCCACAAAATAAGAGAGCTACTTAGTCCCCGCTCGCGTCGAGCAGCACGGCTACGCTACCTTGGCGAGACTCGCTGTCCCGTGCCGTCCACATGCGAGTTTGCTTTGTAGCCGCACTTCTGAACGCGTCTGGACAGCCTCGAGACCCAGTACTTCTGGTCCTCGGGATTCGCCGCGAGTAACAGCAACTCGCGAGCGCTGTTCGGATCGTAGTGCAATTTGCATGGGGCTATGGCATCTTCCTTCTTATCCAAATGTTCCTTGTGAACTTTAATGCGACACCCTGCATCACAATATTTTATTTGTATGTTATAAGAATACACACAAGAGCGACATAACGCAGATACAGTGAACTATATATTATACTGAAATATTAACTATTATGTTTAGCGTCCCGGCCACCAAAAACAAAAAGACGAGTTGATTAAGGATCATATCTACTTCTGTCTAGTAAGTTTTGATTGATCAACGATTTTTATGTTCTTTACTACAAAACGTCAGTCTTACTAGACTTCTCGATTCGATAAACTAATCAATAGCTGTCAAATGCTTTCGAATGTCTGCCTTTTCATTTTGTTACTGCTCAATATATAATCATAATATTTCATTATTGAATGTAATAGATGAAATTTCCGACAATCTATTACTCAACGTATCTGTACGCTGAAAACAGCGGATGTTTTCAGTTCGAAAAGCACAGCAATAGAAAAGAACGGATTGATTATAGTTCCCAGACAGCACAATGTCCAAAATCGGGTCATAAGACGTCTTTAAGACATTTTTAAGACAAGTTTATAAGATATTGTCTTAAATATATCTTAAAAACGTCCTAAAGACGTCTTATGACTCGATTTTGGACATTTGTGCTGTCTGGGGTTCTCCGTCTCTTTCATCTCATTTTTTTCAAAAGTAGAGCTTACATTTCAATATTGTATATAGTTTACTGTGCGGATGTCAATAAGCAATGGGATTTATGTGTAGACTGGCACGTACTTCGGCATTCCAGGGCTGGCGAAGGCCGGAACATATGCCAGAGTTGTTTCGAACAGACTTCGCAAGTCGTCGGCATGTGATACGATATTGACACGAATTCGTGGCCCTTCAGCGACTGAGTACCGGGTTTGTCTGTGAGCTGTGGTAAATCCACTCCAGGCAGTGTATTTCCCTCGTCGCCAGGCCGTCTCGCCTCACCCTCACCGGCATAGAGTAACTAATTTTTTAACAAATAAAATATTTTGTTATTGTTATTATTAAAATATTTTTAAAATATAAAATATTTTATTATTATTATTATTATCAAAAGAACAAAATATGACGTGCCTACCTGAAATATTCTGGGTATATCTTTGGCATTGGCTCGGATAACATCACCCTGAGTAACAGATCTAACGTGGAAGACTTTATTCAAGTCTAATATCAGGACCGGATCAGCGTTCATCTTATCGTTCTCGCTGTTGTAAAAAATTATCTTCTTGGAGGAGACTACGACGTACTGCTTCTTCCAGCCGTGTCGCTTAATGTTCTGCTTGTTTGGCACATTCAACCAGCCTTCCAGCCTCATCGTACCATGTTCGGACAGGACCGAGTCCTCTCCGTCGTTCTCGATCGACGAGACGCTGGCAGTTTCCGAATTGAGCGATGCGATTTTCATTTGCAGCGTTTCTATCTCTGAATCCTTTGAGTCCAGTTCCATTTGCAACCTCAGCTTTGCCTGATTCTCCTCCACGAGTTGCGCCTGGGAAGAAATTGTATTTATTCGATCAATCAATTACGTGCCGTTTTGAGGTCAACACAAGCAAAATCGTCTGCGATAACTCACCTGTATATCTTGCAGATCCTTCTGCCATTTAGCTGCCAGCTGTCCGTACTTTTCCCTTTCTTGAGTAAGTTCCTGCTGCAGCCGCCTGCAGTCTTTCTCCTTCTTCCTTAGATCCGCGGCGGACGCCTTGTTCTTGTTCTTCCCGCTCGACGAGAGATCTTTCCGGTTCATGATCTCAGCCAATTTGTTGACTGCCTGCTGCTTCAGCACTTGCTCGTTTTTCAGTTTGCTGCTGAGCTTCTCGATCTCCTCCGCGTTGGATTGCGCTTTGCCGAGTTGTTCCTGCAGTTCCTTCAATCGTTTACTTAGGTCTTCCTTTTCCTTCAAGGTCTGTTCGACCGATTTCTTGAACTCGCTCTCGTTCTCCTTGAGCCTGTTTATGAGCTGTTCCTTCGCGTTCAGCTCTTGATGATGTTTTGAGACTCCGTCTTTATACTCCAACTCCTTCATCGTCCTTTCCTTCTCCAAATCCGCCACAGTCTCTTCAGCTATAGATCTGGCTAATGCCTCGCTGTCGCCGCGCGCTAGGGACAGTTGCAACTGATGAACCAGGGAGCTACGTTCTTCCTCAAATTCCTGCTGCAGCCTCACTTTTTCGTCCAGCTCTTCGCGCAACTCCTGTGTCTGTGTCTTGTAAAGAGTCTGAGAAGAAAAATGGAAAGATTATAATCTCGATTGAAAGTAAATTTTCATTAAGTTCCCGTAATACAACTTTGAGTTCTGTCGAGTTTTACATTTTACATTCCTTACTTCATTGCTGCATAATTAAAAATTCATTACATAAAACTGAACTTTCACTGATCACTAACCGAGAAGTAAGCTTCGGCTTCCAATTGCTCCTGTAGTTCCTTCGTCTGTAGCTGATCGACATTCCTCTGTGTTTTCAAGTGATGCAACTCCTCGTCTATTTGTCGTTTAGCTTCTCTTAACTGAGCGACCTCTCCAACCAATTGTTGCTCGCGAGCACGAAGTCTTCCCGCCTCGGACGTTTGTTGACCCAGATCGGTTTGCAGAACGTTCCTCTTCTGCTGCTCCTGCTCAACCTGGCCCTGCAGAACCTTGACTTTTTCCATCTCCTGTCTATGCTCGCCCTCTAATTTCTGCAAACGTTGCTGTATTTGTCTGTAATCGACGGAGAGCATCGACGTCTGACGTTCCTTCTCCTGGGCGAGTAATTCCGCGCGTTGTCTTCCACTTTTCTCTTCGTTCAGTTTCACTTGTAGACCTGTTTGTAGTAAGTCAATACACTCAACGTAAGCAATAGTATAATAGATTTCCATAAGTTTATATCAGATGAAAATTAAAATGTATACATACGTAAATAGATATGCCATTATAAATTTGCAGCAATAATGAGAACACAGATTAGCACATAGACAAAAACTTAATTTGTAAAAGTAAACGATTTAGACATTTCAGTGAAAGAAATTTGAATTCGCTAATCATATAGTTACCTTCGAAAATTCCATTCTTTTGTCCTGTGTCGCGTAAACAAAGTAAAACGTACTTTCATCAAAAGGACAATGTCTCTATGTAAAAATTGTGACAAATACCTTTAACAACCTCCAGATTGGCCTCTTCTTTGGAGAGTATACGGGACCGTTCGGTTTCTTGATGTGCCACAACTTCTTGATTGTACCTAGCTTGCGCGGCTTTCAATTCCAATGCCAAACTGGTAGCTTCCTTCTCCAATGCGGAAACTCTTTCATTCAATTGTCTGTTGTCCAGAGTAGCCTTCTCTTCTTTTTCATGACTGCGTTCTAGCTCGAGATGCAAGGCGGAAAGACGTGTCTCCAATTCAGCCGTCAGCGATGATGCTTGTGATCTGGAACTGCGTTCCTTGGAAAGTTGACCCTGAAAAAAAATCAAAATGTCATGCAAACATAAATCGTATTCGTTTAAAACACTCTTTACTTCAAAAATAAATTTAAATCACATTATTCTTTTAAATTCTTTCATTATTCTTTTAAATATGAGTTCCTTTAATGTTTTCAGATTAAATATTAATATAAATGCGAAGAAAATCGTGATTATGGATTACGCAAATATAATTGTAAGTTGCCGCGGTCAGGATTTGACGATTATGCTTGTACATTTAGAGGCCAATTATAGGTGGCTTATAAGTTACATTTATAGACATTTCCATTGATAAAAGAGAACTCAGAATAAAGACCTTACTATCTTCTCATCACTGTAAAAGGAACCAAATAATACCTGTAGAGCGGCAACTTCCTGTTGTAAGTTGTCGCGTTGTGCTTGCAGCTGAGCTCTCACAACCTGCAGCTCGCTCGCCATTTGCTCGGCGGCCTGACGCGCGACGGTTACTTCCGTAGTCTGCTTCCGCAACCGCGTGGCTGTTTCTGTTTCTCTCTCCAGCTTGCACTGCATCTCCTTGAGCTGCTTCTCCAACGTCGTCACGCGCTCGGATGTCTGCTGTGAGTTGCTAGCATCCCGCGCTCGTCTTGTCTGCTCCTCGTCGAATTTCTTCTTCAGCTCTACGAGTAGTGATTCCGCTTTCCTGCGGTTCTCCGTCTCGTGTTCCACTCGGCGCTGAGCCTCCTTGTAGTTATGTCTGAGCAATGTCAATTCCTTGTCCGTCCTGCCGATTTCCTCGTGTAGCTCGGCTTCTCGACGTGTCATCGCCTCCAACTGCGTGTTCAGTGCTTTCTGCCGCGACTCCATTGTCTCCACTTGCCGTCTCTCACGGTCCAACAGATTCTCCAGTTGCGAGATTTTTACGTCGTCCGTAGTACCGTTGTTAACATGGTTCTCCAATCCATCGACGGACTCCTTGCCGTACGAAGCCATCAACTGGTAATCACCCGAGTAGGTAAACCCGATGAAGGGCAAATGGTTCCCAGAAAACGCTTTGGGCACTGGAAAGCTCTCCTCCGGTCCGTCTTCCTTGTCAACGTCGTCGAAATTGCTCGTGTCGTCATCACCAGACAGCTCGGGCACCACCGGTGGCACGCATTCTCTCAAATTCTCAAAGGTCCACTGGTCATTCTTGAAGAATGGATGATTCTTGATCTCGTCCACACCGTTGCGGCCCAGACGTTTCGTTCTGTCGGTGAGAAAGCCGCATATCAAGTTTTTCGCCGAGTGTGAGATGTCGACCTCCTGAGGGAAATGCAGCGAGTTCCTGTGATCCATGATTTTCGAGTATGTGCCGACCAAAGAGTCAGCATAGAAAGGTGTATCGCCAACCAGCATCTCGTACAGAAAGACACCCACGGACCACCAATCGCACTCACGACCGTACACTCCCTCACCGCCTTGCGACTGTAAAACTTCCGGGGATATGTAGTCGGGTGTACCGACCGCGGTATCGGACCGAACCAAGCCGTCCTGCAAGCAAAAGTTCAGCGTTAAAAACCAGCGAGCTTTAATCAAGGAGTTCAATCGCAGATTAAAATGAGCATTGAGAATAAATGAGACTTACAACATCCATCCTCATACACGTGCCGAAATCGGCGAGTTTTAAGTGACCGTGTTTGTCGAGCAGCATGTTATCCGGTTTTACATCCCTGTGAACGAAACCCATCAGATGTATCGCATCCAATGCGAGTACCACCTCGGCGCAGTAAAATTTTGCCCATTTTTCTGGCACGTCATAGTTGGACATCAGGTTCACGAGATCTCCACCCGGCATGTAATCCATTACCATGTAGAGATACTTTTGATCTTGGAACGCAAAATGGAGCTGTACTATCCACTGAGAATTGGCGTGCGCCATTATGTCCCTCTCTTCCCAAAAAAATGCGGAATCCGATCTTTTAATCTAAACAGACGATATGCAAGGAAACGTAGCGTAAAAGGATATGTCTGTACTCACAGAGAAAAACAAGATAGAGGAGCAATAAGAGAAATATACTCTCACCATTTCGAATTTACTAAGCAGTTTCATAGCGTAAACTTTTTGTGTAGATTTGTGTCTAACCAACTGCACTTCACCGAATGCTCCACGGCCGATTACTTTTATCAGAGTAAAATCGTCCGTGCGCATTCGCATTTTATATATCTCTTGAGCTACGGAGTCATCTGCAAGCACAAAAAATCCTCAATCTTCCGATACAATGAATTCGTCATCGTCGAGTTATCGTATGTACGAGTTATCTTATATTACTTTAATGTAAAAAGCTTGTCGTGTTTGTCAAATAAAATAAAAAACGAAATTATCCATTTTCGAAGGATCAACAATTTTCACAATGAAAGGAAAATATTAAATATTTTTGTAGTCCATGATTAGACGTAAATTACGCGTAAATTGCTCTACGCGTCTATGTGTAGATAAAATATAAACTATGTACGAGATATCGCCCATGTAGATAATGAGTAATCTATCATTTAAAGAACGTATAACTTACTCAAAAATAGAGAAAAGTTCACATTTATTTAACCTTTAGAATACTGATGAAAATTTATAAACGTTATAAATGTTTTCTAAATAAATTCAAGTCCACAGAATTCTCTGCTGACATTCTTACTTTCAGAGTTAAATATATCCATTTGTTCACATTTTTTAATGAAATAAAAATTTACTGCAACTTATCTTTTTTAAACATTACATTTATAATTAATACTAAAAAAGATATATATATATATACTACACCTATCTCATAATTTAATTACTCTTTTCTATATATTTAATACAATCTGCGATATTAATCTGCGATTTTACATAATCTTTATGGTGTTTGTGCATGAAAAAAGATTGTGTACGCCACGTAGACAAAATGTGAACAGTTCATGTAGATGTAATCTTGGAATCTACGGCACAATTCTGCATTTAACGAACACTTCCTCTTTTCTTTTCATATCTAAAGTCTCTATGAAAATTTCAGAGAAGAATCTTTCAGACCAATCAAACAATTGTACTTGCAATAAGTATTGGAACCGAATACTTACATCTATTCATATAAGCTTCTATGTTTTTCATGCGTTTCACACTTGTGTGATCGCAATCCAATACCAAGGCTTGAACCGTGTCTAGTAAGCAATCGATATTCGTGACACTTCTTGGATCTTTTATGCGCTCCTCCAGACACCGCAGGCGTCTCCACCTATCCTCATCCCGCACCGCATCCATCTCTCCTGATAAGAGTTGGGGCTACTGTGCCACGACAATATACTACTTCTGTTGCATTAAATACTATCCAAACGCAGGGCTAAATGTAACATTGACTCGAGCAATGTGTGACTGCGACACTCAATGGATGCTCCATGTTTCCTGCACAAATAAATGTCGCAAACGTAATAATAAGTTTCTCAGACAGCAAGCAGAACTATATGTACATAAATATGTGTGTGTAATTTCATACAAAATAATACAAATATAATTTTAGATGCATGGTTGTATTTTTCTTGCTTTAGTATGAAAGAGTGTTTCACAAATCTTGTTAGAGAAATAGAAACAGGTGACATGTCTGAGTTTATGTGTGTATGTATGTGTGTGTGTGTGTGTTTGTAGCTTGGCAATATTTCCAGTTCTTACATAATACATAGCATATGAAGGAAACACTGAACATGTTATGATAGTACCAATAATGTAGTACCAAGATAAGACAAACCATTTGTAATTGTGCAGCAGTTAACATCAGAATTTAAGGAGAATAACGTAAATGTCACAGTAACTGAACAACATTCCAATGACTAAAACATTAATAATATATTTGTATTTAATATTCTTAAGTCTTTGAGGTTTTGTTAAATAATATTTCTTTACACCAATCTGTAATATTATTTAACAAGCATTAAATCAGTGATATATATTATTCAATAATTAGAGCATCATTCATTTTTGTAATTTAGTTATTGGCATTATCTAATATATATTTCATTAAAATTTAATTGATATTCATTATTTTACTTATCAATATTTTTGGTTGCTGACAGATCAAAATTTCCTATAAACGTTACTTTTATTCATGATCCTATTAAAGATTTATTAATAAAAATGTAAAACTGATTGTGTTTGTTAGTTCAGTCACTGTGAGATGTTTACCTTAATCTATAACGTTTCGCGCGTGTTATACACATAAATATCTGTGTGTAAATACAATTCCAGAATCGAGTCCGCGTTCGCAGGTGAGCTAAAGCGAGGCAACGGGGATGTGCTGTCGGGAGTGTCGTCAGCTACGGGAAAGTACGACGAGCATCGCGGCACGTGCGGCCGTGTGTTTAACGGACAATGACTCAGCTGCGTAATTTACAAGGTGACAGCGATTCGCGCGTGTAACAAAGAGCGATGCGCCACGACGACGTGCCGTTGTCCTCGAGACGACGAAGTCTCTCCCCCGAGAAACTCGTCGGCTCGAGTCGCATCCTCTCGCGGCGCGCTAACCCGCCGCGTCGTCACACAACGTCACACACTGAAACCGCCTCTTCGTTGCACTGTTCTCCGCAACGGGAACACGAGAATTCTCCCCATGAAGACGCTGGAGTTCCTCATTCGCGCGAGGTTACGTCGGGAGCGACTTGACACGTCGTGAACGTCACAAGGCACACGCAAAATCTCGGCGCGATTGCACTCGATCGGGAAAGCCGCGCGTCGAGGAGGACGTCCGCTGACGACACTCCGCAGGGCGCGTGCTCACGAGTCTGATGACCGTAGCCTAGAACGCCTGTCAACCAGGCTGCCAAAGAGGTAGTGATATACCCATGTTCCACGTATCGCGACGCCCGGTGCGACGAAATGCGCGATACCATAACCGATTGCACGTACCTACGCTCACCTCTACGCCCCGGCACTGGCGTGGTCACCCGGACGACGATCCTGGCAGGCGCATTACTACGTGGGGCGTACAAGGCGCACACAGCTGAGCCGTGCGTGCGCCATTGGGGGAATTCACAACGGTCGTCCGCGAGGCTCTGAAAGTCGCCGCGAGAATCCGCCTCTCTTCCTCTCTCTCTTGCTCCTGTTGTATCTCGCCCTTCCTATCTCGTACTCTCTCGCTCGCTCGCGCTCCGTCTTTCTCTCTCTCTCTCTCTTTCTCTTTCGCGTTCTCAGTCCTCCGGTAACGCGCGCCGTGTTTGCGCGACAGAAATCCAATCGGCGATCCCTCACCTCGCGCTCGCTCGCTCACTCGCTTGCTTGCTCACTCACTCACTCACTCACTCACTCACTCACTCACTCACTCACTCACTCACTCGCGGCGACGTCGCATCTCGCTCACGGCGACGTACGCGGCCAGTTAAATCCGCGGCCGACGGACGCTACGACGGGAACACGGCACTTCCGCGGCTTCGAGCCACCGCGCGAGATTATCGATCGTCGCGGTGGACGTGTTCGGTCTGAAATCAGCCGGAGTAGACTCCGCGACTGTCGCGCGTTGCCGCCGGCGGCGAAGGGGCGGATAGGAGGGCGACGGGCACAGAGCACATAGTGTCATAGAGAATCGTCGGTGGGCGAAGAGCAAGCGTTGCCACCGACCAGGTAATACTAAAGACTGTTGGTCTTGCGGGATTTTGCATGCTGGAAGTCTCGCTGTTCGATAACCTACTGTCGGTAAATCTGTGTCGATAAAAATGTGTAAAAGTAGATGGTAATTACAGAAATGTAGTTTTATGGAAATATTTCATCGGGGGTTAACGATAAAACCTCAAGATAGCTGTAAATTATCAAACTGATACTTCATTACACACTAAATGTCCTGATATTTATACATGATTATAGTTAAAAATAGTCGGTAATGTCACCTTTCTTCAGTTACCTCCGAGCTCCTCGGGGCCCCTTTGCCAGTACGAAAATTTAACCAGGTCTGACGGCTTTGTGACTGATCTATAATGTGCTTTTTGCCCTCTATTTCTTGTTCACTATCTTTTTCTAGCTTAAGCTTAAGCTTAAAATTATTGTTAAATCATAAATTAATTAATTTACGATGTACTCTTTGCTTTCTATTACTTATTCTGTGTCTTGTTTTGACTTAAAGCTTGAAATTTGAGTCAGAAAGAAATAAAGAGAAAGAAACAGGAAGCGAAGAACAGATTATAGATAAAGCTTAATATTAACAATACCTCGGATGGGTAAGGGTGGGGGGTCGGAGCGAAAGGAAGCAAAGAGGGGGGAGCATGAGCACCACATGCAAGATGGCGTAACGTACTTCGGTGCGACGTCGTTGATGTGCTGCGATCGGTCCGGCTAGTGATTTCACGATCACACGACGGTGAGCGACAAGGAGGGAGTGACAACAACAACAACAACGACGTCCACAACAACGAGCACGGGGGCGACGGCGAGGAGGATCACCGTCGAACGCACACGTCCTCCTCGAGGTGCCTCCCGCGAGCCCACAGGTCCGCACGACGGTGAAGACGTTCGACCAAAGGGTGAGTGGCCGTTTTTCCCGCGCGTCGCCGACACCTCGCGACGGTCGTTCCTCCACCCCTCTCGGGCCTTCTCGTCACTTTTGGCTGGCGTTTACGCCGCGCGGCATATTTATAGCAAAAACGCGCGGAAATAGGCGAGTACGCACACGAAACTTCGTAAATGCAGTCCCATTCCCTAGCATAGTAATATTTGAGATTTTCGGCCAGGCACGTCATATATAAGATATTCGTGCGTCAGATATTGTCGAGATTATTCAAGGAATCGGTAACTCTTATAATAATACTCAACAGCTATTGCATGAATATCTTATGTGTGACGCGTCTGACTGAAAATGTCAAATATCACTATGCTAGGGAATGGGGACTACATTTACGAAGCTTGGTGCGTCCCTTCGTCCGTCTGTCCGTCAGCCGGGCCGCGTCTCAGCTTCGTAATTCCAGACGATTGTCCCCAACGGTTGACGTTCAACCGTCGTCTTGGCGGGTCGTCCGAACATCCATCCATCCGTCCGTCTATCCGTATTGACATTCACCACCACGTCGCAGGTAGAAGCGGTGTGTATGCACAGACACACATCAACGTATAACGACATACTTCCAAACATTGTGCAGAGATGGGACTACCTTGTGACTGGCAAATCAACAAGCAGAAGCTCTCAGAGCGTGGCCAGTACCTGCTAGAGACTGGCCAATGGTCGGACTGCAACTTCATCGTGGGCCAAGAGCCCCATCAGCAGACTCTCAAGGGCCACAAACTGTTCTTGGCGATGTCCAGCCCAGTTTTTGAAGCCATGTTCTATGGTGGCATGGCTGAGAAGAATGACCCAATACCCATAAGGGATGTTCAGCCTGAGGCATTCAAGGCCTTCCTGCAGTACATATACACAGATCGTGTGGAACTGGGCTCCTTTGAGCTAGCCTGCGAGCTATGCTACTGCGCCAAGAAGTATATGCTGCCTTGCTTAGTGGAGGAATGCACAAAGTATTTGTGGTCTGATCTTTCACCAAAGAAGGCCTGCAGAGCATATGAGTTTGCCAAACTCTTTGAGGAGCCTATACTGCTGGACAGGTGTTTGCAGATTATATGCACAAAGACTAATGAAGTGTTGAAGGAATCCACCTGGGAGGATGTGGAGTTAGACACGCTTGTCACGGTATTGGAGCAGGATAATTTGCAGATTAGCTCAGAGATAGAGTTATTCACTGCAATGGAGCGGTGGGCTAAGGCAGAGTGCTCCAGGAAGTCACTTGACACCACCAATGGGAAGTCCTTGAAGTCCGTTATCGGGGACGCGCTTTCGAAAATCAGATTCCTCAGCCTGACACCTCAGGAATTCGCGGAGGGCCCCGGCATGTCCCCCATGCTCACGCAGGATGAAGCTTTCGCTATATTGATGAATTTATTGTGTACGGGCAACAAGACACCCATGCCCGAAGGTTTCTGCACCAATTCGAACAGCAGAGTGAAACCAGTGAAGGCTCCGAGTTTGCCGAGTGTGACCGTAAGTAGCAGAAAGTATTGACTCTTAGAAGTGTATTGGTAGAAGTCCAAATATAGACTACTCCTTTCTCTTTCTTTTTTTTTTAAAGTGTTTTAACTTATTGTAGGCGACTACTATCGATCAGAGATGTTTATTTCAGTGTTTGGAGATGTTTTTAATGTTTGGAGATGTTTATTTCACTGCTAAGACGTTTTTAAAATTATTGGATTTTTAGTTATTCACATTTCCCTGAAAAAGAGAGAAATTTATATTATTTGAAGGAAGATTTCAAATGGATTACTTTTATAATTTTGAAGTCATATAGGAGATATACTGTTTTTTACTTTTCATAATATTCATTAATAAAAATAGCATATATAATCATCTTGTGCCTTTGTGCAGTCATTGTGTGTCCACAAAAAACATTGTAGTATAAAACATTTAATTATTGATTCCCTTTAATCACTTATACTCTAAAAAAGTTTGATTTTCCTTGCAATGGTCATTGTTCACAGTTTTAGTTGTAAAGTTCTCTTTTGAAATCATTGAGTGCAGACAAAAAGTTTAACTGTAATGCTGATTACATGAAAAACCATTAGGACCATCTATAGTCTACATTTATATAAGCCCATATTCACAACATGACATGATTGTATTCAAAAACTTCACTTTACGGGTAGAGCCGGGCAAATAGTGATGGGAGTAGAGTGCATTTAAGGCACGAGTAGTTTCCAAACGGCAAATAGTAAACAACAGGTCTGTTTATTTGTCACTGAAGTGTAGTATACATTGATGAAACTTAAAGAGAAACAGATGCACATGATTTGATATTTGAGGCTTTCGTGGTGGAATATGAATATTATGTTCTGATTCAAATAAAGAAGAATTCAAGCGGCTCAAATCCGGAAACTAAATCTAAGATACAGATTTACAGTTAAGACTCAACAGAAAAAAGAAGAGAAAGAGTATTAATGCAAGTTATATGCAGGGTGTCTCACAACCACCATAAGATATTTTAAGCGTTTTCTGAAGATAAAATAGAGATAAAAAATCCTAATATAAAAATGTCGAGTTACAACAGTTTTTTAATTATAACCCATCAAAGATTACCACTAATATCGCGTAGAATTTGCGCCCTCAGACTCGTAGTTATACAACACGTACATTGTTTTATCATTTGTTATCGACTTCACAGTTAATATTGATTTTTACTATACAGCTGATTCCTAAAAACATTAATAATTATTATTGTTAAAATTATTAAATTTAATAGTTTCACACTTGAGAAACAAGTTTTGCGTTTTTGACATGGAAAGTAATCGTGGAAAATAATTTATTATTATTTATGTATTTTTCACGTTTTATAAGGAGTGAAATCGTATAATTCTACTAAATCAAAGAAATAAGATTAATTGTCCACATTTTTTAAACAACTTAAATTTTTATTAAAATCTCTATATTTATGGACGAATCATATTTTACTCGCGAAGGAGTATTTAACACATAATTCTCATATGTGGAGTGATAATAATCTAAACATATCATATCAGTAGATTTCAACATAAATTCTAAATAAATTTATGGACTGAAATCGTTAATGACCAAATGGTATCTTACATGTATATTTTTTGTATTAAAATTATATTTTAAAAAAAGTTAATAATATTATACTATTTTAGATTGGACCACAGGTTTGGCCACCGAGATTAAATGGAAAAACATTTTCAAGATTAATAACAAGTCACACACTTGATAATATGCCATTAAATGAGCGATTAAACATGATTTCTCAACACGATGGATTAAGATGATTCTTATTTTATAAAATGAGCCTAAAATATCTTAAATGAAGCATATCCAAATCGGTGAATTGAACGTGCAATTAATTAGCCACTAAGATCACTAGGTCTAACGTCAATGGACTTCTTTTTCTGAAAACATTTAAAATAATATGTTTATCGAGACGAACCAATTCAAAATGAAGAGAAGTTGTATAATCGCATTCACCAAGGATTGGCAACATTTACTAATAAAATAATAAAAAATTATGGTCGTAATTTACTAAGAGAGAGAGAGAGACGTGCACAATTATATATACAATCAGATGGATTTTGATTTGTTTTATAAATGACCAAAAAAGAATATTAAATATATATGATTATTGTTGATACAAATACTTTGTTTTAATTTCCTTGATACAAATACTTTGTTTTAATTTCCTTTAAAATTTTAATTTTTTTTTTTATCTAAAATATTTGATTATATCAATAAAAATATGCGGTTTGAAACCTGTAATATTTTTATTTTCTATATTCGACTCAGCTGTGATCACGTATTCGTCACGTATTCAGATAATAATATTGAGAAGTTATTATTGTTATGCATTGAGGAAAGATTATTATTAACAAACTATATAAGCAATTATTTTATCCTTTATTTTAATGAAAATTTAAATACTTTATCAATTACTCCAATTATTCTATTTACAAAAAATTATTAAATCTAATGTTTCTTTTAAATTTGTCTGTTTCTAAAAAATATAAAGATTGATGAATGAAGAAAGTGTATTCCGTCAAAGCGGATTTTAGTTTGGATCTTATAATTTCAGTATATCCAAATAATAACAATGACGAAGCAGATGGAATAATCGAGGAGAATGAATATTGTTGAAGCTTGAGTAAGAGTTTGTAATGCAGGCCGTTATGAATTTATAGAACAACAGAATCAAATCAACAAGTCAAAAACGATATTTGAAAACCTCGCCAAATGCAACAGATTACCCGAATCTATCCTGAAATTTCAAAGTGAAACATCTTCCACTTAAGATACACCTAACAGAGTTTCCGAACGACTTTGTCATTTGGATATATCCTGAAGATTTTATGACGCGTTTTATGAACGGCACAGAATGCAAGTGCATCCGGGTGAAGTTTTAGGCTGCGTTCGGAGAGCACGCTATCAACGCTATTGCGTCATTTGATTTTTGCTCGTTAGATATACGATAAGGATCGAATTACGCGTCAGCGCTGATTAGCGCAAACAGCGCGCTCCCCGAACGCGCCCTTAGAACGCAACCCATCATGGAGGACATGCGATTATATTAGTGGACACAATACATTTTCAAACTAATTTTCAAACTAATTACTAATGCCCTTTGATATATCCTTATACTATGTCATAAGCTCATAAGCAATTACATAAATAATACGTGCGTTTCTACATGAAATATACATACCTGCGCAATTTTCCAGATGTCGAAAAACAGAAAATCTTGTGTAACTTCTAAACTAACTCGAAAGCAACCGTGCAATCAAACTTCGTTACATGCTACGCAGCAGAAAAAATTACTCAAACCCCATTAGAATATAGCACTATACAGAGCTAAAACACTGATAGCTCGTGTTTGGATCATGGCCAATATTTGGACTTTTTCCTTTATATATGTGCTTGTCTCACTGTATGCACTTGTTCTTCCAGAAAATCGTACCAGATAGAAAACGACCGTTCAGCTTGGAACGATCGATCGGCGATAACATATACTTCAATTGGAGTATGTCTCGGCAATACGGCTTTCCGGCCCACGGCGAATCCAGCAACATAGCTACGCTACGAAGCTCTTCGCCGTCGCTGATGGACGTGGACGTGCACAAAGACACCGGGAATTTGCCTGTTAACAATTCTGCTGCAGGAAATCTCGAGGGTATCATACGCGAGGGCACGAAATATTACTGCCTCAGGTCGATAGTGCAGCAGACAGATTGCTTAAACACGAACGTGCTTGATTGTTCTGTTACGTTCAGTGTGGATAAAAATATTTGCGTGACTGGGGTGCAGGTTCCCACGCAAATTGCCGCGGCGACGGTAAGCCAAGTGGTTTATTATAACCGTCCAACTTGCACATGTAGCTGACTCATTTCTCTCATTACAGTCGAATAATTTCGGGGCTCACGCTGCGGATCCCGACACGTCATACACCGAAATCTTGTACGCCCATCTCCTGGATTGCGACGGCACGCGTTTGACGTACACCCATTTCACCACTAAAGCGACTTTCGGCACCCTCGTAGAGATCACTTTCAATCGACCAGTTTATATTCAAAAGCACAAGGTTTGTCACTCTACGTCGTCGTTCTTTTTTTTTTCAATCGATTGTATCTGTTAGTCGTTACTTTATTTGGACATTTGTGCGACAGGAAACAACGTTTGAAACTTTCGCCATCGTAGTTTCTCGTTTTTAAATGCTTGATTGATTGCAGGTGGAAATGTGATTGCTTGATACGCAAATGTTGCTCTGTTAAACAGGTTTATCGAGTTGGCGTGGTATTTAATAAGGTCGGCTGGTACCCGGTAGGAGTCTGCACCCAAAACATGGCCTGTGATTCTGTATTCTTCTCGTTCGGAGTTGGTAACAGTGCACACACGATCCGCGAGGGTCTCATTCGATCTATAGTTTTTACATATCATTAACGCAATTACATATATATTTTAAATTTGTGATAAGAATGTATTCTTTTGTTGTATTTCTTATTACATAATCTTTTAAATCACGTTTGACTTTCACTATAAGATTTTTCAAGAAATTTCCAGAGAACTGTATAAATATCCTTATTGCTCATTACAAGTCACAATTTATTCTGTATAAAAAACCAACTTTTTTTTAACTTGGACGAAAAACACCGACTTCTATTGTACAAAAACGAAAATTTGGATTTTACGATTTAAAAACCTTTATTAAATCTCATTGCACATGCATTCTCTCACGTTTTGATTTTTCCTATAATATCATTTGTTACACCCGAGAAAAATTTAATATTCGTATAAAGTAATTAATATATATAATTCTACAATATATATATATATACATCTTAATCAGATCTGCCAGAGATATTAAACAAAGGTTTCAAAAAATATATATTAAAATTATTTGCGATATATAACGTTCGCTCTTTTTAAATATGTTTGCCACTTCCACAGCTTAAAGTTTAAATAAATGCACATGATTTTATAAAATAGAGTCAGTCTATGCTCACGTTTAACTCTTTACGATATCAAGAGGCTATCATAATATCATTTACTCCCTATTTCTGGCACTTTATCACTTTATATAAAGAAAAATATTATGCATCAGACGCAGTAACATCCGTTAAATTTCTTTATAAAATCACGTTAATTCGTAAGTTCATTCGATACGATATACACAGTATTTCTATTAAAAATATTTCCTTTAGTTTTTAAATGAGTTTTTGTCATCTTTAAGTACGGCGAACTTTCATGTTTTATGTACAATGAAGTCCCAGGTATCTTTCCATCTCAACTTTATCACATCCTTGGCGCTGAGAACCGACGTCCCGTAGCTAAGTACAACAAATTTCTTGAACACATAGATGACAAACAACACCCAGGCGAAAGTGCTGCATCTTAGAACATATGAGATGACACTCCACGGACGATGAGTACTGAAATAAAAAGCGACAAATTATTTGTACTTGCCTTCTGCTGAATCAAATAACACTTGAGCTCGCACGTTACTAACCCGGGAACGCAGCCAGTCAAGTAAGACAGGTGGTCAATCGTAGCGGCTGTTAATAAGACTTTGAAAACAAAAGCCGGCAAATAATGGTGCAGAAACAAAGTTCGTTCAACAAACAAAAATGGCAAGAAGTGAAGAAAGTATCCGGCCAACAGTACATAAGCGTTGTTAACGAACTTTTCCCATTCCTCCTCGGCAATGTCGAAGCACTTTCGTCTTCTTCTCATTAGATAAAATATCAGTAGGGCGGAATATACAATCACTGAAGTTGTGCCGGAGTACCAAATCGCAATGTTCCCTAAAAGATGCACTTGTGCCTGAAATTATAACAGGTAAATATGAATGCGATCAGCTTGATCTAAAAATCACTTGACGTCACTTTGCAAAATTTCGAACGTGTAACTACAGGATGTCTGACAATTCATGACACATTCGTATGCAGGTAGAGCTCATTAAATTGAACATAAAATTTATCTACTATATCGCGCGTGGACATACATAAACTTTTCTTAATTAACAACTCAAAATTTTATATTTTAAGTTTGTGAAATGATAGAGAAATTTTGGGTTCAGTTTGATGAGATCTACCTGCACATTACAGTATATTATTCATTGTCAGACACCTTATATAACAGTTGAACGTATATTAAGCGCAATTTATAATTCATGAATGACATGTAGATCGACCAACTCACGTTGCTGTCATTAGATACCCAATATGCGATTCCCCTGGACATCAGTGGCCATTCAAGAGGCCCGCTAGAGTACATGTGGCTATTTTGACCTTCTTGGCCGCTGAACAGCATTTTGACTTGCAGTTCCGCAAACTTCTCCCAAAAACTCAGCGCAGTCACTTGCAACGGTATCATCTCCGCGCTGATTAGTTCGCGCTCGCGCTGCTTCTGATCCTCGTTCTTGGTGTATCGATGCTCCTCAACGTTCCAGATGGAGTTGGTCTGATCCGCCAGGCGGTCTGCGACTACCTCATGCTGATTGAAGCCCCAGTCGGGCAGCTGCCTGCCGCTGAATTTCAGCGCGAATTCCGCGTTCGCGTGCACGTGTATCAGTCGCACCTGGCTTTGAATGGCATGCCACGCGTCGCCGGACTGTTCCCGATTCGCGATCTCCACACGCCAGAGATTCTGCGCCGGCATCGACACGTTGTAGTCGATGTAGCAGGACACTTCTTGGCTCTGCGGCGTCATCGGCGCCGCCACGTCGTGGGAGTTCAGCGCCCTGCTCGTGATCCCGTGCACCAACTGTATCATGTCGCCATGTCGGATCGGCTCGCTGGGTTTCGTCACCACCAAGTCGTTCCTGTCCGGCTTCTTGACGATCCACCAGTTGTTGACGTCCTTGAATGAATAACATGTCACCTGCTGCTGATGAGAGCTGCCACGACCGTCAGGATAGCGCAACGGATACATGTGGCTATGACTGTGCAGCCAACATGCTCTACCGTACGTATGTCTAAGAGTGATCTGCGAGCCGTGTGTCACCTCCAGAGGCTGCCCCTTCGTGATACTGGCGAGTCCTCCCTCTAAACTCGCTTGGAACGCGCTGGTCATCACTGAGTCGTGTGGTCCCGCCTTCGAGAGTATCGCTAGATGTACGTAGAATATGCTCAAGTACACGGTACATATAACAACAATCAACACGGCAAGCCTTATCAGAAGATGGACGCATAAGATCGCGTTCGACAAAGTCTTCCTAGGCAGTAGGGACCAATAATCGCGGGCGATCAGAAAAATCGCGAGGACCATGGAGTAGAAGCCGACATACTTCACGCTGCAAAGAGAAGCTCTGATCATATGACGAATAGGAATCTAGCGTAGGAAAATTAACGAGAAAGAGAATCGAGCTCATACCACAGTGCGCATGTTAAGTTCACCATGCCTAACGTCAGCCATATCCACCAGGACGCGGACATCGGTCGGTCCATGACTTTACGAAACTTCAAAATACACAGTAAACCAAGCAGTGAGAATTGCATTAGAATACTTTCCATCAGGATAAATCTCGACTGTGTCAGCAGTGCATTATCTAAAATAGCAATACGTGTAATTAGTAAAATATAATGCGTGCGTTATAGAGTCGCAATGGCAAAACTATATCACGAAACAATGGTCAGTATTCATAGTCAGATTTTATATTTAAGATCGTCTTAAGTTTATCTTGAGATGGTGTATATATCATTTCATTGACTACTGAATATCTGAAGATGAACTTGAGACGGTCATAAATATAAGATCCGATTGTGAATACCGGCTAATAACTCAGTTTAAGGTCTCTAGGTACTCGCGTCGGCTGTTCTTTTTTCAGAAGCGAGAAATCGCATGTTTATGATTTTTACATTATACGTTGCAATAAAAAGATATATCCATAAAATGACATTTGTGATCAATTCGGCAAATGTCTAAAACACTCCGAATGTTTTCCTTTTACTATTAAAATCAATAAATAGCTATGAAATTAGTGTGACGTGCAGCTCAAGTTTTAACCAAACTTTTCTCGTTATTTCTGTTACATTAATTTTATGACTATTTATTGGATTGTGACAAAAAGAGAGTGTCGTTGTATGGGTATATTTTTTATTTCGACGTATAACGCAAGAATCGTGAGCATGCAATTTCTCGTTTCTAACGTCATCAAACAAGTTCAGCCTACGCGAATATTCAAGGGTTTTAATTTTTAAATAATAAACGACGGATTATTTTTGGGATGAGCGTAATAAAACATAGCGGTGATCTTCAACTAGCTTAATTTTAATCGTGTGAATCATTCATTGTACATATTATCTTTCTACGTATCTCATATTAGTGTTATGCTTCTAATTGAAAGGTAATGAGGACAAGCTGATGGCGGTGTTATAGTCGCATGAACTCTTATGCAATGCACTTTCTAATCCAAGAGGGGAAATTACCGAGCAACAGTAAGATTCCGCCGATCGCAGCCGCCCATTGTCTCAGACCCAGCTCCAGAACGAGGTGATATCCTGTGGGAATCAGCAGACTACCGCATATCGCCGGTATCAGACGTAGGGCGTACAAAGGGACCGCATCGTCGTAAGGACTGCCGATCCGGTCGAACTTGAATTGCCCGTCGAAGCCCGCGAGGTACGCCGCCGCGGAGACCAGTTGCTTCCCTAGAGGCGGATGGGAGTCGAAGAAGAACGTCTTCTTCATATACAATCCGACGTACCTGCCATAATGTAGCTCATCAAAGCTGTAAACAGCCAATTACGATAAATAGATGATTAATAAGTGATGCCTGAGGAGATTGAACCATATATCAAAGGTTCTGTTTGAGATACAATCAAATTGTAGTGGAAGATTACACACGATAGACTGTTAATCTTCTTCAATTAATAATTGATAACAGTTCATTATTATATCAATGTTCAATGTAATCCATTGATGAACGAATTATATAATTACTTTGTATGAAAGATAAGGAAATACTATAAGGATATATCGGCAAGTGATATCTTCTTAATATCTTTATATCAATAGCCTATAATATCGACGTTTAATTAAATCAAATTATGTTTTCCTTTTGCATTCAACAGTATTTATTTATATACAGTATTTATATGGATAGAATTCATATATAATCATATATAATTCATATATAAAAAAATCATACATAAATATGAAGTATAATTATATATGTAAAATTCATATATAATTATATAAATTAAATGAATTTTCATATTCATTATATATAATTCATTATATTCATTCATATATAATTATATAAATTATATGAATTTTTTCCCCGGGCATTTAAATAATACGATGCATCAATTATTCATCATGGATTATATTTCCTATCGTCACACAGTGTGCGTTATATTTAACAAAATTACGCATACACTTACACTATACTGCGTGGTTCCTCCAGACGATAAAGACGAGTGCAAATGCCAGTAATTAATAAAATCGCCGCTATCAAATCGATCTCCAGACTGATCTTGATCCGAGCGCGAATTGCATCTTTCGTTGAAAGTTTCTTTGACTCGATGAAATTCGATTGATTTGCTTTGTTACTTTCTATCAACTTGTCCGAGACAGTTTCTCTATCTCTCTACAACGAAATTAACATAAGGAACATATATTGATATATTGCTTGAAAATTAATATAGTAATTTATGTCATAGATCAAGTCAGACCATCGATTTTGGAGTAGCTGGTTATCTAAATATATCAATAAGATATGTGAATTAAGTGTATCTTTTCGATGGGCATGGCCTTGCAGCTTGGATTAACTTATTGGATTAACTGGAACATCATTTTCTGTGTGTTATCATTCTTGGAGTATAAAATATGTCTGGAGTGTATAAAATGTGACAAAAATGTTGTATTTTATCAAAAATTCGTTTTCTCGAGTAAATTTCGAAAAACTAAAATTTTTCTTTCGTATAAATAAAATAGAAAAACACTTTAAAGAAAGATTTATTTTGTTAAATATCTTTTTTAATAAGATATATACACAAAAAAGGAAAAAGAAGCGAAACCGACTTAAAGTTGGCCGAAAGACACGCTATTACTCATACATATTCTCGAAGTCCATCGAAGTGTTCTCATTTCAAATTTAAAAATTTAAAAATTCGCGGATGTGCTGCTTTTAATTTCGAACGTTATGAAGCTACCTCTGTATAATTTTTTTTCACGTAAACAGAACAAACAAGAGAGAAATCCCTTGCCATAAAATATTACATATGAGATTTTAAACACAGTCTCTGTATAATTATTTACAATAATCGCAAGTCTCAGTGAAGAAGACACGCATGACATTCGACAGTTGATGCACTCTGAATCCTCTTCAGAGCGCGAAAGTTTTTGTTATACTTTTAAAAAATATATATACTTTTTAATATATTAAATAATTAATTTTTGTTATAATTTTTGTGATAAAACTTATAAATTACTCTCTCTTTCTTTTGCACAAGTTACTTGAGCTCTCCTGTAACAATTGGTGGATTTACGCAAACGATGCAAGGCCCACCTCGTCCCGTTGGATTATCCTTGAGCGGTCCGTCGTTGTGTCGACGTCGCATTCCAAACTCGCGCTGAATTTATCGTCAGTTTGTAGCCTCGTGCGTCTACGGCGCACTTCCATTGTCACGGTGCGTGGCAGAAGAATGCGTCGAGGGGCACGTACGATCCCAAAATTTGCCGGTCGTGCACAGTGGACAAGAAGACGCTCCGTCGTCCAGCCGCGCTGTTCTGCCGTGATTTCCTGTCGGGTCGAGTCACCTCGTCGTCGCGGTGGCGTTTTGCGAGAGTGTGTCGCTCTCACCAGTGCATAGTCCGGACTCTTGAAACTTTCGAGGGAAGAAAGCTGCGCTGCTGATCCGGACCCAGGTGTCCCACGTTAGCGTCCACTCGGCGTTCCCTTCGGCACGCGTCCCGCCCGGAGATCCTTACGAATCACGCGGGACGTTCTCTCCTGAGCGATTGTTCGCCAGCCCGGTCGATCACTCGTGACTTGACGTAATTGAAAATCGCGCGACGATTTGCCAAAGGCTGAAAGGTCGAAGGTTGCACGCGCGCGGCCGGATCGCGCTCTCCTAAACGAACGGCGTCTAGGTTAGCACGGCGAGTTTGACATAACGGTACCGTCTCCGAGGACTTTCGTCGCCGACAGGTTCTGCGCATCGCGCGGCAATCCTGTCGAATCGCGATGTACTTGTTGCTTTAGGACTCGCACTGTGTGTTATCCTCGTGTGGTTTCTCGATTGTCTCGATTTATGACTGTTTCGTTTACTTTTCCGGTTCTTTCTCGCTCTGCGCATTGCCCGACTCTCCCGGGCGCCAATGACGTTCGCGTAAGGGAGAAAAATTCAGAATTGCACGCTGCAACTTCTCGAGTAGAAACATGGACGGTGACAAAGTGTCGTGTCCGGTATGCAGTAAGGAGTTCGCTTCCTCCGTCATCGAGTCCCATGTCGACAAGTGTCTGTTTCTGAATGAATCTGTGGCGGATGAAGGCACAACCTTGCTGAAGGACTCGAGTCCCGTCGCTAAGAAAAGTAAATTGAAACCGACGAGTGCAAAGAAAAGCAATCCGGTGGCTGTAAAGAGAAAGAGCACTTTGGAGCAATTTTCCTTCCAGGATATTCAAAGAGATGAAGAGGATATTAAGGATATTCAAGATGATATTCCACAGAGAAGTGTAATTAACTGTTACTGTTAGCAAAATTAAACAATACAAGTGTGTTGTTAGAATTAAACAAGAGTATGTCTGTCTTTTATTGAATCATCAGACCCAATTTTAGTTTTTAAATTTGTTTTGAATAGTTTCAACGGTTTGCAAGAGTTGATATCTCATGACTTTTATCTTTTCTTCTTCTAAAGGGTAAAGAGAAGATGAGGATTTTTTTAAACAAATTGAATGAGTTTTAAACAAATTGAGTACTTTAGTTAATATGCAGAATTAAATTATAGTAATCAATCTTGTTATATGGTATATATAGATTCTCTCCTATATTATATAGTGATTTTGTTATATTTTACAAGACATTAACAAGTATTTATTTGTAGACACAGAATAAGAAGTTTTGTGGGAACGAACGCATACCTCTTGCAGAACAGATGAGACCCACGTCGCTTTTGAACTTTGTTGGTCAGAAACATATTTTGGGACCTCGTACTATGCTGTCAGAGCTCTTGCAAAAGGGAGAGATACCTAATATGATTCTCTGGGGTCCACCTGGATGTGGCAAAGTATTGTGCAGAATTTTTCTCATAATCTCTGCATGCAAATGCACACATGTATACATTCCTTTATATAGAAAAGAATACATATATTCAAGTTTGCTTCATGTATTTCATAAGTTTATCTGTAAATCTATCATAAATTTATCACAAGAATCAAATTTCAAAATACATTCTAAATTGTAGTAAATTAGTTTGTTTTAGTTGAAATTTAGCTTATTATTTTAGTTAAAATTTAGCTTATTATTATGTTTCGTTTGCTTATTACATATAATCAGAGAGACAAACTTTTTTTTTATAAAGTTTTATAATATTATAGAGAAAATCGATTTTAAATGTGATAATGATTTTCTTAATTTTTAACTTTATTATTCTTAAAAGTTTATAATATTATAGAGAAAATCGATTTTAAATGTGATAATGATTTTCTTAATTTTTAACTTTATTATTCTTAAAAGTTTATAATATTATAGAGAAAATCGATTTTAAATGTGATAATGATTTTCTTTATTTTTAACTTTCTTATTCTTAACTTTGTTAAATTTGGAATGAGTATGTTTTAAACTATTACCAAGAAAATATTCAGCATTGAAGATTATTTAAAACCATTACTTAAAAGAAGGAAAGTAAACTGAGTAATCGCTTTTTTGGTAGTAGAGTAACATCTTCCTATATGTGTCCTTTTTTCAGACGTCTTTAGCTAACGTCATCGCGCACAGATGCAAAAATGATACGAGCCATAAGCTACGCTATGTTAAGCTCTCCGCAGCAATGGCTGGTGTTCAAGAAGTGAAGGAAGTTATCAATGTCGCTGCTAATCACGCAAAGTATGCGCAGCGCACGATAGTTTTCATGGACGAGATACATAGGTTCAACAAGACACAGCAGGATGTATTCTTGCCGCACGTCGAGTCCGGAGTCATCACCCTGATCGGTGCCACGACGGAAAACCCTTCGTTCAGCTTGAACTCTGCATTACTGAGCCGATGTAGAGTAATTGTTTTGCATAAGTTATCCATCGTGAATTTGGTGTCGATCTTAAGACGCGCGGTGATTTCGTTAAATGGCGTAATTCACTTGTCGGAGAAAAGCGAAACCTTACAAAACAACGGGGAACAGAGTACATCGATGGAGGAAAGCAGAGTCATAGGAGAACCGTCTCACGATACAAAATTCATCGTAGACGAGCCGACGATAGAATGGTTAGCCGGTACTTGCGACGGTGATGCTCGCATAGCGTTGGGAGGACTGGAATTGGCGGTGCGGTCTAAAGCACCAAACGAAGAGGACTCGCCAGAAGCTGGTCCGGCGATCATAACGCTAAGTGACGTCGAGGAGAGCCTAAAGAAAACACACATGCTGTACGACAAGAAGGGCGAGCAACATTACGACATGATCTCCGCACTGCATAAGTCAGTTAGAGCCAGCGACGAAAATGCCTCGCTATATTGGTTAACCAGAATGATTTCCGGCGGCGAGGATCCGGTGTATATCGCACGCAGATTGGTGAGAATGGCTACTGAGGATATCGGCTTGGCTGATCCGAAAGCTCTGGGTTAGCGAATTTAGTTTATTTGCATGTAAGAACTACGAAGAATAAAGAATGTTTTTTAAATAATTGAATTATATAAGAACGCGTAACATGACGTGTATGATAGATTTGTTTAGAATATATAAATATATTCATGATATATATATAGATTTTACATATAAGACTTAGTCGAATCATGTTTGCGGGATGTGAACAAATTTACAGGAATCGCGGTGCATACAATGCATGGTTGCAAAATGATCGGTATGCCAGAATGCGACGTGCTTCTGGCGCAATGTACAATTTATTTAGCGAGAGCACCAAAGTCTAGATTGATGGAGGACGCACTTAGAGCCGCGCAACGAGTAATAGCCGAGCATAAAGGTCCGCAACCAGGGGTGCCTTTACATTTGAGGAACGCTCCCACGAGGCTTATGAAGGATTTGGGTAAATATTTTATTCCTTACTTCTCATTCTCTCTCTTATTCTCTTCTTTACAGATGCGCTTTCAATAAATCGAGGTATTCTTTCAGGATACAGCAAGGGATACAATATGAAGCATAGGGAGGATTCTGGATTAAATTATTTACCAGAGGGACTGGAAGATTTGGATTTTTTCGGAGATGATAGAAGTAACGTAATGTGAAGGTATTAGTTATACCGCGATGTTACACTTCTTTCCATAATAGTTACTTGATCATCAGGATATAATGTTGCATTAGTGCGTCAGAAGGTGTCTTATGAACCTCATATTTAAAATCAGATCTCTCAGGGACTAATGCTTTAAGCAATATAAATATAAAATAAAATGTATGTATGTATACACATACGCTATTAATAATAATTGTAATACAAATCTTGTATATAAAATATTTTTTAAAATAATATAGAATACATTTATGTGATAAGCTACAAAAATATTACAAATCGTATTAATTATGCTCATTCGTGCAACCGTGCCTCTAACAGAGATTCAATAAAGATTCGTGCAAGCAATATTTTATGATTGATTGGTTCTATATTTAAACCAATCTGTTCACATTCAAGCTTAACGATAGTTATGTCTCTTTTGTGTGTTATCGAAGTTACCTAAGTTTTGACAGTTTCGCCAGCTGCTTTGTCAGTTGAAGACACATGTTCACCCGCTTCAACTCCCGCGTATTTTTTCCAAATAAGCGTCTTATTATGAGCAGGCATTTCCACGGTTTCCATCAGACTCATATCATTTTTCGCGGCCAAATGCCGCAAGTCCCTTATGTCTCGCAAACCCCAACAGCGATTTTGCGATTTTAGGGAGTTGTGAAATTTCACGTTACTCTGCGGATAGATTATATTGTCACAGGCGTATGGTCCATATGTTATCAATAATCCGTTATTCTTTAGCAATTGGCCAGCGTTCCAGAATAAACTGATGGTGCATTGGTACGGCGTGATGTGCATCATGTTTGCGTTGTACATGTAGTCCAAACTGTTTGGCTTGAAGATGTCATTACCCCATAACGAGAAATCCGTGGTAATGTCGATTAGCATGGGTTTTTTTATATTTGCGTGTCCGTTCGCGTGTGCAGTGATGCTTCCTAGTAGAGACTGTTCATACTCCGACGGGTAAAATGTGACGTGTGGAAAGTAGGGCGCGAAATGGGCCACGTGTTGTCCCGAACCGGAGGATATCTCCAGAAAAGTTTGATTAGCGCCAGGCCGGATATATCGTTTTATCAGTGACAGTATCGGATCCTTATTGCGTTCCGCCGCAGGATAAATGAGCTTTTCGACAGCCATAGTGTGCGACCTTGAAGAAATTACAGTTTTATTTATTTGAAAGACCTGCATAAGCTTTTAATATTATTTGGAAAATTCAACATGTACGAAATTCGGACATCGACTGTATATAGAGTGTTTACGAAACATTCGGACAAACTTCTGAAGCATATTCTTATTGAAATAGAAATATAAACCCATCATCAAATATCAGTGTTTGTGAAGTTATAATAAGACAAATTTACGTTAACGTTACTATTAATACTAACTACTACTAATAATAAATAAACGTTTGAATTAAATACCTAATATTTTAATTATTATCCTTGAATAAAATATTTGAATATAACAAATGTTCAAAATAATCGCCATTTAATTGAAAACTGCTATTGACACAGCGGAGTAAGGTTGAATTATTTCAAAGGTTCATTGACGATTCTGTATAGCTTCACAAATATTAATAATGCAAATAACAATTTAAAAGACCTAATGATTACAGATCAAAGTTTCAAAAAATTGTAGAAATAAAATCTATATAAGCCAAGTGCTAGGATCAAGTGCGCAAAAAAAAGGGAAAGAAAAATTCTCTAATTCAATTATTGATGTTATGTTAACTTGTTCAGATTGTTAAAATTATTTTTGTAAGTCAGAGTGGAAGACAATTAAAAACACAAATTTCTGAACACCGTGAAATTACCAGAATGCAAATTCACCTGCAGTTCAAAAACATGTGCTATAGTTTGAGCATACTTTTGATTGAGATAACGTGAGGATATTAGACATTGAACTTATCCCTCATTTTTACAACTTTCTGAAATTTTCGTTATCAATAGTTTGCGAATAGAGTTTCCATGGATAAAAATCCGAAAGCGACTTTTAAAACTAAAAAGAGAAAGCAGCCTTTGACAGTGTCATAAAGTAACTTTATAAAGATACACAAGAAAAGAGTATTCACTATGTTAAAAAACAATATCGTTTATAAAATATCTTTCGGATTCAAGTCTGGCGAACGTGAAGATAATGCGCGACTGGTTTCCTTCTCTGCCAATCCATTTCTATCTGGATAATTATTGAGTACATTTCTCACTTAACCATTAAAATGTGCGGTATTCATCAGAATTCTGAACATATTGCCCGTTTCGACTGTTATAATTTAAACTATAATTAACTATAATTTAAATTATAATTTACTTATGATATTTAATAGTGACGCGTTAATATAGACTATTTTACTAATTTTGCAACATAGATACACATTCATATTTGTGATCGTAGATTTATATAAGATTTTTCTCGATTTTGACGAGATGAATTCGCCTCATAAGTTTGTCCAAGTATTTCGTAAACACTCTGTTTAATTAACTGTATTGCAAAATGGTGCAAGACGAGTTTCTATATTTTGTTGAAGCATCAGCTTTACTCTGCACACAACTTCACCTTGCGTTAATTTTTGCCTTCAACCTATTTTTACTGTTTTCAAAACGCGACATAAACAGCACTTTGAAATGAAACAATTCCCTACGAAGTGCTTATAGTGGAAAGTTATGAGAATCTCACCTGTGATTAACAGCGTAATGAATGATATTCACTTGTACGTCACGCTAGCCGTGATACTACTATTTGTATTTATAGCAAGGAAGTGCATGCCCTGAAAAATGTTAATTATATACTTCTTATGTATATAAACATACTTCTTTTTGTATTACAATTTGATCAATGAAAAAACTAAGACTGTTATTTTATCGAAGATGAATTGTCATAAATAAAAATAATTCATACATTGAATGACATATTTAATGTCATTATGTTTATTGACGGACATGATAATTTATTACATAGATAAAGTTACTTGTACATTCGCGCGTGTATACTATATTGTAAATTCGTGTATATAGTGAATATAATTTTTTCATTTTTTTTTCCACTGTAACATATTGACCTTATATATATATATGTATATATGTATATGTATATATATATTGTATATGCACTGCGTTATTATGTATAAAGTCAAATACTTTTTGTAAATATACAAATAACTTTGTCATAAATTATCATGCCAGTCAATAAACATGTCATTAAATCAATATTGGATTTATTTCCAAACAGCACAGATCTTTATATCCTAAAGCCTGATCTATAATATGCTCTTTGTTTCCTGCTTCTTTCTTTTTATCTCTTTCTGACTTGAACTTTCTGACTTAAACTTTAGCGAGAAAAAGATAGTAAACAAGAAACATGAAGCAAAAAACACATTGTAGATTCGACTTAAAGACCTTTTGAGGATAGGAACAGGACATTCTCTAGAGATCTTGCTATCTGGATTGTAATGTTCCTGCTAGATCTGACTTTACACAATACACATAGCATGTACATTATACATTCGTGTGTGTTTGTGTGTATCATGTAGTGGGAACTACAAATAATATATTTGTTAGACGGAAGTTTTTTCATGTCGCTTAATAAATACAGTAAATTATTATTATTATCTTTATTTAATAAGAAGATATATTTTCTAATTACAAAATAAGAAAAAGTAATATATTACGAATTCATATAAATCACAATTTATATAATCCATAATTTATATTTAAATTCAGTTTCAACGATTCTCTTTGTCCGAGAGGTGATTTTACTTTTACAATTCTTTCCTGATGTTTTTATATTTAAAAATATAATGTTACATCAGATAATACATGTGGGTTGGGGTATCTTCGTTATGGTATACCAAGTCTCCTAATCAAAACGACCAAGTTCCATGTAAAGTGGCATCTCCGCTGCCAATATTTAAGATATCCATATTAATAAACGAACTATCCTCTTTTTTCTTAACGTGTATAGTGTCGTTTCTTTCATTTATGAATAAATGAAACAATTCTAATGTTGTTAATACGGATTCGCATTTAGTAACTGTTCCATTCTTTCTTTTACTTTTCTTCTTATTGGTAATCGTTTCATTCACATTATCAGATTTTGTCGATTGTTGTGCATCGTTGTTTTGTCTTGATTTGTTCTGCATCGCTGCTTCTCTCTGTTGTAACTTCTTACGTTGTTTCTTCGTCAACCACATGTTTTCGCCATTATTCCCTATGTTGTTACCACTGATACGATCTGGAACGGGATTAGGATTCTGTACGTTATTCTTCCTTCTCTTCCTTCTATTCCTCTTCTTTTTCTTTTTCTGACAATCTGAAGCGGCTTCTGCTTCATCATTCGACATCAGTTCAGCTTCGGAAGATGCAATGTTATCTTCTTTCCCGTTCTCTAACAGACATAAGAAGCAATTGTAATTCATCCGAGGTCCTTCAGTCAATGAAACGTCGTCATCGTTTGTTTTCTCTTTCTCACTTGCTGGCTGACAATCTTTCGGCTTTTCTTCATCGTCTGAGATCAGTTCATCGTGAGAAGTGTCGTCATCATTCTCGTTGTCAGACTGTTTCGTGTCGTTTTCGGGAGGATCCATCAAAAAGTCGGGCATTTGCGAATCAGTAGCCAATTTTGATTCATTCTGGGTGATTGACTGACAATCTCTCGAATTTTCTTCATCGTCCGAGATCAGTTCGTCGTGGGAAGTGTCCTCACTGCCCTCATTGTCAGGTTCTTTTGTGTCATTCTCAGAAAGACTCGAAGAGAAGTCGAACATCTGCGAATCAGTCGCTAACTTCGGTTCATTCGGCGCGACTGACTCCGTGGTCGTCGAGTCGGCTTCTTGAAAACTACTGCTAGGAAGGAACTGCTCCTCTTCTGCTATAGATGTTTCTAACGCGCTAAAATTCTCCTTGTGCTTCCGCGAATTTTCGTGATTCATGTAAGCCTTGTGCGTCTTGAAGATCTTATTACAGACGATGCAATAGAGTACGTTGCTTTCGTCCATGCTATCTTCGTCGCTGTCGCCACTGAAGGTCGCCTCGATCTTCCTCAGTTCTGCCTCGAAGTTCGAAAATTTGGACCACTCGGATTCTGTATGGCCGCGTAGTAGCTTTTGCCGTTCCAGCACCTGTGCCTTTTTGCGCTCCTCCACTTTGCGTGCATTCTTTCGAGCGCGATCCGCCAGCTTTGCTGCGTGAGCTTGTACACGCTTGTCGCGTTTGCGAATAAAGGCGACCAAGTTACGCACTTGCTCGTTCCTCTCGCGCTTCGCCTTGTCACGTACTTTTCTGTTCTCCTTTTCTGCAAGCCGAAACACGCGACGGTTCGATGCGTTTCTCAAATCGCACGGATTCAGCCAGGCGAAGGACCTCCTGGTACTGTAGCTTTGCCAGTAAGCATAGAAGTTATGCACTACTTCTTCATACGAGCTCTGAGAATCGCCGAAGCCGGGAATTTCCTCCTCAGACTCGTCATCTTTAGCAAACTCTGCGTCCTCCTCAACTAATTTCTCGAAAACGGTACGGTAAACGGCATAAAAACCATTCTCGTCGTCTCCATAACCCTCGAAGCACATAGTGGAGAAATACGGGAACAGGTTGATGGAGTAGTCCCTGTAATCCTCTGTTGCACCTTTTAGTATCGCTTCCCGATGACTGTCGTACCAGGTTCGCTCATGGGGATCTCCAAGTACATCCCATGCTTGCTTGATACGTTGGAACTGTTTCTTAGCTTCATCAGGGTTGTTCAGATTTTTGTCTGGATGCCAGGTTAAAGCTAACCTCCTATAGGCAGCCTTTATGTCATCGTATGTGGCATTTCTGGTGACGCCCAATACCTCGTAATGACATTTCATTGCAAAGCTGAACGATTACACACAATCTCCAGACACAATTTCCTTTACTTTTATACCACAAAGTGCACGCTAAAAAAATTTACACTATTAAGCCATGAAATCAAACATCTCTCAGATAACCTAATAACAATATAGAAATCGCAGTAAACACAGATGGTTGAAAATAATTTAGGAGCTCATGGATTTAATCTTCACATTGTATTAGCTTGCAATTTAATAAAAAAAGAATTTAGAACTAAAGTAAGAAGAACAAAAAACAATACACACTATTAGAAGACATTATTACAAGTATTCTAAGGAAGATTTTATGGCCGTGTTCCATTTTTACTGCCAGTACTGAAAATCTATAGTTTTCGTCACGTATACTATAGATTTTCAGTATTGGCAGTAAAAATGGAACACAGCCTATGTAACTCTTATGGGTATGCTGAATATTAACTTAGTGCTGGATATCCAAGCATGAAATTTTACTATGGCAGCAGCAAAATTTTAAAACATCTGTTACTGTACAAGTATTGTGGATAAGACCCATCTCGAAATTTTACGTGATTGTTTGCGAAATGTAAAGCGTCCACACACATATACTCAAGTTGATGCATTCTATTTTAACACATAATTTCATTTGCTTTGTAGTTCATATGTTTTGTTGTGTTTCGTTCTATATCATCCTGTATATATACATGTATATTTGTGAAATATTATAAACAAATCATACGATACATTACACGTCATCGAACATAAATTCGTTGAAATTCTATTCAAGCGATATTAATGCAAAATTATATATTATATATTATATATTAATTATATATTATATATTATAAATTAAAATTATATATTAAGTTATTTAGTTAAGTAGTTAAATTAATTTAAATTTGAGTAACGTGGAACAGTTACAATGAGCTCGTAAATAATTTTAAACCTATGTGTGCCACCTGCTAAACCATTCCAATTGTTTATAAAAATAATTAATATACATTAGACTAATAATATATAAACAGCTTGAAATTTTAATTGTAAATTCTAACCTATTGGTTATATCCTTACGAAACTTGGAAGTGCACTTACCTGATTTTGATATCTATCGCCCACAGTTGATAAATTCGCTCGTGACCAGCCTAGTGGTATATTTTTACATAACAAAAGTTGAAAATGATATTCATTAATCCTTGCGTATGATGAACACGACTGATTTGAACAAGTAATTAATACAGGACGATTGACGCAGACCAACGCAGACGTGATGGCTTCTTGCCGCTTCTTCGTAAAGTATTACGAGATGATATGGCTGCGTTCCGAAATTCACTGCCAGTACTGAAATTCTATAATATACGTAACATGAACTATAGATTTTCAGTACTGGCAGTGCATTTCGGAACGCAGCCTATGTTGTTTGCGCACGCGCGGCGATCTGGAACGTGTATGGCTGCGTCTTATGCGCGGTAATACTAAAGGAGACCCCTCCTCCTCACCGATTTGGCTGAAATTTAGTAATATTATTTGATTAGATGCGTAGAAAAGGAATATGAAAGTAAAAAATGTCGCTCGTTAATTGTAATAAAGTTATGATGCGGTAAAAGACAGGTTTCGAGGTTATACAATCTGTCATGTCAACAGCGTATAGGTACACTCGTGGTCTAAAAGATTTGTGCGGAAGGATGGCATATACCGTATGCCATTCTTCTGCTCTCGTAATAAGTGGCGGTGCTGGCGTGTCAAGCAGTGGTTGTCTCTCACCTGAAGTTGGGACGCGTTCCGAAATCTACAAAAAATCAGTGCACAAACTTTTTAGACCACTAGTGTATATGAACATGCGCAATAAAATCACGTGATTATATTCTTACATCATATTTTAAATATATTATAAAAGTACCATATTCAATATATTATAATATATACTATATATTATAAAAGCACCAAATTCAATTATTGCATTGTTTTATTATAATATTTAAATCTTTAGTCTTGCTACATTTATAACTGCGTTCCAAAACTCTACTTGACGGGTAGAGTAACATTTGATTGACCAATAAGAACAAAGATAACTAGTATTTCGTTATCATGATTGGTTAATTAAATGTACTCAACCCACCGAGTAGAATTTTGGAACGCAACCTATGAGTCTACTATATACTAAAATAACAGATCGGAAAAGATTACCAAAGACCCTTACGCAAGGTTTGTGTTAAGCAACATTGAAATATCAATATATCAATATATCAATCTTACAATACATTAAATTTTAAATCTTGCGTAGGAATCTGCTAATCTTTTCCAAATCTGTTATTTTAGTAGAAAAGTTATTTAGTAAAAAAAATTAAAATATTAGTATTAAAAGTATTTTAATAAAAAAGTTAAGGCTGGTTTATGATAGCCGTAATCCGTTAACTTATGCCGGAACTGCAAAAAACTGACTAATCACAGTCGATTGTTCTTTTATAATTTCTCTATGATTGGTCAATTTTTTATGGTTCCGACATAAGTTAATGGATTACGGACATTATAAACTGGTCTTTAGAGTGAGAAAACGTATACTTGTCTCACGTTGTTCAATTTATTATACTAGTTTAGCAGTGCAGTTACAAAAGAACAGACCTTTAAATTACATCGTTTAGAGATTTTTCTTGGTACCAACCTACTTGGTATCCCCTCTACTTTTTGGGAAATTGTCGCCTAAGGCTGATATTTCACGTGTTGTAAACGCAGCTGATGGCCCAATGAGAGAATTTATTTTTCGAAAATGAGTTCTTTTCATTGGACTATCGATTGCTTTCCGGCATGCGACAGCGATATACGGCATATTGTAGAACAGGCTTTATGGCCGACGATAAGTTTACTAGAAAGGTGGTAACTTACTATGTCTAGTGATTTAAAAATTTTTAACAGAACAGCTGATTGCTCACGACCGCACTGTTCGACATCGTCCTCGACAGCAAGATGGCAACGTTTGTGAAAGTTCAGTAAAGAACGAGCGATTTCCGGCAAATATCGCCAGTTGCGACGTTCTGAGTGGTTGTCAGCGGTATTCATTGGCTCGTGGTAATTATCCTTTTTTTCTTTATCTGTACTATTATTATCAACGTGCTAGAAATAGACGTTCTCAGGACTGGCAACGTCAGTAGCCTTGATCGCTTGTGACATCTCGTGAATGTGATGTAGCAGACGCCTTTAATTACTCTCAGTCGACTATTTGCAATCTTAATGATTTCGACGGCATTGTATACCGTAAGATTTCGCGCTACCAAGTTCGAAATTTCTCATAGATTCGTTTCGCCAAATTTGTCCATTTGATTTATCAACGAATCACAGCTACAGTTTTGTTATTGACAAAAGTTACAGGTTTGTTATTTTGATGTGTGGTTATCTTGTTTTGATTGAATACCACAGTGATAGCATTCTGTTTGTATGCTAGTCTACAATAATTGCTATCTTAATACTTGTCCGCTAAGGTTCCCTACGATTCTCAGGCTTATACTTACAAGCAGTCATGCTGTGTAAGATCAAATAAAAGTAATCCTAGTTACAATGTCAAAAGATTCATACAATCTGGCTATCACTATTTTATGTGTTTACAACTGTCAGTTCTCCATGTATTCTTGCGTTGTTATTTTATGACCTGTGTATACCTATACAAGAACATGCATGGAATTCATAATTATTCTACAGAATAAAATAGCTACCTATATGTACCAAATATATTGTCCTACCTTAATTTCTAAGAGTGTAATTTATTGGTGAAAATGACTTTTAAGTTTTTTTTCAGTCTGACAATATACATGATATATAATTGACAGTACTTGTTTCAAAATTGTAATTTTGACATTAACTTCTGTGATAATATATGTATTTTTCTAAATTTTATGTCATGTTTTTAAAATTACTTATTAAATTTTGAAACTAGATAACATATATTTTAATTAATATCAAAGAGAAATATCAAGATATCAAGATTCATTTATAATGAAAAATGTTAATAATATCTGTTTTCAATATTTTTTTCAGAAAACAAATGTTGATAAAAGCTACTTATTTTGGTAACATTAATAGCTTTGTCACTGGTATTATTAAAAATATTTTTGCAGCCTATCACTTGGTAGTCTATACTAAAAGATGTTGAAAGTAAATATTATTAGCAGAAAAATGAACTAAATATGTGTTAGCAATACTGTTAATAACAAAGATTTGTCTTGACTGATTATTCTATAAAATTGTGAAATTTGTGTATATCACATATTTACTAATTACAGTGTTATTAACTATTTTAAAGTTTTCTAACTTTGTTGAAAATATTTGATAAATTTTTGCTAATAACATTCTTATTAGCAGTTTAGTCATAGTAAATAATTTTTCTTACTTTATTGATGACATTTATGTTTTTCACATACTTAAAAGTATATATAGTTAGACACATTCAGTAAATCATCTTCTGGAGAACATGATTTTGCTAAAAACTATTTTCTTTTACTAACTTTTTTGCTATTAACAATATTATTGATGCTTTTTCGATGTAAACCGGTTTTTACTTTATGATAGCAATGATTTTCATAGATTGCGTGCAAAAATGACCGCAGGCACCAGTTTAGTAGTGCCCATAGTGCTATGGGGCCGCATAGCACCGACCCACTGTATTTCCTGTGTCTATCTGTCTCGAGATCAAAAGACACTGGTAACAGGATGTTATGATGGCCAAATATGTCTGTGGCAGGTGGACCCAGAATCATTAAAGGTATATAGCAAGACAGAAAGTGGTTGTCCCTCATTTCTTTTTGTTTTTAATGAAATTCTTATTTTGTATTTTTTTTTATCGATAAAAGTACCTCTAAATGTGACTCATGAACCTTTTGCGAACACATTTAGAAGTCGACAAAAGAGAGTTCAGAATAAGAGCCAATGTATTTTACGATCCTGGTTCTCATACAGATGACTCCAAGATGTTTGCTCGTGGGACATACGGCTCCTATCATGTGTCTCAGTCGCGCCAGCGTCATAATGGAGCAGAATTTTATTGTCAGCAGCAGTGAAAGCGGCGAGATGTGCACCTGGGACCTAGTCGACGGGAAGTGTCGCGAGGCGGTGAAACTCAATAACATCCACACGCAAATGTTACCCTATGTTTCCGCGGGCGGAGAGGACGTTAGATTGTTCTGCTCCGGGTAGGTGTCGTAATGTTCATATCGCATCACGTCGCGAGATCTTCCGCGCTTTTTGATTGGCAATATATTTCTTCCTCGTCGTTACAGATACTATCCCGAGGTTTTAGTGATGGACCCGTTTAGTCTGGAAGTGTTGTTCACCCTGAGCTCCCGCGTCAATCCGGACTGGATTAGCGCCTTGCACGTTTTGCGGCCGGCCAAACGGAAAGGTCGGTTCTACGTGCATACAAGTTAGTTACAGTCCATCACACCTACGCTTTATACCATAAATCGCTACCTTCTCTCGACTCTATCACCAATAGATACTGTATAAGGATCAGTTGTGACGTCACTTGCAACAAATTCATGTGTTCTCGATCCAAATTAGCGGGACGATCTAAATACATTCACTGCTAAATTTAATCTTCTGTCTTCCTGCGCGATATTTTTCAAGCAATATATGATATATTTTTCACGTAAGTCACACCCAATTATCCTTTACACGGTATCTTTTGGTGTTTCATTATCTTTTATATTTTTACGTTCCTTTTTTATATAAAGAATTGCGGGTAATTAATGGTAAAGACCTCGTTTTTGGTTATTCCCATATCTATTTTGAGCGGGATTAAGTTGGACTATTCTAATTCTTATCATTTATGATGATTGTACCAGTATGACTTGAGAATAACTAACGACACCCAAGGCACTTGTACAGACATTTCTCTTGTATTACAAGTCGCTAGTCTATCACTCTTTTGGGCGATTAACTTGAAGAAGCTTTGTGCTTTGGGTATACAGCAGGGACTCTTTCCTTTTAGAGAATATTCCGCGCATCGTCTTTTGGTGATTCGCTCGGCGGTTCCCGCGAATAAAATCGTCCATAACGTTTCGGACATAACCGGTCTGATTCTATATACCTAATGATTGGAATGATTACACTTAATAACGGTTACATTGTTACAGCATGTTAATGAAAGTGGACACACACCAGTGCGTTAGCGCGCTGGTAGCGGCTGTATCATTTTTTTCTTTTTCTCGTTTATTTCGTCGTCTTATTTTTACTCAATCGCGGCTCATACATCTTTCCCTTGCACTTCATTTTTTGCAACCATTACTAACATCTCGTTTCACTTATCTTTTTGTCTCTCTTTTTCTATATATATCGACATACCGCTCATCTAATTCTGTTACACACGAACGACACGTCATCTACACTTTTTCACATTGCATTTCACCCGGTACTCACTACGTTCGTGTAACACTTTTATCTGGTACACTATATTTTCTGTCTCTCTATCCGTAAGTATATATATTAATACATATTTACACGATAATAATTATGGATTGCATGCTATACGTTAAGACTACACTCAGTTCCTCATACTGTTGCCATAATGAAAAGCATGTCAATGTTTTGACTTATACATCTGTTATTTCGTAAATCAAACATTTCGTAGTAATTAGAAGGAAATCATTTAATGTTTGAAAATATACATATTTATATCATTGTGCGTTTTTGTAACTTACCTCAGGGTAAAAGAAAACACGTTAAAGTGTCGAGTGTGTAATCTGTACCGAATTTTTTAAATTAATTCTTAATTTTCGCAACGCCGCTTATATGTTTATTTCAAGCATTATATTGATTTATGGCCCGCTGTTTGATGCACAAAGTCAGACTAATCGCAGATACGAAGCTTTCGAGAGGATATTAAAGGAGGGAATATTGAACAAAAAAAGAAAAAAGGAAATGAAAAAGAAAAGGTTGAGAAAACGAAAACTCTTATCAGCACAATTTGGACGTCATCACGCACATTAATTACTGTCTTTTAATCAGCACTGGTCCTTGGATTTCGCTTAGCCAAACAAATCGAGCGCACACATAGTTTCTGCGTAATTGGAATAAGCATGACTTCACTGTAATTTAATACGTGTCGCTTTCTACTCCGCGGAAATCATCTGGCATGTAATACCAGACCTCACGCATACGGGAATTATTATTATCGCTTGACGACGGCTCGCGTTACACTTGTACCGACCAGAATGACGCCATCTCTAATCACCTGTAACGTTGTTTTTGTGCCTCCAGCTCACACATAGCGATACAAATGTGTTGAACGATACAAATGACTATTATTATCATTAATTGTATTAATGTGCCGAAGCTGATCCAATTTTGTGTTTTCGTAGCGTCGGGGCATGACCCTGACGAGACGCTCTATTGCTTCCTCAAACGCTACAACGTCCTCCTAGATTAACTTAACGCGCAACAGGCGCTTCTATTCGTTTAAAGACGACGTTGTGCTGGCTCTGACGACAACCGGCATGGTGAAGGTGTGGACGCTCTTAGGACACGAGAATCGGAACAGCGAGCCTCTGTATGAGCACGAGAGCAAGCAGATACGCTGCTTGAACGCACTTGCGATGACTTGTTGCCCGTACAATCAGAGAACAGTGCTCATTGTGTGTTCGAAGTTTTGGCAGGTAATTAGCGCCCGTTGTACCGATGAATATATAATCGAAGAATCCTTCTCTCAGTCCTTCGCGACTATTGTGAATATTAGATATTAATTTGTAATATTTGTAAATATCAATTTACAGTTGTAAAAATGTTTATCAGATTAAGAGGGTACTCGCATTCGTTGTTTAACGCCACAAGCGAGAAATCCGTGATTCTTACGTTGTATATATAAAAAAGATATCCATAAAACGACATTTGTAGTCGATTCAGCAAATTTGTGAAATGTTCTAAACGCTCTCTTTTTGTTGTAAAATTAGTGTGCCATGCAACTTAGATTTTAACTAAACTTTTTTTATCATTTCTGTCACGTTAACTTTGTGGCTATTTATTGATTGTGATGGCAAAAAGAGAGTGTTGGAGCATTTTGCAAATTTACTGAATCAATTACAAGTCCTTATATGGACGTATCTTTTTATTTTGACGTATAATCGTGAACATGCGACTTTTCGCTTTTGACGTCATCAAACAAGGACAGTCTACGCGAGTACTCGAGAGTCTTAAATGTTTCCAAAAATATTTATTTGTATTATATTTTCATAAAAATTATATAAATAAATATTAAATATCTGTTTATTAATTTCTCCCTTATATTTATTATATAATATACTTTCACATTTTTATAATTAATTTTTACGTTATATTTATCTTTAATATTACTTTAATATTAAATATTGTATTGTATTGTATTTTTATATTAAAGATTGTATCGATTAATTGCACAGATATACGATGCCGGTGACTTTTCGGTTCTCTGCTCGATAACTGCCCCGCGCGGGGAACGTTGGATGGCGGGGGATTTTCTGGCCGCCGACAGGGTCATCCTATGGAGCGATGAAGGTCACGGATATCTATACAAACTTCCGGCCAAGTATGTACTCGCTCAATACATGATACATTTACAAGCAAGTTCCCGTCGACAGAAGTCACTGATTTTCAAGTGTCGTGAAAATACTTTTTCCACTTTTGGAAGAGTTCGATTTTTTTCTCCCTGACCGATAACACATTGCTTAATGAATAATTTCCTCACTTGTGCCTCGAACACTTAATACTCGCAAGTTGAGTGACATTACGTAACAACTTTTGACTGAAGTACTGAAATATGAAATTTTTATTGATTAGCTCATACCCCTTTATTGCTTCTAGGATTCTGGTACAACTTGACAGGTAGTTTCTCTTTGCGCGTACACATAAGTATTGAAATTCTGCAGCAGATAATACTTTAACAGATTGTGTTCTGTAAAAAGAACGCTATACTAATTGACAACGAATAGTTTAGCAGCATGGTTACGGTTTACTAAAGCGCACTTCTCTTCAACTGCAGTTTATAGCGGCTAACAAATGCTGAAATAGCGATCGAAATGAGTTTATTAGCGTGTTCTTAACATCTGATTGTGACTTATGCGATAATGCAGCTTCGGTGAAATGATCTCTCAGATGTTCTTTCCACGCGTTTGCCGCATTTTGACAATCCGTACGTTTAATCTTCAGTTATATACATTATCACATAACCCTCGCAAGGTACGCGAAAGCGCCATCGGAATCGTTTAAGACATTCATTACCATTCACTTTGCCGTGAATCTCTAACACACGCGACTATCAGGCGTATTAACTTACTTATAGACACGGAGATGAGCTTTCCTCTTTCAATTTTAAGGCTGAATGCTGTAGAAGCACTCGCTAGCAATGCACATTTTCGATATTTTATTTCTTACTTATCTTTTTTACAATCATTTATCATGCGTCGATATATTTGGGTCATGTGACTTTGTTTACTAAAATCATGTAATGTTTACTATAATTCGGCCTTACAAAATAAAAGAAAATATCGTTTATCGTTCCCTGTACAGTTACTGTCGTAATGTTTACTATCGCAAATGGAAGATTCAAATTATAAATGATACTCCAAAAGCAAACATGAAGAAGTTAACGCTAAGGAATAATCAGTTTAAATTAATTTAAAGAAACCAATTTAGATAAATTAGTATTAGTGAAATAGCATTTAACGAAACACAACAGCTAAAATTATTCATTGAATAAAATCTCTCTCTGTAGTATTTTATTGTTTTTTTAATGTAAAGATAATGAAAGTCTTCATTTCTTCGCGGACATTAGAGGGAACTCGCATTCAATCGAGTAGAATATATCCCCCAGTACATAATTTTGCACGTGAATTAACAATTAACACAACGGTCCATTTTACGGTGATGTCTTTTCCATATCACACATCTGCATTCTACGCGGGATCTGGTGTTCTTCTAGCAAGCTGAAGGGCAAGGCTCTCAGCAGGTAACCCGCATCACACTCTCAGTATTATCTTTTTGGTATATATATATATATATATCTTCTCTCTCTTTCTCGTCCTCTCTTTTTATCTCTCTTGTTTTCGTTTAATTTTCTCTCGTTATTATCTTTTATTCCTCCATGTTTCGTAAACACAGTGATTCGCTTGCACTCTTCCTTCTTCGGTACGAGGATGTATGACAGATCGAGCAGTATATAGTTAAATTTGCATTGATGTCACTGCGTCGGCAAACGGAACGCAGATGCATCGTGTTTCAATTTCAGCAAAATTGGCTTACCGTATTGACACGAAATTATGCACGTCGTCGTCGACGACAGCCGAGTACACAGGTGATGCTCTTACCTTTTTTCTCGTGTGTGACACTCGCAAAAGAATACGCACACGTGCGACTTCTCTTATCGACGTTTATACGCAAGTAAGTTTATACGCGTGCAAGTTCGTATGCACGCGAGCTCCGTAACGTTCACGATACATCATGATCATTGACAGTCCTTAATCGCAGTCCAAACAGAGAGTCGTGCGCCCAAACAAATAATGTAGACGAGGTGAAAACATAAAGACGTGCGCGGAGGAAGGTAAATGTGAGATAGAATCACATATCACCATACCTCATTACTTGTGTTCTCACATTCTGTTCGCTTTGAGTTGCTTTGCACTGATATTGTTAACTGCGCGATGACGCAACAGACGCGACACAAAGGTTGAACGGAGATCTTCCTGACGTCTCCAGTATTATATCTCGACTTGAAGAAAGAATCCGTCGTTATTGTTTTCTCAGTTTGAATGCGGTTGACATAACTCGGGGATTTCTACAGATATCTCGGCCTTTGTGTGTCGTTCGTGACGATCCGAAAATGCTGTTGCTTCGAGAAGACGTTTACTCGCAGCGTTCGCTTGCTAGTAAACACATAGATGGCGAATAATCATGCATATTTGAAACTACTCGATGTAATATCAAGCTTATGCAATGTGATAGAATAATTACTATTTGTGGACGTACGCGTGAATCTCTCGCTATAATTACTCCGATATCCTAGTCGAGTTTCGTGATAAAAGAATTCCGATGAAAAATTGTGTCCACGAATAGTAGCTGAATCGCTTCACAGAGACTCAGAGCAATCGCTAATCACAGAATTTTCTTTATACGGCATATAGTAGCGTCGCGGATAACAAGAACTTCCACACCGCCGGTGCCGAGTACGATCAGCCGTATTTGTATTGCACGTTAACGCAACCCGGAGATAAGGTGAGAATTATTCATTATGGCTAATAACCAGCGGCTAACGATAATAAGGAGCATTAGTGCCTCGACTATTTTATCGTAACGTGTCTTAATGTCCTCAAATTTTTGAATACTTAAATTCGATTACTTTCCTCGACATCTTTTTATACGTTTAGAAATCTTCAATCTTAAGTATTTTCTTGAGATTTTTTATTCTTAAACTTTCAAGTTCCTTGAACCTCTCGATTTTTTTTTAAATTGAGGAAGGATGCCACAGCAACGGATCGAAAAATAGGGATATTTTAATCGTTTTCCTTTTCTACGAAGATGGTTATATAAATAATTTATTTGTATTCAATTATCTCAAACAGCACAGATCTCCTCCCACAGAACATCCTAAAGACGTTTTGGAAACTTCGGAAATCTTGTGCTGTCTGGAGATATTGACTACTGACTTTTACTTCATATATTTCAGCCTCTTTCGTGCCCGCCGGCGATGCGACTGGTCACTGTGCAGCGTCAAAATAAGACTCTAAAGTATCTCCTGCGTGGTGACAGCGAAGGTGTTGTTATCCTGTGGACGGTGCCAGACGTCACGACGCAGCAACTCGCTCAGATATGTCAGAACGATGGCTCCTCGCCACCTGCGTTATCGCCGACCGTGAAGACGAGTCTCACTGCAGCTTGGGATGCGATGAAGCCGCCTCCTGTGGGGATACTCGATCAATTGGACTCCGGCGATGGTCAGGGCATCAAACTCACCGCTTGTATATACTTACCGCAACAGAGTCGGCTGGTGGTCGGTCGTGAAGACGGCAGCATCATCATCGTGCCGGCTACACAGACCGTGATGCTTCAGCTGCTCCATGGCAATCATCAGCAGTATGACGGTAGCGTTTCTTTGTCGTTCTCAATCCCACAATCTGATTGATACATTTATAGAGTTTTTTACAATTCGAATTTTCGCCTTTTCTCCGTGTATTAGATTGGCCACCGCATCAAGTTCTCTTAGGTCACTCGGGACGAGTGAATTGTCTGCTTTATCCTCACGGCGCAGCGCCTCGTTACGATCGCACTCATCTCGTCTCTGGTTCTGTAGACTTTGCCGTGTGCCTTTGGGATTTGTACGCCGGCACGTTGATCCATCGGTTTTGCGTTCACGCTGGCGAGATCACGCAACTGATGGTGCCACCCGACAATTGCAGTGTACGACCATTTGCTTATATTTTTATCGTTGAAACTTTACGATTAATTTTTAATCGCTTCAGTTGAACCTTGTGTTGACCGGATATATCGTTGCTCAACAGACTACGATTCAAAATCAATGAAAGTTTCTTACATTTGCAGCCCAGAATACAGAAATGCGTCTGTAGTGTTGCGTCGGATCACAGCGTCACGTTGCTCTCGTTAGCTGAGAGAAAGTGTGTCGTGCTTGCTTCACGACACCTTTTCCCGGTTGTGACTATCAAATGGAGGCCGTTGGACGACTTCATGATAGTCGGATGCTCCGACGGAGCCGTTTACGTCTGGCAAATGGAAACCGGTCACTTGGATCGTGTATTGCACGGTTTGTTAGCATCATATTGGCCTTTGAAAGATCCTTGTTTTCTCTCAATATTTCAATTTTTAGGACCTCAAGTTTATATATCTTTGAGATTTTAGACTCTTTTTACACTAACACTAATGTTAACACTTTACACAGGTTTACACAGAAAACTAGATCGGTAAAAATTGAATCGTATTTACTTTCTTACATATAACATTTCCGAAAACGGTGCATTTACTTTTTGTAGGTATTATTGCGGAAGAGGTGCTCTACGCATGCGACGAGAACACATTAGCAACGGCCGGAGGATCCGCTGCTGGCGGTGAGCTAGGATTAGCCAATCCTGCCGTGCATTTCTTTAGGTAAATGAAATCTTGCAGCACGGACGGTGAGAATCTTGCGTGTCCTTCAGTGAAGTAAACCCTTGCAGGATAACGTTCTCCGTTACAGTCCGTCCAATTTTCGCTTCTCAGGGGTTTACGCCATCGTAACCTGTCAGCGATCAGGCACGCGACGCAGAGAGGTTTGCATCAGCTGCAGCAACTGCACGGCGGACATGGTCCTGATCACGGGAATCAGATAAAAGCCAAAGGCTCACCGTTGATGATCCAAGGCTTCAGGAGTAATCCAAAGGACCCGGAGAGTCACATTCTATTTTTCGACATAGAAGCGTTGATAGGTATGCGGTCTCACATTTCATCATGATTTCCCATAAAAGTTAAACGCTACTCGCGTCAATTGCTTCTTGTATTGTGTGACAATTCGTGTTCTTTTATAATTCGCGACAATAATCCGATTCGCTTTTCTGCCGCAGTACAATTACTCAGTGACGAGTATGGCGCCATGTCGCCCGGTTCTCTAGAAGCGCAAGGTTTGATCTCCGCAGCTGAATATCAGAAAGTCGCGGCGCTTACTCAATCTGCCAGTCCCGATGCTCACAAAAAGATCGTTGGTAAGAACAGTTTTTCTAAATTAATTCAATTGTGATGAAATACGCTACAGAGTCTAGAATATACACGTGTATTTTGCGGCCAGATTGTTCGCAGTTCTGTCTGTTTAAGAGTTGAGATTGCAGGTGTCTTTATTAATGTGTCCCTTTGTAGACTTTTTTGGTCGTGTCAAGGATAAAGCGGGCGATGTTGAACGAATATTGAAGGAGAAGGATCGTCACGGTACCGTGCTTTGTTATTGTTATTTGTTCTGCAAATCACGCTGCGTGTCCGTCGATTTTTTCTCACATACACGTCGAAAATGCCTTAGATATTTAAAGTCCCTACATAATAACATTTGAGATAGAAGGTATAGTTTCATTTCTTCGTAACGCGCGATGTTATCATACTTGAGATATAAGCTTTCCGACGAAATCTCATTATCCTTGTAATCTTTTTTCCTAGGATTCTGAAAGTACTTGGTCGATGATTCATTTCTTCCCCCGTCGATTGACATTTATAAGTTGATATCGAGCTTATTTTTCATAAATCTCTTGATTTATGCGATTGTCACAGTCGAAATACAGATTACTTAACGTCCGTTTTATATTTTATCCGCAAAAAGCGATTCCACACACAAGGCTTGAGTTACGGTATCACGTCGGCTTTTACGTTTTCAGTGTGTTAGCTTTCTTTATTGCGTGTGTGTTTTCTTGAATCATTTTTGAAGTCCCTTTATACTCACATTTTTAGGATTCTTATATATATTTTTAAGTTCTTTAATCTATTACTTCCTCACAGATATTTTTCAATCCATTTCGGTGAATCGCTTTAAGTGCAAGATTTTTTATTCTTTTCTGTTCCTAATAGGTTGCAGTAGTGTTAACGTTCCCTCATAGATGTCTTCGGTTCATGTATTCATCCAGTAGACGTTTTGTTGTGACTGTCCCTCATGATAATCGTTCTGTCTAAAAGCGAATCTGTTTCTGTAGGTATATTGGCTAAAATGAAGGAGGGTGCGGAGAATGTGCACACTAAGTTACAAGCCAAAGCTGAAAGCGTCGGCCTCAAGCCGTCAATGTTTGACGGTAAAGGTTAGACATTTTAAAAACGAAGAGTTTCTGTAGTTCACACGGCATATTTCGCATGGATTTATTTTCTATTCCAGAATGCCGTTACACGCTTTATCATTTGTCTGTGTCTCTCAATAGATAGAAATTGCAATCGATTTCTTCAGTGCACTTTGCTACTTGTCAACAGTTGTCTTCACCATGATTTGCCTAGATTATATTCTTAACACTTCCATTAGGATTAGAGACTTCAATGCGGGAGTCACCGAACAGGAAGGTAGACGCCACTGTTACCGAGATCGCTTTGATTTTGATAATGTGCATGCTTGCGAGCTTTCAAACGATATTTTATGTACTTGTCTTCACAGAATTACCACCGCTTGCTTTGAATTTTGCTGCACCCATGTACAGCGTTCCACCGATCAAGGATCAAATATTACTGTGTGTACGTGTGTGTCCTCGGTCGCACTATTTGATGACGTCAAAAACCTTTTGGAAATTTCACTTGAAAATATTTTCTCAACATGCTCCCTGTCTATTTACTGTATTTTGTCGAAGTTGTTTTCCAGCTGTATGTTGCACCATATTTGTCTTCGTCGTTTTCGTTAGACGTTAAGTGCGTCGCAATGTTAATACACGTTTGACGTCTCGGCAGGTGACAATTGGAACAACAACGATGTAGCGAAGAATAATTTGAAGCGAAATGGCGCGTTCAGCGAGCCGAACGCAACGATGGAGGTCGCGCAGTTGCTCTTGAGCCTTTTGCATGCCTGGGGCATGGATCCTGACTTGGATCGAGTCTGTGAGGGAAAACTGGGTTTACTGCGGCCTATGGTTCCCGTATCGTTCGGAGTGTTATCTAAGGGAGGTATGCTCTAATAAGACAGTAACATACATCATTTAAAAAAAGTCGCTTGATGTCATACATTTTGTTATGTGTGTAAAAGAGAGATTGATATTCAGAACAATTTCAATATATGTTTACATTATGTCTCACCACATTATTATATAAGAGACAAATTTTTTATCACGTATAAATGCGTTCAAAATTATCTTTCTGAGAGAGAGAGGGGGGGGGAGAGAGAGAGGGAAGGTGGGAGAGAGAGAGATCTTTCTGTCACTGTTTGCTTCTGTCGCTTGATGTCATACATTTTGTTATGTGTGTAAAAGAGAGATTGATATTCAGGACAATTTCAATATATGTTTATATTATGTCTCACCACATTATTATATAAGAGACAAATTTTTTATCACGTATAAATGCGTTCAAAATTATCTTTCTGAGAGAGAGAGGGGGGGGGAGAGAGAGAGAGGGAAGGTGGGAGAGAGAGAGAGATCATATATATAAGTTATTTCTCTTTGATATATATTATATATATAAGTTATCTCTGTATTATGTAAGACAACTTTTGTGTTCAAAATAAAATGATATTTAAAGTTTGCTATTCTCTGCAAAATGTGATATTTAGGAAAGATTTTATATTACAGGTTACATGTCGTTATTACTGCCAACTTGGCAGACACAGCTTGAGCCAGTCGGCGAACCCACAACACAGTTGGAGCAACGCTTACCAGCTGAATTAGTCAGGCAAGAGAGACTCACTAGAGCATTCACTGCGAGAGCACACTGGGAATTATCGACGACCTTAACGAGTAATCACTTATTGGCCGTGGTCGCTTTAGCGAACACTTTAATGTCGATGAATAATGCAACATTTGTACCTGAGCAAGAGCGAAATCGCAAGATGCACAGGTGAGTTTCTAATAAGAGAGAAGTATTATTAATTATACACACAGAGTCTGTTCGGACTCTATTGGGATTAATATCGAAGAAATTCAGAAGTTAATTGTTTATTATTTTTACTTTTTTTATTAAAAATACACTCCTTCCGAGCCAATACAATGCTGAAAGCGATTAAGAAATCTCTCGAAGCAGTCGCTGTATTCAGTTTTCGGAATCGCCTTTAAAATTTCGGTGGAGACCCTTTGGATCTCCTGAATAGTATCATAACACTTTCCCTTCATCGCCAACTTGAGTTTTGGAAATAGTTAATATACTTAAGATAAAATGTAAAAATAAGAAGTTAATGTCTCATACATAGACCAGGCAATAGAGGTGCGGTGAATTGGAATAAAACAGAAGAGGAGAATGAGGAGATATACACAGTGCAACAGGCACAGATCAAGCAGGGTTGGTCTCTTCTCGCCACGTTGCATTGCGTGTTATTACCTGACAAAGTCGCGACGCAAGGCGGCGCGAAAACGTTCAAGCGACCACAAGTGGAGATGATGGCACGAAGGTGGCAACATCAATGTGTGGAGGTACGTTGTTGAAACACACACAGAGTTTTATTTGCAGTTATGTCACGAAATTTCAAAATCACGGATTCAGTTTGGGATTTAGTTTGGCGAATCACAAGAAATTATACGAGTACTACTAACTTCTTTTTTAGAGAATCTTGCATAACGTCTTTTGATTATGCATCTTTAGATTCGAGAAGCGGCGCAAGCTTTGCTGCTCGCTGAACTGGGCAGGATGGGACCAAAGGGTCGTAAAACACTTGTTGACAGTTGGTCGCAGTATTTGCCGATGTACAGCACCCAAGAACCTATCGCGCCACAACCACAGAGCCAAAACTCGCCGGCACCCGGAAGCCCGGTGCCACCATCCGAAACACAACCAGAGGAAGAATATGAAGAGGAGGAATTAGCCGAGGGTGAGCCATCTCCATGAACGTGATTAACGTTAAATATATTATAAAAGAGGACTCCGATTAAAATTCCCTTCTTGAAAAGTGTCCCTCTTTCCGATGGATTAACAGAGATAAAATACAACGAAAGAGAAATGAAAGCACAAAGTCGATCTGGAAGCGACTAATCCGTAATGCATTTTTCCCAACAGAGATGAGTATAGCTAGAAAACCGTCGAGCGTAGCGGAATTAAAGCGAAAGCAAACTACAGCGGTGGTGTTGTTGGGCGTGATAGGAGCCGAATTTGGTCAGGATGTAACTACAGCGAATCAGAGAAGGGATAACGAGCAAAGACGAAAGAGCTCGATCGTGGAGGGTTTCGGTATAGGAAATAATAATCTCGCCAGGCACACCAGTATGGCGCTCACTCATTTGTTGCATGCGCCTCATTCTCCGAAGTTGCCAATGCACACGGCGCTGCGAAGGGCCGCGATCGATCTTATTGGCAGGGGATTCACTGTGTGGGAACCTTATCTCGATGTGTCGAAGGTAAGAAATGATTCAGAATAATCCTTGGTAATCTCAATCCTTTTAAATTTACATTTTATCTTGTGCTTTTGCTCATGTAAATAAATTTTGATAAGGTATAGGGAGATAATAATAATTTATCTTTCTATGTTGATGCCACGACAAAGTTATTCGTCCATTACGTTTAACCGCATAATTTTTATGAATGTTTATTGCCCAAGGTTCTACTAGGCCTACTGGAAATGTGTTGCGACGCGGATAAGTTAGTGCCGAGCCTGACGTACGGTCTTCCTCTCACGCCGCAAGCTGACACTTGTCGCACAGCTCGTCACGCCTTGACTCTGATCGCTACTGCTAGACCAGCTGCTTTCATTACTACAATGGCTCGCGAGGTGGCAAGATTCAACACCCTTCAACAGAATGCTCAAACTTTGAACGTCAATTTGGGCGCGAGTGTTCTGACCAGGGCGAAGCCAGAGATTCTTAGGATCGTGGAACAGTTAATCGACAAGATGCAAAGCGAGATGAGCGATCTTCTCGTGGAGGTACTAATTGAAATCCACTTCCGAAATATAAAATCTAAATTGGCACGTAAATTTTGCGCAAGTATAAGCAAAGTAATACGTGGTGAATGTGTTTCTTAATTCTCATCGTAATTAAGTGATTAACCATGTTTGTAGGTTATGGATATCATTCTACATTGTCTGGATCCAGGTCACCTGAAAATGAAGCCTTTGAACGAAGTATTCCCGGCAGTGTGTAGATTCAATCAAGTAAGCCGATCACGATATTCGAGTTTACATTGTTACAAGATTTTTATTTAACGATTCATTTAACGATTCCTAAAAGTTCTCAGTATTCTGTTGCATTTTTATAAATGCAAGGGTTTATAATTTATTTCTTCTTTCTCTTATAGGTCAGTCATTGTCCGGCAACGCGCAGGATAGCGGTTGGTAGTCGCAGTGGTCAGTTAGCACTGTACGAATTACGTGGTAATGTGAAATGTCAAACTGTCTCGGCTCATTCGGCGCCGGTTACTGCATTAGCGTTCTCACCAGAAGGGAAGTTCCTCGTCAGTTACTCTTGTTCTGAGAACAAGCTGTGTTTCTGGCAGGTAAGATGAAGACCTTCGCGATATGTTCCATCTTTTGTTCTTGTACCAGTATTTAACGCGTTTTATCCTTTTTTACCAGCAAACCAGTAGCGGCATGTTCGGTTTGGGCAATTCGCAGACGCGTTGCGTTAAGTCATACAGCACAGCGCCTATCAACGACGTGGCTCGATTGAATCCTATGCGCTTGGCGCGGTTGATATGGATCAACAATCGCACGGTCACTCTGATGCTTGCGGACGGTTCAGAAACACGCTTCAACGTCTGAATATCGCACGTGATTGACCGATCGAAGTTCGCCCCGCGAGCAACGAAAGTAGCTTGTTCGCCGTTTAGCGCTGATCAAGTCTGGTTTACACAATGTCTCTTAACAGATTTTTTACGAGAATGTCGAGAATAATAACGCAATAATAGTAGCGACACCGTTTTTATAGGATGTGATAGCTTAATAACGCTCGAGACTAAAGAACACTATTAATGGATTCCTTCAAAAGAATGCTATTTGGTCAATAAATAGGGAAAGAACGATTTCGTGTGTGTTAAGCTTAAAAGAACACGTACTTCAGCAGCAATTGAAAGTTTGCACAGCTAGTAAGAGAGCACCGTATAACCCAGGCTTCTACGCTAACTGCGGTTATTAAATTTTTTTCTGCGTTTATAGCATGGATGGAGATGCAATTTAGAAGAGATTATAGCTAAGTGAAGCTGTCGGCGCGACTCTAGCCAAAGTACTTTGCGCGTCAACCGAAAGAGCGTCGTTAACGATTCCGGCGCGCAAGCTGATTATTTAATTAATAGTATTGAATAATTCGGACCTTCTGAGTAAGTAACGCTATGTCTCAACGTGTATGTTGCGACCGTTCAATCTTCATCTCACTCACACAACTCTTGCGTTGTATAAGCAAACGGTCAAGATTGAACGGTCGCACTTAGCTGGATGCTACTGACACAGTACAGCTTCATATTTTGCACTGTTTTTCTATTTGGTTGTATAGAATTGTAAATACTTATACAGAATGAAAATACAAATGTCAATAAACGACGGATTACTTGAGAAACAATTCTTACTTACAATTCTTTTGTTTTTGATATGAGATATTTACTGAGAGATTTATTGACATTTGTACTTTCACTCTGTACAAACATTTGAAACTCTATACAAACAAATAGAAAAACAATGCACAATACGGGACCTGCACTGTGTCGGTATCAAAGCATCCCTTTAACATGTTCGCTACCACATTTATTTGAAGAATTCTCTCTACAAAGTATATTTTGTTTTCATGTAACTATGTAAAACAGACTTGTTTATATGCGGATATAAAAAAGTGTTGTCGTACATATGTGACTTTAGTAGTGAAAATGTTAAATAAAATAAAAATTTCAAGTAAAGATGAACCTTGAAATGAAAGATCGCTGGTAGCGAACGCTATGTTAAACACGCGTAGAACGTATGGATCGTCGGCGATAGTTTCGCGCGGATCAGGCAAAGTCACGGAGGGATCATGCGATACGAATTTGTTCCTTCCAATCTCCCGAAAGTCGTGGCACCTGTTAGACGTATAGTTCGATGAATATTTCTGCGAGGAAGTTTTAGTCTTATTAACGATTGAATAGTTTGTCGTACACTTAGATACTCGGTAGAGGTAGGGGGAGTTGCAATCCAGTATCGTTTTATTCGAAGTCACGGACGGAAACGTTCTACTTGTAACTTTATTTTGTAAATATTGCTTGCGACGGCGCACCCGTGACTTCCGGGAGATTGAACCTACGCGTTTCCACGTCGCCTTCCTTCCTTATTTGCTGTTCACTCAGCGGATCTTCGGATCTTCTCATACGAGTCCGTTGATCGGCGAAGCCTTCGCCGCACGTTTCTTATTACGTTTCCCAAGGACAGCGTTTACGAGCCGGATACTAAGATCTACGTTGTCCTGATCGCGCATTTCTTGATTTTAGTTAATATAGCGAATGCATAAGAAGGAAAAAAGTCGAAGGAAAGTATAAGTTAAGAATGTAAAGTATAGTCAAGTCTAACACTTGTCACGCTAATTTGACGATATTCCACGATTGACTAACCGACACTCTAGTATTTATTTCATCACTGTAGGATATAGAAGCGAAGAACGAGAGCGCTCGTTCTTTAAGATCGACCGACTTGAAAATGCACCGTCTCGCCGCTCTTCTGTCGCTCTCTCTCTCTCTCTCTCTCCTTCTATCGGAGAGATCTTCGCTTGACAGAGCGACAGAGTATCGCGTACATAGAATATACGACGTAAAATAATTTATATAATTGTTATTGTGTCCCATACGTGGATTCAGTCAAATCACACACCACACACACACACACATAGCGTACTGGGTGTGCCGCAAGTCGCGCGCAAGTTTCTCTTCGTTCATGTCGATTACAGTGACCGCGAAAAATGGTTTAAAGTATAAGCGCATTATTTATTATGACTCTGTAGTTTAATTCTTTCACTCTGAAGGCGCGCGATTTACGGTTCATCCTATACGTCCTCGCGATCGATGATCGAAAGATAACGATCCCCTTGCCGAAGTTCGAGCAATGCCTCGACGATCGTCCCAACACTGACGATTCGCGAGTCTGGATACTCCCGATCGATCGTGTTCTTTTTCGCAGTATTAGCGGAAGAAATCGCAGGAATGTGTGGATGCACATAGCTTTAAACCGTTTGTGTTTGTAGGATGGTGTAAGATTGCGCCAGCAGGGTATTAGACTTTGTATTTTATTCTCAAAATTAGTTGTCTTTGTTAAAAAATTATTTCGAAGTTATGACTTTTGTGAACAACTTGTGTGTGCCGGCTCTTATTTACACATTTGACTAAATTCAGCTAGCTAGACTGATCTTGGATTCTGTCTTATATGTACGTTTCTAGTTTAATATAAAATTTACTATTTTTTACAGTAGATATCTTTGCGTATATTGTTGTAAGTTTGTTATTAGATATCAGTAATTAAATTTTATTTAGAATAATGTTAGCAGCTCTAAAACACTTTACTTGAACTTACTTCTAACTAAAAGTACTATTGCTTTGGCAATTCTATCATAAAAAGAAATTGACTCTAGTTTGTGTATGAAAAGATTCGTATACAATTTGAAAATCTTTATCTTTATAATGCAAAGTCACCACTTATTGATGCCTGTTGGCTCAATCTTACTTCATCTTATGGCATATATAATATAGTGCCGACCACGTCGCGCAGGCGTGTCTGTGATTGGCACTTACGCGCAAAAAATTACTTGTCCAAATATCTGTTTGTTGCGTTTATAGAAGAGCGACTTGACCCTTCGAATGAAATCTATATTCCTTCCTCTCTAATCAGATCCTATTTTCTACAAAACTGATAACATACAGATGAAAAATAAAAATGATGAAAATTATCAGCGTGATTGGTGTTCTTTGCTTCGTTTTCTTTTCTTTTTTAATTGCGACCGACTGTAATTGGCAAATCGCGCCGAAGATAGTAGACGAAGCAAGCTCGGGAACATCGGTCCGAAGGGTTGATCGAGATCAGTTACAACAATTAGTAACACGAGTTAACGCAATTTAAATAGCGCGCGAGGCGTATAGCAAATGAAGGTATACTCGGCGCGCCACTCCCATCGTGTACATAAAACCAAACTGCGCCTAATTGTATCTATGTAATTATTTATGTGTATATTGTACTCGATTGCGCGTTACGTATTATGTTCCACCGGCCGAATAAAACGCAAGAGGCGGAGTATTATTATATACAGGTGGAGCGCACCTGACCTGTTTCGCTTGTAACTGTCGACGAATGTAATAAAAGGAGAAACTCTGAGCTCTTTGTCGATTTGTTGAAAATTTCGTTGTAGGTGAAAATCTATTTCCTCGAGGATTTATCGTTTTGAGCGACTGAGAAATATCTGATAAGCACACGTTATTCTATAATATCGTATTGGATTAATGAAATATATATTGCTGATATTAATATTAATAGATTAAAGTATTAATAGAGTACTTTATAATTCAGCCAATTAGATCTCTTTAAATGTTCCCTTTTTCTATGAAAAAAAAACTATCAGTCTACATAAAATAACTATAGCATATATAAAATATAGTATATATATGTTATTAATAATATTATATCAATACACACATTATTCAGGTAGCATGAAACTTTCTAAGATCATTCCCAACATATTCAGGACATTCTAAGATACTCCTCCGGGTATTTTGAACACATTAAAAGTAATTCTGGAATGTGTTATGTTTGAATTTTTATCTTGTGCTATATTTGCCCAGGAGAAAAGTTCATATATTTTGTTCATATGTAGCCATATGTGTAATTATATACGTCCACATTAAAAAGTATGCTGTTGTGAAGATATAATTGAAATAAATGTTTATGTTTGTAGTAATCCATGATGTTGATATTTAATTGAATCAAATTATGTTATCCTCTTTTTATTCAATGATATTTATTTTATGTATGGACATATATAATTAGATATAATCATATATAAAGTCACATATATGAACAAAATACATATAATTATATACATACATACATACACACATACATACATAGGTCATACATACATACATACATACATACATACATACACACATATATATATATATATATTTTTTTTTTATATTAATACTTATTATTTTATATTATTATACTTTTATTTTGGGTAAGTTTTGTGTTATATTTGAGTTTTGTGCTATATTTCAGCTTGCAAATTTTAATTAACGTGTGTTTGTGTGTGATAAGACATAAGTTTTAATTTAAGAGAATTATATTATTATTGAAATAACAATTACAACACTTATCGTTATAAACTAAATCGTAAATCCCTTTTATTAGTAGGAAATTGTAATTTTTGTTTTTGTGAAAAGAAAAACTTTAATTTCCAAATTTAATATTTTTAAAATTTCTTCTTTTTTTTTAAGAACACTGAATATATATTCAGTTAACAGAACAGGCTCGATTCTTGACGGTATGCAAATAAGATACGCATGCGAAAATGTATAGTTCGCGTTACGTATACTATAGATTTTCGCGTTTCTTATTCGCACACCGTCAAGAATCGGGACCAAGTAATGCGATTCTGTAACTCATTATTGCAGTTAACGACAGTCTCGTTATCGTTGCGCAGCTTTTCTATAGTACGAAAAAGCTGCGTAATGATAACGAAACTATCGTTAACTGCAATAACAAGTTACAGAATCACACTACTGGGCCCTTATTTTTGAAATGGTTGCGCATACGTCAATTTTACTGCACAGGTTTAATCATACCATAAAATAGCTGCGCAATGAAAATTATGATACGCAAAAATTTCAAGAATATGGGCTCAGTTGCACAACGGTTAAGTAATTTGTCTAGAACATAATTGATCTAGATTTAGGGATCTAACAGTAAGAATTAATAATTATTAACTGCTCATTTGAGCGCTCTTCTACTAAATATTAAATCTACTTGATCACGTTAAACAGAGAAAATTACTCCGCTTCCGCGCCGTAGTGGACGTCTGTCTGGATCTGTCAAAGGTTTAAAAGAATACTCCAATCATGAACATTGGCTGCATTCAGCAGACTCAACAGTTGCACAACAGTTGAGTAATTTGTCAATGTAATTGGTCTAGATTTAGGGGTCTAATAGCAAGAACCAATAATCGTTGATTGCTCACTGAGAGCTTTTTCTACTGAATGCGCCCATTCGCTACGGAGCGGAAGCGGAGCAGTTTTTTCCGCTGAACCTGACCATTGGGTGCAACTCAACAGTTGCACAACAGTTGAGTAATTCGTCAATATAATTGACGATATAATTGATCGTCAATATAATCTAGATTTAGGGATCTAACAGTAAGAATCAATGGCTGCGTTCAGTAGAGCAAGCTGCTTTGCAACTGTGTTGTAAAATTCGTGAATCTGATTGGTACATGCTCTTGGATCTAACCAAAATTAAGAGCATACTCCAATCAGATTCACGAATTTTACAACAGCTGCAAAGCAGCTTTTTCTGCTGAACGCAACCATTAATTGCTGATTGCTCACTGAGCACTTTTTCCGCTAAACGCGCCCATAATGTTCCTTGAACGCAGGCACTATAATGCTCAATAGTAGTATTTGTATTTATCGAAACCAGGGATGGGTAATATGCGTGGCAGGAAAGTATTATGCGCATAATATGCATAAAATGTCTATTATACGCAGAAAACGCGCAGAATACGCAGAAAACGCGCAGAATACGCAGAAAACGCGCAGAATACGCAAAAAACACGCAGAAAACATGCAGAAAATCTCTAAGATGCGCCCACTTTAACCTAAAATAACCTTTCTTTCTTCAATATATAATTCCAGGCAGCTTGCACTTTGCTCTAATACCACTCCACGATTTGAAAAGAGATATTGCATACCACCGAAACGGTACGACTTCGCCAAAAAATAAGTAGTTCTAAAAGGATCTTAGGAACATGCACGTACTTTCAGATGGTCAAACAAATAGCATGTTCGATTGGCTCTGGGTTAATCTACTCTGGGTTACTCAGCCTACGTTTATTGGTCGAACAAGTACTTATAAGCTTTATGATTGGTTAGTAGAGACTACGCTTACGCAATTGTAGAATAGTTCTAAAAGAAGTATGCAGCAGAAAACCTCATTTAGTTATCTGTGCAGATTACTCGAGTTTTCTGCTAAAACTTCACACAAAACATGAAGTATTATGTGTACCCAACTCTGATCGAAACACAGCATGGAACTCCTCGCTTAAGTTAAATAATTGCGAACATTCAGAAAAAAATAAGTTGGACACGATTCAGAACATATTCTAATCTTGGCAATTTGAGGGTATAATGGCTTGGTTTACATCGTGCACTTGATACGCGTACTATATAGTAACTTTCTAATAGATAATCTTAATATTGACAATGCATATCAATGGCGATTCAATCAATACAATACGTTTTGTTGATGAGTATTATACCAGCTTAATATACCGTTGTTTATATATATCGTCGATATATAGATTATCTAATAGAAAGTTACTATTTAGTACGCGTATCAAGTACACGTTGTAAACCAAGCCAATGGCCTAAGTCCGCCAATATCTTTCTAGAACTTTCCAATCCCTTCTACGACCTACTCTAACCTCTTTCACAATACAGAATTATTGGCGCGCACGTTGCTTCACGTTGTTTGGTGCATGGTATTCAAGTGCTACCGTCACTCGACATTCAGCATAATTTTGTAATTTTCACTGAAACTTGACTTGATTTACCGTTGAGAAGTAAGTTGAATATCTTGAGAAATATGCACAAATATTTTGTACACGAAAGAAAATAGACTTAATTTCATTCGTATTGGTACTACGGGCGACTTAACCTGTCCCGATAAAAACTCTTAAGAAACTTAATTCATTTTGTATAGTTATAATTTTGATAAAAAAGGTTTTTATCGCGATATATTTTACGTTGCAACTGAAAACTAGAAGTCTGTAAAATGTTATTTATATTTTCAGAATTTAAGTACGTGTCGCTTCACGCATTAACCATCTGCAGCAGTCACTGTAGCAGTTTCTGTATTTTTTAAAACATCTAAAATGAAGACTAAATCAGCACACAAGAAGGGGAAAAAACGACCTCTTAGAGAGCCTTCTCTTTCCTCAAAGTCAGATAAAAAATTGGAGAATGTAGTCAAAATTAAAAAAAGTAAAAAAGCTAAAATCGACAATACTGTACAAAATGGAAGCCCTGTGGCCAAAACTGAAATGCAAGTACTTCGGAAGATGAATAAGCAGCAAAAGAAACAAAAAGAAGTAAAAGAACAAGGCAATATTAGAAAATTATCAAAAGCAAAAATAAAGACAAATGTAACTGAACAAACTAAACAAACTGCTGTTGAGTTCAAAGAGAAAACTCTTAAAGCAAAGGAAAAGAAATTAGAACAATTGAAAAATAAACAACTGATTCGCGAGGTGAACAAGGTTTTGCCTAGAAAATCACCCCGATATAAAGCTCCACAAAATCCCCTTGATCTAGAACAGCTAATAAGCAAAGTGGCTGAGATCAGAAATAGAGAAGTATTATCAAAGACTGCAAAAAAGAGAGTCGCTGTACTGCTTAGAAAGATACGAGTTGCACAAGCAGAGAAATCTAACAAATCAGAAACAGTAGAAAATGAAAAAAAAAATAAACAGCAAGCCAATGTATCTGCAAAGAATAAGAAAAAGGCTAATGTAAAGAATAAAAGAAAAGCAAAGAGAGAGCTTGGCAAAAATAAGAAAGTTAGAATTGACAACAATGAATATGACGAAGATCAAAGCGATATGGAAGTAGAAGAAGAGGAAGAAATCGAGGATGAAGAAGATGGAGACGAGGAAGATAATGAGAAGACGGCCATTGTAGAAGTAAAAAAGAAAATGAAGAAAACAGCCGATCGGCCCTCAGATGTTCCGAAAAAGAAGGAAACAAAGAATAAACGATATGTCCTTTCCGTGAGCAATCTGCCATATGAGTAAGAATATTTGTCACATGTTTATTTTTCAGTTCCTTTCCAGATCATATATGTCGTAACGATATTTAATTTACAGTATAACAAGCAACGAACTAAAGCAACACTTCCTGTCCAAGGTTGACGCAGTGACCAGCGTCAATATTCAGACTAAGCCAAGCACAAAGAAATCGCGTGGCTTTGCATACGTGGAGCTGTCGAACAGCGCAGATTACGAGGTAGGCGACATTATTTTCCTTACCATGTTATTTTTTTTATCTTGTTTCGACGGCTTTATTGAAATTCGACTTTCGTAATCTCAACAGAAGGCACTCTCGTTAAACCATACATTCCTAAAGAAGAAGAAAATAAACGTGCAATATACAATGTCCAAGAACGTGAGCGAGGTAGATGCCAAGAATAAAAAACTGGGAATGCTTAGAAAATTTGCCGACGTTAAAGAAAAAAAGAAATTGTCGAAGAAAGGAAAACAGAAGTCCAAGGGATCGAAAGCATAATGTGATTAATAATAGGGTTAATAGGGAAGCGTCTCTTATTACGAAGTCTCTCGTATTACAAGAAAAAGAATTCTTCATTTGTAATACTCTCAGTTCTGCCGGGAGAGTCTAGCAAAAACAGTTTTCACATGATGACATAAGTAGGAAATTTTTATTTTATGTGAAGAATATAGGTCTGTTCGTTTTCAAAGATATAGATTGTAGTGAAACTAGCTTGTTTCACTAACTTATTGCAGCAATATATAATACACTTCTGCAATAAGATAGTGAAACTAATTACTTTAAACTTTACTGGAAACTTGTTTTACTGGAAACTAATTAGTTTCCAGTAAAAACACTAACAATAACATTCATAGACTTAAGCAGCACATAGTGCTTGTTTTAGTGCTGGATTGCTTGCTGGATGTAAATATTCTATTTTGATTGGTACATTTCTGAAAATGGATTGAAATGCACCAATCAAAACAGAGTATTTACATCCAAGAAGCAATCCAACACGAAAACAAGCACCGTGTGCCACTGGCTTTAGTATATATAGACTGCGTGTTCTGAATGTTTCCTATTGTTTGAACTATAGACATAATATACATAGACTCCGCATACAGTCAGAAAAGAGAAGCCAATATATACATGCACCTCTGTTCTCTGTCTCTTTCTGCACGACAAAGTGTGCAATAAGATTTAAATACTTTTGCTTGCCAGTCCAGTCGAGATGTCGTTACGCTCTATAATATTATGGAAACGAGAAATGGATGCACGCGCAACAAAAAAGTGACAAAATAGAAAACTATAGCCCCTCTATTCTCGCTCTCTTTCTAGATGTTGGCTTCAATCAATTAGACGACAAAGGCATTCGGAGTCCATGTATATTATGTCTATGGTTTGAACGCGTCACAGAATAGAAAGATATAGCATGCGATCACCATCTTGCTTTTTTCTAAACGTCTAAGCGCCGTTAGGAAAAGATAGAATAGTGATCAAAAGTATTTTATCTTTTTCTATTCCGCTCAGCTCAATACGCAATCTATGTATACTAAGTCTATAGTAACATTACATCAATGCGTCGTCTACAATGGCAGTAACAAGTAGTAGTAAGAAATAAGCAGTAAGTAAATAGACTAATCACAATCGATTATTTTTGAATCGTGAGAATGGAATTGGTCTATTTACTTACTGCTTATTTCTTACTACTACTCCTAGTGCCATTATAGACGATGCATTACAGTTTCTCACTCAACAATGTAACTGTTACATAACACCCGCGTTATATTACATTTACATTGTTGAGTAAGAAATTGTAGCATTGATGTTCATGTTACAAATAGTGTTTACTGGATAGTTCAGGAAATTCTCCGAAAAACATTCTTCGAACAGGCCATATATTTTATTGAGGATGACTGTTTTGTTCTGTACTCGTGGTTGAATATGTTGTGCTTTGTATTACTTCACATCCGCTACGTATCATTGATTAACTCCTCATTAATGAAAATTCTCTTCTCACGTATACAAATGTTTTAATTAATTACACATGCATGAAATATAATACCGTGATTATCTAAATGTGCTTAAGAACGGAGCTTTTTCAACTGACCGTTAAATGTTGCATCTTCGGCCGTCAATACGGTTTTTAAAGTATGTATGTATATGTTCCACACTATTGTGTTCGTAAAACAAACGAATGCGTACATTTGCGCTCTTATTCAGCGCGGACTGGTGACATTTATCGTTGCAAGAAAATACGCTCTTTGAATAGAACGGGTCTCTATTTCTGGCTTCGTGCTATTCTCACTTTGCGACATCGGCAATGCATAATTCTGTGGAACTCTCAGCAGAACTTTATGCAAATTAATCTGTGGATTACGTACGAACGAGAACGCAATATGCATGCGACATTATATTCGAGGTTGTTGTCACTTCACGAGATTAAATCGAAATCTGTTTGTTGAATACTTAAGGCGAGAATGGGAGATGGCACGTGCAAATTAGAAACGACTGATGAAGATACACTATCGACCAAACTTGTAAAGGTATACACACGTGTATATTACTTTTAAGTATATTATGTCTTATGTTATTGAGTTATGTTGTGTCATATTCTATGTTATAATTCTATGAAAATTAATGTAGAGTTCCCAACATGCAATAGAATGTATGTATAATACATCATAAATAAGTATTCTTTTTTGAAGAACTTCCTAAGCTAATGTACACTGGTGCAATAAGTTTTAGTGAGACAAGAGGCCTGATATTTTTCCAAAAACTTTCTGAATTGGTGTTCATTGATGCAATAAGTTAGAGCAAAACAATATATATACTTGCTTCTCTCTAACTTATTGCATCAGTGTAGTTCACCAGTTCAGGAAGTTCTTAGAAAAGAACAGTCCTAAGTATATATTAGGTCTGTTTTTTCAAAGAACTTCCTGAATTAGTCGAAACTAGAGGTTTGTTCTTTTTAGCTGAAGTATCGACAAGACACTTGCGACAAGATAGAGTATATTTTGTTAAAAGCTGAACTTCTTATAAAGATAATATAAAATCTTCAGAGAATATTCTGGGACATTCTTAGGATATATGAATGTTCTCAGAACGTCTTTAGAACGTCCTTTGAAGATTTGTACGAGTAGCTGAATTGCACCTGAACTGGTATAATAAGTTAGAGTGAAACAAAATATGTTTGTCAACAAAATATATATAAGACAAATATATTTTGTTTCACTCTAACTTATTGAACCAGTGTGTATTAGTTCAGGAAATTCTGTGAAAAAAAACAGACCTAATATTTCATATTTCCCGATTATAATCTTGGCCATCTCGTTTGTATTGTAAATAATCAAATTGCTCATAAATGTTCATCGCATGCGACTTTTACATAGGAAGAGTTTTCCGAATGTATCATATACCCGGAGGAGTTAAACAAATTCTTGCAAGGTCGTATTCGTGTAAGTACAATTCTGTCGTAGACATGTGTATAAACCGAAGAATAAAAGTATCGTTTAAAGCGGAAATGTTACCCGTTTAGTTTAATTTATTTACAACTTTTTATCTTCCCGATTAAACACCTTATAAACACTCATTGCAAATGAGATATATCATTATAAAAAGAATAAAGTGAACTCTCGTATTAATGTCTTAGACATATCCAAGTAGCAAAATAACAAAATAGTATTAATGACGTTATTAATGCGCTATTAAAATGCTATTTGACGTCTTCATATTTCATATTTGGTGATTACTGAAGTAATTGATAAGTATTATTCGTTTCTTATTGTATTTGTAGAGAGAGAGAGAAAGTTCATTTAATTATACTTTAAAATACACAAATCCTGCACTTTTATGCATACACAGTATCATTTGTCCGTTAATGTTAATTTAAAATTAACTGTTAAGAAATATGAATGCGCATAAATTGCTTTTATGATATATACACGTAATTTACTTGTGAATGTGGTGGACAGTATTTACTTCGTTTATGTCTTTTCTTAAGTATTTAATTTAATGATTAGTTTATATCGTCATGTTCACGATACAAACAGGATTTAACAAAGGAGAATGAATGTTTGCGACACGCATTCGAGCAAGCGGAGGAGAAGTTGCGACAATTGTCGCAGGAGAGACTAAATTCGCAAAATACAATAACGGCAGGAAAAGAATCGGCCGCGAACAAGTTAATAGAAGTCAGCAAAAAATGCAGAAACCAAACCGCTAAGATAGAGGTATTGAAGACGAAATGTAAGAATCTAGAAGCTATTCTGGCTGTAAAAAAAGACGAGTTGGAGCGCCAAAAGGTAGAATTACAACGGATTCTCAAACCCGAAGCATGCAAGAATTCCAGCAGCGGTTAGTTTCCGTATTCTTTTCCCATTTTGCAAATAAGTTGCATGTTTGTCTTTGTTATAGAGATAAGTTTTATTGTTCAATTAGATTTATTTAGGAAGCGATCCTGAAGAAATGAGATTTAATGAGATATCTGATAATAAAGATTAATTACATGGATTTTCACTTTTTCAACACTCAACAATTCTCAATCTTTCAACAATTTAAATGTTCACTTATAAGAACTTATTTATTTCTGGAGACAAGTAACTAACTTGTAACGCTTGTTCACATATTCCATGTAACGTGTACAAAATTGTAACGTGTACAAAATTGTAACGTTGTACAAAATTGTAATCGAAGAGAATGGAAGTCAGGATAATGGAAAAGAGAAAGATTCAGGGAACAATGCAGGAAAAGGAGACGACGAGCGAATTAAGTGTTTGAGAAACAAGTTGCAATGGACTCAAACGAAACTTTGCGAATCGAGAAACACGTGTGCTACTCTTCGGCAAGAGTTTAAGAAAGTTCAAAAGGTATTTATGTTCTTGTTGTATAAGCTTGGTTATTTGAGGATGTGTATTCAACACGATAAACAAAAGCAATCCTTCCTTTTAAAAATTTTACATTTTTAAAAGAGAGATTCTGGTTTAGATAACCGAGAAAATGGGTTTTTACGAATTCTTTCTCAATTAAAATTAAATTTTCTGAAGAACAAACCTTTATTATATCCAGAAAATAAAAATTTAACAAAATAACGGCACTTCTAAATTATAAATCATTTTTCTCTTTCTCTTTTTTATTTAGTGTCGAAAAAATACTAATTTTGAAAATTTTCCAAAAAAGTCATTAATTCTCCAGCGAATTTAACAGTCTCCCCAGTCTTTAAATTTTCTTATTCCATTTATTTTAAACTATTACACGAGCTGTAATGTTGCTCGCCAATTAGAGGTGTTACTGGAGACGTAATCGGTGATATTAGCACAAAAGACTTTCAATTTTTTTAAATAATTACATAAAAAAAATTTCAATTTTTATAATATTCAAATAATTGTTTCATGCTGAAAACAATGATAAATCTCAAAACCCTATATTGATGTCTCTATTTACTTCTTTATAAAAAATTCATAAAAAATATTTATTTTTCGAATTTTTAAACCAGAACCTCACCTTATCTGAAATTTAAATTTTCTATATCTAATAGACAATAGACTAAGAATAAAAGTATCAGTTGTTGTGTAGCGAGGTGGGCGAAAACGTCAGTGTCACCGCGCTTTCGGGCGTACCAGGTGGTTGGCGCGGACGAGCTGAGCAAATCCGAAATTTGCAGCAGAAAGTGACGGAATTACAGATCAAATTGTCGGAACATGACAAATGCCAGAAAGAATCCTCCGGTAGGTCGACAAACTATAAGATCTCATTATGTTCATCAAAATGACTTTTCGCAATTACCACGTTATTTTTATCATATAAATTATTTCACGTCTTGCTATTTTAATATGCTATATCAAATTTATCTTCATACATGTGTAGCTAATTATTCGCAGCATTCATTATGTATACATGTCTTCTATAAGACAAATTGTGTAATCCATTTATTTATCGCGACAAGATCATTTGACATCTCTGGATCGACAAAACTTGGCTAATCTCCGTATTGTTGAGAAGGAGAGACGGCAACAGATAGAAAATACGGCGAAAGAACTCAGGCAGGCGGAAGTAACGTTAGAGATCTTGAAGAGGAAGTTTGACGCCTCTAAGGCGAGAATAAGAGTGTTAGAACACGAGCTGAATGTGGCGAGAGGAAATATCGCAATGCTAAATGAGAAAAGATCTCACGACGATCGTCTCATCGAGGCGCTGAATGTGAGTAATTGGCGGAAGATGAAATCTACGAAAAGAAATATTCTTACACGTGCATCTTGAAGGGATTGAGAAAAATCTTGGCTTTATATTATAATTCTAATGAAATTTCTTTGCAAAGGCATCTTCGCGATATCGTAAAACTAGTCACGAAACGAGAGGCGTTAGTGTAGTCGAGCGAATGAAGCGTCAATTGTAGACACGTGTCTATTCGCTATTACGAAAAATGTGTCTTGCATACAGTGCCACTTATAAATGACACATTGTACATTATGGACTTCCCGACCTCGATCTATCGAAATGATGTCGCGTTTCTAGAGACGATTGAAGATCGCTGAGGCGAAGTATCAAGAGTACAAAGTGGAAGTGCAGAACAAGGAACACAAGATCGAACGTGAGAACGCGAACATTAAAAACGAACTGCAAGCTACACAATTGCGTGTCGATCGGTTACGTAGGAGATTGGAGGAACGTGAGATCGAAATCGACAAGTTGAGGTTCGTACGAACAAATTCTCTGCAATATTGTAATAGAAATTACATTCCAGTAAACACCAACTATCAGTAACGTAATATTAATGTATTATTTCTTAATCAATAATGTAAATACAGTATAACGTGAGTGTTATGTAACAATTAAATTATTGAGTGGAAAATTGTAACGTAAATTAACGTAATGTTAATTGGTGCTTACTATGGGACATCTTTATATCGATATATTACTAGTACTTTTGATATATATTAATATATTGAGCGAGCAAGAAAACATAACACAATTGTCCGGAATAAAATAAAAGATTCAGAAGAAGAGAAAAGATATCAGTCTTTATTATTATTCTAATATATCATTTCTTGAAAACCAAATTTTGGCAATTTTGGTATTTCAAATTATACTGTCTGTCAAAATTAATACTTCGCGGGTGAAAAAGTTATTTTTTCTTTATTTCTTAACTCTCTCATATCAGAAATACACACAAAAAATATGTACTACATTCAGTTATTAAGTAAATATTGCTTTGAATACTATTTCATAAGTTAATATATCTGCAAATCTGTTGTAAGTTCATCACAAGTCCATAAAATTTATTTAAAATATATTCTGAATTCTAGTAAGTCTAGTATTATAATAAAAAATATTCAATTCAAGCAAAAATTCGATTTTCTTACTACGTAGAGTCGAACCAATTTTTTCTTCGATAAAGTTTTATAATATATTGTATAGAGAACAAATTATTTTGAATACATTGAGTGCATTAAATGCATTGAAATTATAATAAGCTTTTCTCAAATTTGCAATAAGTATATTTTAAGATTATTATTAAAAGAATATTAAAAGTATTTTAGTAGAAATTAACCATTACTTAAAAGGAGGAAAGTAAATTGAGTAATCACTTTTCTCAGCAGTAGAATGATATTTTTCTGTGTGCAGTATTAATATAAAGACGTGCTATTTAAAAAATGAAAATGAGCTAAGCTCATTTCCATTTCAGATCCGAATGTAATAATAAAATTAATAATCTATACGATAAATATTTTAGATTGTATTCGTTTTTAATAAACAAAAACATATTTGCTGCACAATTTTAGAAATGATGTTGCGTTGGATGAATCCTTCAAGTGTCGAACTTCCCTTCGTTCAGACTTTGGGTCGTTCAAAGGGTGTCACGTCAGCCCACCTGTTAGTTCACGAAATTTAGGTGAACCCAACGAATATGTAATTTTAGCTTTAGCCGCAGAGGCGGAACGTGTGAGATTATTAGAATTGGTGACTTTGCTCAATCGTCGTTTGGACAAGGAGAGAAATGAGATGATCTCCCTTGAGGTAAGAGATAATTTTAACATTGTGTTTGTTAAGAAATTTTAGAATGATTAATCCGACGAATATATATATATATATTAGCGACTATTATGGAAATATATGAAGATAATCTAAAATAACATATCAATTTAATAACATGATAAATCAATGAAGTAATTTGTTGATTTTATGACAAATATCTGAATATTCGAATTACCAATGAAAACAATTCGAATTATGATTAATATTAACCTTAATTTGAAACACTTAGATCATTTTCTTCACTCGACTTTTTATTTTGAATTAGTCGCAAACGATATAAGGAGATATGAGGCTTAAGCATAGTTGAGTTATAACAAAAAGGTAAAGTCGTTCTTGATTCTAGATTAAAGTGTCAAAATAAAAATAATTTATCGCTTTTCAGTTCTTTACATTAAATGTAATACATAAGAAAAGTTTCATATAAGGAGCTTATTTCTAGCAATATTATACGCGACCAAAGTTCTCATATCGTCAAACTCTGATTATGAATAAAAAAAGGAAATATTTAGGCATGGCTAATTATTGTAATAATTTTAATAAAATCCGCAATATATACATATATATGTATAAAAACTTGAAACTATCAATGATTTTATTCGCTTCTTGACTGGAAAAATAATATTTTTCATATTTTTTCAGTATTTTCATATATTTAAATAATTATATTTTTTTGATAAATTAAAATATGTAATATTTTTCCTCTTGAAGATTTAAGTATTGATAAGAAGATTCTAGAGTGTTAATATATTAAATTCATCTCCAAAAAAAGTAAATTTTTATATAAAATTACGTTCTAATCATGTTTCTCTTCATATTTGCAATAAAATGAGATATTTAAAAAGATATTTTCGATCATGACGAAAACGACTCTACAGAGTGCCAAATTGACATGTTCAAAACATGTATGCCATGTGATCCTCACGAGTTAAACTCGTGCATAGAATATGACTTGAAATTGTATCACAAGAAATACTCGTACGAAACTACGAAACGTATACCTTGATTATTCATTTTAAGGAATCTTTGCGTGAAGAAAAAAGGAAATGCGCAAAATTGGAATCAAAATTGCGGGACTCGGAAAAGGAGAGGGTGGGACTCGTCAAAGTGGACTCCGGATACAGAGCGAAATCCCGCGTGAGATCAACGTCGAGTCTGCAAACGTGTGAAGAGGTCATCAACCCTGAACAAGATCGCTTCAGGTGAGTTACGTAAAACGCAACGGAAGATTTTCAAAATTCTCGCGTCACACTGACACTGTTCTCTTCTGTGGAGGACTATTACGTGCGTAATTCTGAGATTTTTCTCAGTCTAAGATATCGCATTGGTATTTGTAATGTCAAGCTTCTCCGTTTCAATCTTGTTTCTTTCAAACGACAAGTATATTCACGGGAAAGCATTGCTTACCTGACGTTCACTTTTCATCCATTTTATCGCTATCTTCACGTTTAACTTAGAATTGAATTACTGGAAGAGGAGTGTCTCGCGCTTAAGGCCAGATTAGATACGGTGCAACAGGACAAAGCCAACGATCTCGCTGTATATAAGCGAATACTCGATCAGGCTAGACGGACTTTCAAAGATGCGTGCAGGTAGGATCTAGACCTAAAAAGAGACATATGCATTGTCATGAAAAATCAAAATTTCGAAATCCAGAAACTAGGAATCTATTATATATATATTAATAGTCGTTACTTGAAGCTTGTCTCACATGAGACATTCAGATTTGGATTCAGAGTTAGATCTGAAGTTTTCCGAAGTTATCTGAAGTTAAATCACATGACATGTGTGACATTATATTTATAATCGCAAGTCAATTGCTTACATCTAACTCTAAATTCAAATTTAAATATCTCACTTGAAACAAGTTTCAAGTAACAACTATTAGTGTATCTGTTAGTACTTATGGCATGGAATTTCTCGGAGTTTTTTCGAATAAAGTACACTATTGTTCCGAGGAGAAACTCCGAAATAGTACACATAAGTGTATTAATATCTACCCGTTTGGGTATGTTTTTACTGTACTCAAATGAGTGGATACACACAGAAAAATGTCATTCTACTCTCTCTTTCTTTGCTGAGAAAAGCGTTCTGTTTACTTCACTTCTTTTAAGTTATCTTCAACAAAGAACATTTTCTTGATAGTAATCTTAAGTTAATTATATTTATCACAAATTTGAGAGAAGCTCGTTAGAATGCTAAGCTTATCAGAACATATTTTGAATAAATAGAATTTGTTACTTACGATGAACTCATATAGATTTGTGGATACATAAACTTATGAAATACTTGAAACAAGTAACGTTTATTTGAATGCAGTATGCATTTTTCTGTGTGCATTAATGCACACGATTGTATAACGAGACAGTTGCAATATTTCGGTAAAATTGTATTTCAAGGAATTGCGTCTGTATTCGAATTTCAGTATTACGACTTTTCAGGAAATTATATGCCACTTTCCAAACTTCAATATATTTTTTTCTGGGACGATGCATGTCCAACGACTTGAGCCTCTCATGTACGCGAGCGAAATCTAAATTCTGTCTAGTAACTGTGCAGGTGTCGAGAGTAATATGCATGTATGCCTTTACAATTACAAAGGACAATTGGCTAATCTCATACGATGCCACTTTCCAATATGGCCTTCTAGAAATAGACTCCTCGTATAAGAAACGCGGACGACCGAGTGTCTATTTTTACTTTTTTGCAGTAGCAGTGGCCGATGTTACTTTGAGAGATGTAGAGTGTATATATATATAAGTATAAGTATAATATATACATATATATATATATATATAAGTACATAAGAATACTGCTTTGCTAAAGTTTTTCTCCAAACGACACACGTCGCGATTGTTGCGGATTGTTCTGATTCTCCATAATTTCGCGCTGAGGTTTCTGCAGATTGATCGTTTCAAGTCCCTTTATCTGAGAAATGAGTCTCAGGCAAATCTGATGTTCAACATTGATATCGAGAAATCTAGTGATCGTCTTTTATTATCTTCTCTCACGTCGTAATTAATTATTTCTACCTAGGAACACACCGTTAGCAGCCGGCGGGAGTCGTTCCACGATAACTATTTAGCCACAAAAAGAAGAGGGAAAAGGAAGAGATCGGCGCCAGTGTTCAGGAAGTAAAACCAACCGTTTAATCCAACGCGCACCCGCGTGCGAGGGACAGCAGACCGATTTAACGACGATCAGCGAGTGTTAAGCGCGCCGTTTTCGACGAAGAAATAAAACGTCTCCTCGGAGACGAACGGGGCCAGTCGCGATCGGAGTGGATGTAGCAGCAACAAAGCCGCGGCGTGATGATGTAACTAGGACACGAGAGATAAGGTGCAACGCCTCCACGTAAACCCGCGTGACACCGTCGGAGCAAAACTCGTCGTTTCGCTTCCACCTCGCGTCGTCGCCGTCGTTGTCGTTCTCTTAACACCGTCGATGTTTGCTCGGCCAACTCTGTCGTTTGCTCTCGCCATTGATATCGCGCCGGCGACATCGCGGCCGTAAATTCATCCCGTTTCTTCTTCGTTCCTCATATTATAACAGAGAACTGGCAAGACGCGACAAATTCTCGCGCGTCGCGTTCGAATCTACTTGCGGGAGTTCGGGTGAGAGAAGTTCGACGATTGGATGATCCTGACGTTGCGAATCGCGATGCGACGCGATAACGGTGCGTTGAAAGAAAATCTTATATGAAACAGGAGGTCCGTCCGGGGAACTTCTGAATTAGTGCACGTTAGTGCGATAAGTTAGAGTGGGAGCAAGTATATTTGTTTCACTCTGATTTATTGCACGAGTTCTTCGAAAACGAACAAACCTGGAGATTTTTTCTAATGTAGAATCGCGTAAGAGTATCATCGTTCAGCGTAATCTCAGGTGTTGTTACACTTTCGTTTTTGTGTTTACAAAGTGAACCAAATCTGTCGTTCAAGTGCTCGCTTAAGGTCACGGATGGGCGATTTATCTTTAGTAAAAATCGATTCTTGAATTGATTTTGAGTCGGAATAATTAGAAACGACTTGCTAAAAATATATCTAAAAGTATTTCAACTACTGAAAGTATCAATTTTGAAAAAATCGCGCAACGAGACTTTAAACACCAACGTTTTATGTAAAAGTCTGATATATCTAATAAATATAATTATGAGGTGTTTCTTTAAAACGAAGTAATTTTGATTTACAATATATTTTAATAACTTCTATTTTTTCAAAAAAAAAATCACGTGAATACTGAAATTGTTTCAAAAGGCTAAGGCCCAAATTCTGAATCCTCTTTTATCGATAAAAGTATCTTAAATATAGCTTCTCAGCCAATCAAGTACCTTCTAAGTCTCTTTTAGAGGCTCATTTATCGTTAAAAGAAAACTCAGAATACGGGCTTAAAAGTTTAACACATTTATGTTTAAAATAATTTGACAGAAAATTGATGAATAAGGGAACATTATTCGACAAGAAATTTTTCATTAATTTTTTATTTATATATAGATAATGAATTTAAAACATTTGTACTTAGATGATGAATTTATTAGTGTTCTGTTATAATGTTTCCTGCTTTCAAGAATAAGAAATCTGCTAGGATGTGACCACAATTAATAAGAATTATTTTGCAATCTATATGTGGAGAGCGGGATGAATGTATGGTTTATAAGTATTAAGCCAGAACAATATAGAATTTATTTAAAGCTGATAATTGGATTTATTATGTTCTAAATCTTACATAAAACATAATATCGATGAATGAGCACATCAATGAATCGAAAATCGATTCTTTGTTGAAAAATTCGATTAGTGTAAAGATGGAATAGGAAAGAATCGATTAAAAAACATCGATTCCTGTTAGAGAAAAGTATATTAAAAAAAAAATCGATTTAAAATCAAATATTTATCTATTTCTCTACTCTAAACAGGATAAATATACTTTGATTTGTACGTTTGTATCTCACTTTTTACTTCTCCCAATTGATGAAACATTTAACATAAATTCATTTATATTCTCGACTTATATAATAGTATAATATGTATGAATATGTGTGTCGAAATCGTTGGAAACTACGTTGAAGTTTCTGATGTCCCAGTTGTCGTTAACAAAGCAACAATCTCTTTGTACCAGAGCATCTATTTTACATGATGTCCTATCTATCTCGGATACACATCCGCCAAGTATGCTACTTCTCTCAAAGAGCCTCCGACCAGTGTCGGCTTCATTGTCTTTTATAATTTTCTTTCTTATACAAAGTATTCCGAGAAAATTTTCATAGAAATAGAAAATAAAGTGCAAACACGATTAAAAGAAAAACGATGATGTAATTTTTCTTTACGTGTTAAATAATGAGGTTTATATTTAAAGATATTTCTAAGGTATTTCTAAGGTTTAGATAGTTGAAAAATAGAAGGTTTTTACAAATTATTTTCAAAGAAATAAATAAAGATATTAATATAACATTCTGACTATACTATTTATCATTGTTTTTGTTAAGTTATCATTTGTTAAATCATCACTTGTTTTGTTATCATTTGTTAAGTATAAAAAGTTATATTTTTATTTAAAAAATAATTATGAAATCTTGTTGTTTTGGTTTTGTATACTGAGAAAGAGAGAGAGAGAGAGAGAGAGTGAACGCCTTTAATTAGTGGACAATATTATAGCTCGTATAATGATTTGAAACAAATAGGACAGGAACATTCAATATTCTGTATTATATTTGTTGGAGGATGAACTTTTGTTATATGTAGAAAGTCGAAATCTTATTAAAATGGCGGCACTTTAAAGTAACAAGTAATTTTTCTTCTCTATTTTTAATATACTCTGAAAAAATACTAATTCTGGAAAATTTTCAAAGAATATAGGTTCATCCTCCAGCAAATGTAATAGTTTTTAAATTTTCTAGTTTTATTTGTTTCAGATTATTACACGAGCTGTAATGTTGTCCATCAATTAGAGACGACACTGCGCTCAGCAGAGAAAAACTTGGACGACGGAATTTAAACTTTTTTTCTAATAAAAAATAATTTTTTATATCTAAAATAATGATAAATAGTATAGGCAAAACCTTGTATTAATATTTTTATTAATCTATTTAAAAAAAATTCGTAAAAATTTCTAATTTTTCAACTATCTAAATCAGAAATTTCTTTTAGAGATAGTGAGATCCGTCTGCCATATGAACTAACGAAAGTAGGGCGGGGGAAGAATTTTACCGATATTATTTTATTGATTACATTATATTTGCACAATATATTGCACGATATTCAAATTCTAGAACGACTTAGACTTCAGGTAGACTTCAGAATTCCACGAAAAATTCCCACTTTCCGATGAAAAATTAAAATATAAGGTCTGTTCTTTTTGGCTAAACTATCTGAACTGGTGCACACTAGTGCAATAAATTAGAGTGAGATAAATAATTGTGTCACTCTAACTTGTTGTACCAGTCTGCGCCAGTTCAGGCAGTTCAGTTAAAAAGAACCGACTTATAATTTTATGCGTTTCGAACAATCGGAAGTCACAGTGACACGATTTGTCACTGTCCTTATCGAAAGTGCTTTTCTAAAAAAGCTAGTTAAGTTCCACAGGTGCATATTTGCTAGGCGCACACATACTTGTTTCCTCTGTTCGAGGTGGACATCGGAGAGAAACTCTACTTACGATATTAATTAATTAGATATATCTACGATTAGAGAGAATCATGGCACTTGGGCACGCAAGCAACGAAGGTATCAAGAGTCGCTTACGGGGCCACCGAATGCGGGGCGCAGCATCGGCGATCTCGCGGGTGCCGCGAAAACTTTCGTCATCATCGTCGTTGTTGTCGACTCGGTCGTCGTCGTCGTCGTCGTCGTCATCGTCGTCGTTAAGCGAGCTGGGCGTGTTTCTGACGGCGCTTAAGCTCGCCGACAGGTGTGGGCTTTACAGGTGTTGGGCCTCCTGGCTGATAAGGAACGCGCCCGTGACGTCAGATCGGCGCGGGTAGAGTATATGAGTCGACGCCGTGAGACGTCCACGTCACTCGTTCTTGAACCTCCTCGTCCGTTCATTCCGTCAAGTAGTTCGCCGTGAATTTTACCGTATCGACGGCCGCGATCAGCGCCCTGCTGTCGTCGGGATCGCTATCGGTCCACTCGAGCCAGAGACTCGACCGGAAACGGGAATCTACCTCGCGGCGCGGACTCCCCGCGACTCGATCGGATTGCCACAGGTAAGCCAGATGGATCGCCACGACAATCCATCGTCCATCGGGATCACACACTTGGGGATCGGGCTTTGTCGCGAAGCTAGTGAACCGCGCGTCTATTTGATCGTATTGGACATCGAGTGTCACCAGACAACGCAAAATTCCACGAGTTTACGGTCGTTCTTTAGGTGTTCCTTACATTTACCGTGTTGTACGGAATTCGGCAGTTCAGGCGTGGGGGACGGTTAAAGGTGGGTCGGTATGTCGATATGATAAAACGGGGCCCGTATCTCCGGCTTTCCCCGAGACCTCTGCCGAGTTCCCTACCGGTAGTCTCTCTTCTCTCTCACCTCTCCATCTCCTTTCCTTCTCTTACTCTCTCTTTTTGAAAATGAATTTTCCCACACGCTCGCTTGCGCGCGCACTCGTTCGTCTTTTCATGTGCAAATTCAACGGAACAATTGCGTGCTCGGGGCAATACAAAATGTACGCTCCGCTTTCGTTACGTAACGCACAGTCGCGAGGCCGTCGCCGCCGCCGCTACTCATCGGCTATGGAGATGATAATTCCGGGATCTACACACGTCAACCCTAATGACGCTAAAGATATTTCTTTTTTTTTCTCGAGGAGGATTATCAGGAACCGCATTATTTCGCTGCAAACGCGTGGAATTGTCTCGCCGACTGTCGCGTTTCTATCGTCGCAATCGAACAGACGGGCAACAGTTTCACGTGGCTTGACTTGCAGACCAGCAGACCGTTCGACTGGTCTGCACATAATTCGATTTGAGCTTTTGTCGTCTCGAGAATTTACAGTCGGGCTTTCGATAGATCTTTGCCGAAGTTTTACATTTTATCGCGAACAGATTTTACAGACTTTACATTTTATCGCGAATATTGAACACTAATTATTCTCTCCTGATTCTTCAGCTCTGCTCTTTTGTACAACGCTTCTTACGTTCTCCTTTGAAGACTGTGCTTGCGGTGCCGTTAGGCGTTATCGACGATATCCTTCGCCGATAATGGTGATGAAATAGCAACTAATTGAGTCAATGAAATATTAGTAGTGAGTTTGTTTATCATCCGGACGAAATCGTGAGTTTCACGACGATACGCAATATGCAATATGTATCATGCACATTGAAAAACGAAATGGTGCTTTGACGTTCTGATATATTTTGTTCCGTTCTTTTGTTCATTGTTTCTTGAAGATTAAAATATATACGTGTAATTGAAATAAATTTAATTATTCCATTTATATGTTTGCATTACGTTCTTAACATAGCTGATACGGATCATGACAACCGATAATTGTTTAATATCTCTTAAACATTATTGCTGCATCTTGCTTCCACGCAACGCACCAGCGGGGGTCGCGCTAGATATCGTTTATGCCGATAATATACCGACAATATGTCGATAAAAAGAAAGTGTAGGGAAACGAATATATTAATATAAGAATCAATATAAATATAAATTTCTCGCGCTTTCGTGTCTATTTTAAAGGATATATCGACTATCTCTATCGACTGTTGTGTTATTTTTGCTTCCTCGGGATCTTCTCTTTACGTTACACATATAGTACCGCGCCAGGATTAAAACGACGTATTAGCGGAATAGTTCCGACGTTACTAAAGGAGTAACGGCATAACAAAACGCCGCTGAGAGCTGATATTTATTTAAAGTAAATGCGTTATCCATTGATCTTCGCGGCCTACAGCGAATCGTTACGGCTTAATGAGTTGTTAATGCTCGTCAACGTGTAGTGACGAGACGATCGATAACGTGTAAAATTTAACGAGCAAATACATACATCGCATAGTGTGCCACGACCGAATCGAAGCTGTTCGGGAGGAATGGCGCAAATGTAAATTCCTTCGAATCGGGAAACTTTCAAACGCAACGTGGCGGCTTTCCCTGCAAAAAGCTCCGCGCGTGAAAAGATAATCGTACGTCATAAATTTCTTGCAATTTCATAACAGGAAAAAAAC